GTGGAAGACAAAGGTTTTCAGATGTGCCCTGAACAAGGTGAGGGAGGGAGGGAGGTGGAGGTACTCTGAGATGGAGTTCCAGAGAGCAGCGCAGAATAGCTGAAAGCCAGCCGCTGATGGTAGAATGGATATGAAGCAGGTTCTTCTATCTCTTTGACGGTACTTCTACAAATCACCCTCAAACTCCCTGCTCAGCGATTCCAATCGTATTCAACCAATGCCCATCGAAACACTGGTGTAGAGTCGGCTTTTGTAAGCTTCGCTCTTAGATTCCTTCAACATCCTGACCAGCTTCCGTCAGTTTTGTGTAAGCATCATCATTAAGGGAGTCTCTCCTGCTGTTTTGGCCAACAATTCCTCAGATAACATCAATCACTTCACGGCTGTTGGTGGGACATTGCTGTAAGCAAATTGGATGCTGCATTCACCACATGGTACACAGCAATTACACTTTACAGTAAAACCCTGTAGTAAAATCTCATTTTGAGATTTCTTGATTGCAGGATAAGGCACTGTATCTAAACACAAATATTATTATTATCTTCCGTATCCCATTCTATTCTGAAACTCTTTTCAGTATCATGCAGGGTTTATCAGGAAATGATTATTTATTTTCCTTCAAAAACATAAATTTGGGCCTGTCACATAAAAGATTGTTTTAAAATTATTTAAAAACTATTGCAGGACATCACTGGAGCGTGATGGAGATGTCAACATCATTCAGTTATTATCCCCATCATGTACATGCCCCATTGCGCCTTGTCAAGTCATTGAGATATCTCAAAGAGCTTCACAGGATACATTTGTATACACAGGATACAGTGTACAGGATACACTGTAAAGTGCAGTGACTGTGCATTTTGTAGGCAAACGCAGCAGCCAGTTTGCGCACAGCAGTGTCCTACAAATAATGTTCCTTAGCCACAGACCCATAAATCTGTCAAAGCAGGAGACACCGCTGCACCAATGAAGCCATCTTTCCTAATCCGAATCCCCCACTCTTTCCTCATATCCTCAAATCCTCTTTCTCCACATGTGTTGATCTGGAGAGTTCTGCTAATGTTAAGAGACCATAAGACCGAAGAAGGCTAGAGGAAGCTGGGGATTGAGTGTGAGGAAAAGGCTGACAGATGTAATCAACACACTTAGCATTTACAACAGCAAAGTCATACCACCAGTACATCACTACCTCTCAATTAAGAAATATTATACTGTCTGTCACTATGACTCAGTGAGAATGTTGTTTTTGAAAACAAAATCGGGGGTTGCCATTTTATTGTTGGTCTCTTTTACATTAAATATATGGGAACACTCCCCCCTTCAATCACACGCATTCATTGACACACACAAACATACATACATATTTGGACACACACGTATACAAACAGACACATAAACACGTATAGACACACAGATATACAGACACACACATCCATACTGACAAGCACACACACGCGCCCACATGCACATACACACACAAACACATATAGACACACAGATACACACAGACAGGCACACGTGTTTGTCCACATACACGCACATGCAAACACGCATGCAGACACACATGCGCACGGACATGCACACGTGCACACACGCATGCAGATGCACATGTAACTTTAGTGTAAAAGCTTGGCCAGGTTGTGGCATGAAACCTAATTAGCTGCCCTGGCCTCTCTTGTCTACACATTTAACACCAGACAGACTGCATGTGGTTCACATTTCTCAAAATGTATGTTGCCTGTAAACTTCAGTCCTGCCTCTTTGTGGGGTTCCCAATGATGTGCTCATTTCAAAGGATATTGGGGTCTTTGTGTAGAGTGCAGAGCTGTTGAGCATGTTTTCTACAGACGCACGCACACATACAGATATATAGACAGACATACCTACAGACCCAGCTGTCTGAGTTCAGAGCTACTAAAATTCATTATTACCTTCACTTTAAGGGATCAATTCCAGATGTGGTATTCGCTCCATGTGATGTTGCTCTCTGCAGTGATCCAGTATGAAGAAAAACAAGGTGTCTTGCTCACTTACACATTAAACTCCGAGGCTCAAGACTATATAATAGCACAGCCATTATCGTGGAGTCCTGTAGTTCAGTGGTTAGAGCTCTCACCTTGCAAATGAGAGACCTGGATTTGATTCCCAGCAGGGCGAAATGTTGGGCAAGTTTCCTCACTTTACATGCCTCTGTTTACCTAGCAGTAAGTAGGAACACAGTTGTTAGTCGAATGAGTAACGATTCCTTCCAAAAAAANTTGGTCACTTCAATCCACGATTGTTTGTGGGTCACTGATGTGATTGCCTGCCGCATTTCACCCATAAAATATACAGTCAATTCATTTTACAGTATATTCTGTGCAGCACTTTGAAACATTTCAAACACATGATAAGGTGCTATATCAAATGCAAGGATTATTATTAATATCATCATATTACTTTACAGTATATCCTGTGAAGCGCTTTGAGACATGTCGATGATGTGAAAGATGCCTCACCAAATCTAAGGATTATTATTATTATGTCTCTTTTATGTCAACAGAAATCTCCTGGTCACAATAATATTAATAATCCTTGCATGTGGTAGAGTGCCTTATCACATCAGAAGGACATCTCAAAGTGCTTCACAGGATTTACTGTGAAATGGGTGACTGCGTATTTGTAGGCAAACGCAGCAGTACAATTGTGCACAGCAATGTCCCACAAACAGCCATGGACTAATTTGGGGGGATTTCGCCCAGGAAACTCCTTTCTCTTTTCAAATTATGCCATCTTTAATGTCCACCCGAAGAGGCAGATGGGATCTTGGTTTAACGTCTCATCTGAAGGACGGTACCTCCAACAATGCGACACCCCCAACCCCCAGCACTGGAGTGTCAGCTTAGACTGTGTGATTCCAAATCCTGGTGTGGAGCTTGAGTGCTACCGACTGTGCCAAGCTGATACACGAAAGAACCGACCATGTTTGCGTTACGGCTGTGAGTGCATTAAAATCCCTTATTGTCAGTTTACATTCCATGTGCGCCCTGTACTTCCCTCTTCGGGAACAGAGAAAGGAAAGGCTTTGGCAAAGCACAGGGGAGGTCTGTGAAGGCTTTAAGCAAATAAACACGTGGAAGATATTTGCTGAGAAACCACGTCACAGATGGACAGAAAGCCAGCTAAAGGCAAACTCAGCACTCAGTGTTATTGTGTGCTGGCTTGGGGGAGCTGGTGGCTTCGGTGCAGAGAAGAGACAGGTTGTGTGAGGCTTGAGCAAGCACTTTGATGTGCTCAGTTGCTTTCTGCGAGGAAAATTATTAGTGGATCAAAATCCCACCCACAACAGCAGCGTCAAAATCCAATTGCTCCCAGCACCTCAGCCATTCACTGCTCACTGTCTCCCAGCCTCAGCCCCTGAAAGAGGAGCTCCCCTTTGGCCAGAGGTTGTGGGGAAGCATTGGCCACTGACCAACAGCCTGACCATTGACCAACAGCCTGACCATTGACCAACAGCCTGACCATGGACCAACAGCCTGACCATGGACCAACAGCCTGACCACTGACCAACAGCCTGACCATTGACCAACAGCCTGACCATTGACCAACAGCCTGACCATGGATCAACAGCCTGACCATTGACCAACAGCCTGACCACTGACCAGAGAGAGAGAGAGAGGAAGAGACAGTGAGAGCTTGAGCTGAGTTCCCACCTTCACATCTCTCACCTGCTTCATTCGGGGAACGCACCCAGAAGGACTTTGAAAGTTTTTAGGAATTATCTTACGCTCTCTGTCTCTCTCTCCAGTCTTTCACAGGGAGACTTTATAGACAAATCCTGAAGTTTGTTTCTCGCCTCTCTGTAAGTACAATGTCGCTGTGTGTGTGTGTGTGTCTGTCTGTGAGAGACCTGAAAGGGATTGATTGAAACTGGGCACTCCACCTTCCCTCTCCCTCTCTCTCCCTGTCTCTCTCTCTGTCTCTCTCTATCTCTCTCACTCTCTCTGTCTCTCTCTATCTCTCTCCCTCTCTCTCTCTGTCTCTCTCTATCCCTCTCCCTCTCTCTCTATCTTTCTCCCCCCCCTCTCTCTATCTTTCTCCCTCCCTCTCTCTATCTGTCTCTCTCCCTCTCTCTGTCTCTCTCCCTCCCTCTCTCTCTGTCTCTCTCCCTCTCTGTCTCTCTCCCTCTCTGTCTCTCTTCCCTCCTTCTCTCTCCCTCTCTCCCTCTCTCCCTCTCTCTCTGTCTCTCTCCCTCTCTCTCTGTCTCTCTCCCCCTCTCTCTGTCTCTCTCCCCCTCTCTCTATCTCTCCCCCTCTCTCTCTGTCTCTCTGGGTTATTCCTGGGGAGATAGCTCTGAACTTACACACACAGAGAGAGAGAGAGAGAGAGAAAGGAGAGGAGAGGAGAGAAGGAAAGATCGTTAAGCGGATTGAAGGCTGATTGATTGACAGTGAAGCGTTGCGTAAGTGTTTAAGCGCAGAAGAAGACCACAGTTTGTGTACAACAGCGTTGGTCCAGTGTGAAGTCCAGTATGTACCCAAACATAACGCTGTCCTGGCAATCAGTTGCACCTCAGTCGCTCATCCTTTTCTCTCTCTCTCTCTGTGAATAGATCCCAGGTTTCCAACCAAACATGTAATTGGCAAAAGCTGAGGTCTTCACCCGACTTTGCTCAGTGCTCAGTCCCAGTGGCAAAGCTTTCAGGGTGATTAGTGCAATTTGATATTCTGTGTTTCCTCCCCCCCCCCCACCCCCCCCTCTCTGGCTTGTTTAGGTGTCTCACTCTGTGTGTGCTCTGTGTGCCTGTCCCTAACCGTCCAACTCTCTCCTGATCCCAACCCCCAGCTCTGGTCCAAATCTCCGACTGTCCACCACCTTTGGACATCCTCCCCGCGTGAAAGGTGCTGGGCAAACGTAATTTGTTGTTGTTGCTTTCAATTTGCAGGGAGTTGAATGTCTTGGAGACATGGCACCCACTTGCGCTCAGTGATCAGAGTAGCTCCTGACAGAGGATGAGAGCGATGGGTGGCCGAGACATGCCTCAGGCGGGTGTGGGTTGGTGGCTGTGGCTGGCTGGTGCTGTCTTCTCTCTGTGTGTATCTCTCAGCACCGCCTGCCCCAAGCCATGTGCCTGCTATGTCCCCACTGAGGTTCACTGCACCTTCAGATCTCTCAACGCCATCCCTGCAAACATTGGATCTCAAGTGGAGCGCATCAACTTTGGGTCAGTCACGCCGTTTGCTTTGCTCTTCTGTCACGTTGCTTTCTTTTTCTTGGAAAGTGAGTTGGGAATCGTCCCACTCAGCTCCTGTTAAGCCCGCAAGCCAAAGCCCTAAACATCAGGGAGGTCCCAGCTGGTCAAGAAGTAGGAAGCTTCCCAGTCAGTGCTCTCAATGGACAAGTTACGTACTTTTAGTTGGTTATATTCCAGCAGTTACCTCAACACACACTCTGGGGTCCCCAAGCCTTGGCTCTCGCCAACCTGTGCTTAATACTCACCAGAGTTAGGTAAGAAGAGTATGTCTCTAGGGAAGAGAGTGGTTATTCCGTTCCAAACATGGACATTTCCACACAAATGTGGAATTCTCAATCTGGTATGGATACTCTTAAGCACAATGATGGGTTTTCACATGTGTCGGACTCCCGGCTGATCATGGGAATGGGTTTCTGCCAGAACCCGGCTGATCATGGTGATGGGTTTCCATGTGTGTCAGACACTTGGCTGATAATAATAATAATTCTTGCATTTGATACAGCGCCTTATCACATCTTCGAGACAGCTCAAAAGCGCTTCCCAGAATATACTGTAAAGTGACTGTATTTTTGTGGGCAAAATCAAGGCGTTATCATGGTGATGGGTTTCCTCATGGGTCAGACCATAACTGTTCTTTCCACCACCTGCCACTGATCTGTGCCATTGCCTTACAGCTACAATAACCTGGTGAAATTAACCCGCGACGATTTCACAGGGTTGAAGAGTCTTGAACTGCTGATGCTCCACAGCAATGGGATCCAGGAAATCCCAGGACAGGCATTCCGAGATCTGCAGTCTTTACAGGTTCGTCTGTCACAGACATAAACAGAAACTTTCAGCTTGAATTTTCACCCAGTCTTAGCTTGTCAACCTATTTTATTTCACGCAATATATCTTATACATTGAGAGAAAATGGTCTCTCGAGCTAAGACTAATAATACTAATCCTTTTATTTGATATAGCGCTTACTCACGTTGTTGAGACATCTCAAAGCACTTCACAGGATATACTGTAAAGTGAATTGATTGGGTATTTGTGAGCAAAATGTGGTACCAATTACAGCAGTGTCCTGCTAACAGTTGTGGATTTAGTGATCACATTTTTTTTGAGGGATTATTACCGCTCAGGGTATGTAAAGGTATAGCGCTAAACATCCTAAAAATATGTTTTAGTAATTGGCTAGGTGTCTGCCTGGCTCAGTTGCTAGCACTCTTGCCTCCTGGTCAGGTTGTGGGTTTAAGTCTTCAGTTTAACATCTCATCTGAAAAATGGCACCTCTGACAGAGTAGTTCGCTTTTCTAGCACGGCGCTGGAGTATCTGTTTAGATTGTGAGCTCAAAGCCCCAATGTGGGGCTTGAACCCACAAAGCTCTGACTCAGAGGTGAGAATAGCAGCCTATAGCCAACAATCTAGATGGGGGGAAATCACAGGGACTCTTTGTGAAATCTTTTAAATTTGGTTGTGAATTAATCTCAGGACAGTCACTGGTTTGTTCCGATTTTAACCAGGAGTTTGTCTGTTGCTATGAAAGGTCTTGAAGATGAGTTACAACAAAGTGAAAGCACTGAATCGAGACACTTTCCTTGGCTTGTACAAAATGGTGCGGCTACACATGGACCACAACAGAATCGAGTTTATTAATCCCGAGGCATTCTATGGGCTGACGGCATTGAGGCTGCTGCAGTTGGAGGGAAATCTTCTCCAACAGCTCCATCCTGACACATTCGTTACTTTCCGCCACAGTCAGATTTTCAAAATGTCATGGATAAAACACATTTACCTAGCGGACAATGCGCTCACATCCATCCCCAGCGAGCTGCTGTCCTACATCCCGGAACTGGAAAGTATTTACCTGCATGGGAACAAGTGGCAATGTGACTGTGAGCTGCGATGGTTAGCGGAACTTAACCAGCGTCGACCAGGTGAGTGTAGTGAATGGATCCGTACGTTGGCATGTTGGAAGCCACTGTGATAACAGCAAGTGTCGTAATGGAATTGCCACTGTGCTGGTAGGGGGATGGGGGGATGTGCAGGAGAAGACGGCATTGTGCTGGGGTTATTGGGGGAGGAGGGGAGGAATTATGCTGGGAGATGGTCCCATTGAGCCTATATATATATACACACAAAGATATACACAAAGGTATACTATGTATATATACTCCACTATATACGTCACCCCAAATAGACCCATATAGCAGCATGGGACATTTACCAAGTCACTGAAAGAGGGTCTATTATGGCAGTCACACTACATTGTCCATAACACATGCCCTCGTAACATGGAGAAAGAGAAACAGAAAGGTTTCAATACAGAAGGAGCCCATTGGGCCCACCGGGTCTGTGCCTCTGATCCCTGTTATTTTTTTAAACCATCCCCTTTCCCTTTTGACTCCCAATCTCCAGCTCGCCCCTTCTCTGATTGCTTTCGCTACTTGGTTGTTTATCCAGTTCATTTTTGAACTGGATCCAATCCCACTGTGGGAATTGTAGGAATGAAAGAATTCCAAACCCCGACAAGCTTCTTAGTGAAAAGATTTCTACGGACCACAAAGACTAGTGGGAATCTTGAACTCTCAATACCCCCGAAAGGCTGTGGATGCTGGATCAATTGAAATTTTCAAGACTAAGATGGATTGATTTTTGTTAGGTCAGGGTGTCAAGGGATGTGGGGTAAAGGCGGGTAAATGGAGTTGATGTATAGATCAGCCATGATCAAAAAAGGATGCTGGAGCAGGCTTCAGGTGCTGAATGGCCTTCTCCTATTCCTATGATCTCTCCCCTGAATCCCCTAACCTCTCCCTCAGAAGATTGGCACAAGAATGTGGGCCAAGACTTAGCAAACCAATATCATTGATTCTTGTAAAACCACAGAGGAAACTAACAAGACTGCATTGTGGGAATCTTTTCAGGAGTAATAAAGTGCAAGAGAGACCGTAGCTCTCCGGACAGTCAGATGTGCCCCGTGTGCGTCGCCCTGGAAACCTCAGGAGAAAAGGACCTCTTTGATGTGTCCCCGGCAGTCTTCTCCTGCAACCCCCCGAGGATCGTGTCTCCATTACTGCTCAGCAACAGCAGCCTGCTGGGAGAGGGCAACCAACCAGCCATCGATGCCAAGGATTTTGTTGCACCGCTTGGGCAGATGAGCCTAAACATGTCCGACCAAAGCGGGAATGGGGCAGAGATGGTTTGCAACGTGCAAAAGCCTAAGAGGACACCTGGGGTGGCTTTAGATCACAGAGAAGGCTTTGTGCTCCTCAACACCTCTTTGTCCATCTTCCTGGTGTGTAATGTGAATTACGAGCAGATTCAAAGGCTATGGGGGATCTTAGCTATGTACAGCGACTCACCTCTCAGGCTCGAGAGAGACGACCTGCTGACTACGACTCCGTATATGAGCTACCGCTACAGGCAAACCCGGGATGCAGATGTCTACATGTTCACTGGTATAGAGGTCCAGATCACTGCCGACCCTGCTTGGCTTCTGCAAGGTGAGGTCACCTTACAGTTAGACCGGACACAGACCACCCTGAATATCTTACACATCAGATACCTGACCCATGTCCAACTTGCTCTGAAAGACTTGGAGGCCAAACCCAGGAAAAACAACTGGGTGATGATAAAGAGAGGAAGCCACGCGAGACGGCAACGCTTTGTGATGGTAGGCGCGATGGTGGAGCTGGAATGCGAAGCGTTCGGCGACCCCAAACCTACCACTGAATGGATATTCCCGGAAGGTAGCAAAGTCCGAGCCCCATACAACAGCGAGGACGGGCGGATCACAATCAATTCAGCCGGTAAATTCACACTGAGGGTGGCTGATCGGTACGACACAGGGATGTACCACTGCCTGGCAACCAATTTCCAAGATTCCCAAGTGCTAAGCTTTCGGGTTACAGTCTTGGACCCTGCTGTCGAGGAAAGCGATGTCAATGGACCTACGATTTTCAAATCTCCTGGCGAGTCGTTGCATCTCCCATGTCAAGCGATTGGAATCCCGAAAGTGGCCATCAGTTGGATCCTGCCTGACCACAGAATATTGGACCATGCTGTGGCAAATAAGCAGGTGGATCCCAATGGGACCTTGGAGATACGAAGACTGAGAGCAAGAGATAGCGGTTTTTACAGGTGTCTGGCAGCCAATCCTTACGGGCTCGATCTTCTGGCGTTACAGGTAACTGTCACAGGTGTCGACATCTCTTCCCAGAAGGAAAGCGAGGAGAATAATGATGCCGCGGAGGAAAGCCGTGGCTCCGGGGAGAGCGAGCCCTACCCAGGGGAACCTGAAGATGTAATGAAGATAGAGGAGGGAAACAGGTTGTCTTCTGAAGATATCTTCTCTTCCAAGAGTCCCACCTTAGACCATGATCTTCACCAAACGACAGTCCAATCTGAGGACGAAGACCTGAGGAGCCCAGCGAGGAGGGGGGGCAATGGGGCCTGGAACAATCGGTGGTGGGCGAAGCGAAGGAGACTGAAACATCAAAGGAGAAAATTGGATCCTCAGCAATGGGCGGAGTATCTGGAGAAGATCAGAAACAAGTCTTTGGCTAAAACCCAAACAACTGAAATCCCAGCCAAACCTCAAACCATCGGTTCATCCACCGAGCTTTCTGTTGATGAGGATGGAGGATCGGGGAAGGGGCTCATGTTACCAGAGGAACAACTGATTGCCATAACAACCAAGCCTAAAAGCATTTTACCCACCCCACTCATGTCCGTCACACAACAATCCACAACAACCTTCCCCTCTCCTCGGACCGAGTTAACTCCTGTGGTCTCACCATCCATCGTGGTCACCGTAACGGAACAAGTCACCAAAGATGCATTGGCCTCAATGTCTCCAAAGGCAATTGACCCAACTTTTGAAGGGGAACTCGAAGAACACATGCCAGAATCTGCAATCACCACCCCGTTCAAACGGAAGTCGGCCGAGTCAAATCCGGAGATCCAGGTAACAGTTTCTGGGGACACCAAAGGCCTCTTCATTACGCCTACCGCAAATGGATTGAATGCCCAATCGTCAGAGGAGAGGATTTCTTCATTGGAACCTAGGACAGAGGCTTCTGGGCTTGCCCCAGTCTCTCAGAGCCTAAGAACCCAACACTTCCATACCCACATTATGACCATTACTACAACAAATGATGGCAATAAGATTTCGTTTGAAACAACCCAGAAAATAACCTCTCCTGGCTCATCCTCTGTATCAACCACCCTCACCCAACAGGTCCACATAACAAGAGATGCAACAACCAAAACCCCACTAATCATACGCTCACCGTTTGGTAGGAGAAGGAAGTTACCTCCCAGATTTCGTTACCGTAGGCCGGGATTGAGGAAACACAGATACAAGATTGTGAGACCTGGGATGAGGAGAAAGATTCCATTGCAGGAAGAAACCACAACAGCTGCGATGGTGCATTCGGAATCCTCTACAACACATCACGTCTCTCCTATCACTGAGACCTCATCAAGATCTCCTGCTCCACTGCCAGGCCCGGGGGAAGGGGAGCCAGACACTCACACCACAGAAACATACCATAAAGAGCTAGTAGAGGGAAGTGTCCATCAAACTGCGATCCGGTATCTGGCCCAGGCTAGGACTTCCCCTAAAACAGATCTGGTAAAAGCAAATATTCCAGAGGTAACACAAGTTGACTCACAAGCAGTTGCACATCTGGCTAGATCAGCAACCACAACACTGACTGCAACCAGTACAGTCACAACAGCGATCTCCACAACCACTACAATCCACACACCAGCCGAGGGACACTCCCAAGCTTCAGCCACCACCGCACTTCTCTCAACCTTAGCCACACCAACCATCAAGTCCTCCAAGATCATTCGTGGTAAAATCCCCTGGAATAGGCTGTTTGGGTTGAATGGCCAAAAGGAGCTGCTGAGGAGACTGCGGAAGCCAGACAGAGGCACTATTGTCCCTTTCAGGTCTCTGGGCAGACATGTCCCGAGACCAACTGATCACAGTCGGAAGACGTCAGCATTCGCAGAGTTGATGGAAACCAGTGGGTCTGGAATGAGGGTCGCCTCTGAGTCGATTCTCCACACCCCTCAAGTGAAACGGATCCTGAAGCCTTTCATTGTTACCCGGGGGTCGTTGCAGCCCACCACACGCCGCCCATTTGCAGCTGTGATCCCCGTTAACACTGGCGTATCGGCACGACCTCTGCCATCTACCCCTAGGACAATCCCTCGGGTATCTCCCAGGACCCGGAGGCCAAAGTTTCGCCGTCGGCGACCAGTTAAAACTACCACAATTGAAAGCCCCACGACCACCACATCCACAACTGCAACTCCCGTGGTGTTAGCGGTGACAGCGTCTGGCAGAGGCGGAGGACGTCTTACACGGGTCAGGGTTACAGCATTTCCATCCATCACTGTAGGCAGCCAAGTAGTAGCTCGTTCTGTTACAGTGAGAGACAGAAGCACCACTCTAGCCCATGGTAACAACGCACAATCATATGAACATCAGCTAATCTCGGCCATGGTCAGTGCCCACCCCTTCACGATAAACACCCACCACAATGTTACTGTACTGCCCACAAGTGGCCTTACCCTGAAGCCACACACTGACCTGATCATCAGAGTAAAAGCTCCAGTGGCTAAAGACGTAGCCAAATTTCCCACCACCACTATGGCTCCTGCTTACAAAACTTCTACCCAACAATCCATCTCACCAACCTCAGTGCCCCCCGTCACCAAAGCCTTGCCACCCGCTCCCAGATCAGCCACTGCACGGGCAGTTACCACAACTACACAGTTGGTGCCACTGAGCACCAGCCTTTCTACCTACATTAGGCTTCCTAACACCAGGAAAGCCCCGAAGCATGTTTCTATCAAAGCAAAAGCTCCAGCGACTAAAGACATAGCCAAATTTCCTACCAGCACCATGGCTCCTGCTTACACAGCTTCTACCCAACCATTTACCTCTTCTACAACCATACCTGCTCAATCACTGACAGACATCAAGACCAGAGTCTATGTCTACAGGATTGTCCCCAATCCTGCTGTCACCTTACAGAAGCCAATTGCAGCACCAACTATTGGATATCCAGCCTCCTCACTAACACCTTCCAACACAGATAAGAAATTTTGGCTTCTACCGTCCACCAAAGCCATCAAATGGGATGATACATTACAAACAAAGACTGTTACCCAATGGCCCAGCTCCACACAGGAGCCATCTAAAGTGACCAGTTTGGATCCTTTGCTGGACAGCGACTTGGACAACGCAATAGGGATTGGTGAGGGCAAAGTTACGGTATCCAGCGAATTAGCTGTGTCGTCATCCAACACCATAGATGGGGATCTCCTGGCTGGAAGCCAGAGCTCCAGGCCTCAGCTGGTGGGAGGCAACGCCGCAAGCTTCACGGTGCTTGCTGATTCGGATGCTTTCCTACCATGCGAAGCAACGGGCAACCCGACACCGATCATGAGTTGGACCAAAATCTCAACAGGTAGGTGGCCCAGAGTGATTGTTCACAGGTAAGAATTGTAATAATCCTTGCATTTGGTACTGCGCCTTTCATGTCGGGAGGACACGTCAACAACAACTTGCATTTATATAGCGCCCTCCACGTCGGGCAGAGTCTCAGAGTGCTAAAGCGCCCATCAGCGTGTTTCTGCAACCTCCTTCAATCCTATCAACCCGACCACTCACTTTGCTCAGCAGACACCAGCCTGCTTCATACCCCCCACCTCACCATTGGCAAGGTGGGCTGCTCTCCAGAACTCCATCACAGGGTTCCTCCGACTCGCTCGCTCACTTCCCTCCTTCAAGGCACATCTCAAAAGGTACCTCTTTGACAGTATACCTGGTTGTCTTTCCACCCCCCCACCCCAGCTTGAGTGCCTATCCAGCACTGTGAAATGCTTTGAGATGTTCTCCTACCATGACAGGCATTATATTAAATGTAAATTGTATTTCTTCACATGTTATCGTGTAATGTGAAGTGACTGTGTATTTTTGTAGGCGAACAATATAAGCTCCAATAGTGAAATAACTCAGGCAAATTATTCATTTCAAGCCTGTTTGTGGGATTCTGCTATGTGTACAGATCAGCCACTGCCTTTGACACTTGACAACAATGCCCTGTGAGAATCACTCTGAGACATTTTGATGTTACAGGCGTTGTATCAAATGCAAGGATTATTATTATAACCATAATAATCATTTTATTGCTAGTTATTTTAGTAAAAGCAAATAGTAATTTCTTCACTTTACAGTAAATCCTGTGCTTTGAGACGTCTTGACGCCGTGATGATGCACTGTGTCAAATGCAAGGATTATTATCCTTGTAACTATCACAAATTGTGAACAAATTGTGGGTCTCTAACATTTATTAGCCATTGTAAAGGTCAACTGTATACAAGTTACACGCCACTGGGTGGCATTTTGTAACAGCATTAATTCAATAAGCATTTATTGGTTTGTTGGCACAGGAGCAACAGTTACTGCAAGTGTCAAGCGTGGGAATAAGTTTGAAGTGTTTCCAAATGGCACGCTGTCTATACAGAGGATCTCGGTTCAGGACCGCGGACAGTACCTTTGTATCGCGGAGAATGAACATGGCTCAGCTCGGCTGCTGCTCACACTGTCTGTGGTGGCTTACGCTCCAAAGATCACAGAACCTCGGCTGAAGGACATCACCGTGCACGCCGGCTACCCGGTAGAGATGAGATGCAGGTCGGAGGGTCGACCGTCTCCCTCCATCTCCTGGCTCCTGTCTAACAGGACCCTGGTGAGGAGCAGGAGTCCGTTCAACGGGAGAGTCTTGGTGCAGGCGGATGGCACGCTGAGAATCAAAGCGGTGACGGTGTATGACAGGGGCAATTATAAATGTGTGGCCAGTAACCCAGCCGGGATGGATACCGTCATCGTCAGGATGAGAGTGGTTGCTTCACCTCCTGTAATTGTGGAAGAGAAACACGAAACCATCAGAGGGAAAGTGAGGCAGAATCTCCAGCTACCTTGCACCGCGGTTGGTACCCCGCAGCCAACTGTGACCTGGGTGCTCTTTGACGGGACTGAAATCTCACCCTTGCAGTTTCTTAACACCAAACTCTTCGTATTTACCAACGGCACCATTTACGTTAAATCCCTGGCTCTGGCAGACAGCGGCAATTACGAATGTATAGCGACGAGCTCCACGGGCACGGAGAGGCGGGTTGTCAGCTTGGTGGTGGAACAGACAGAGACCGTGCCCAAGATCGTGGCCTCGTCTCCCAGGAAATCCCAAGTCAAGTACGGAACTCAACTCCAGCTTGACTGCTCGGCTACGGGTGACCCTAAGCCCAGGATTATTTGGAGATTACCTTCCAAACTCATTGTGGATCAATGGCAACCGTAAGACAGTCACTTGACTCATCTCCTTTCTCAACTGATGTGCCTGCATGTGCCGTCGTTACCTTCCTCCTTCCTAAATGTTTCCCAATCTTTTCTGTTCTGCTTCCTCTCACCTCAAAGCACAGAATCATTCCTTTTATGCTCAGGTGATCACAGAGTTATCGAGTTACAGTGAACGTTACAGCACAGAAACAACAATAACTTTCATTTACACGCCCTTTGTGCAGGGTAGCATCTCGCAGTGCTTAAACAGGCCATTCCGCCCAACTTGTCCATGCCAGTGTTGAGACTCCACACGAGCCTCCACCCCTCCTATTTCCCTCTCTTCCCTGCTGCCTCATGTAATGCATCTTAAATATGTTGATTGTTTCTGATTCAACCATAGCTTCCTGCAGTGAGTTCCAAACTCTCAACGTGCTCTATATAAAGTTTCTCTTAAACGCTCGATTAGATCTGTTACCGGCTGTTTTATATTTATGTCCCTCATTGTGGACTCACTAACAAAGGGAAACAGCCTATTTATACCCACTTCATTGAATGAATTCCTAATCTTTAACCTCTCTATCAGGTCCCCTCTCATTTGTCTCAACCATAGAGTGAAAAGTTGTAACCGTCCAATCTTTCTTGATAGCTGTATCTACTGGTAAAATCCTTGCAAATTCATGCTGTACTCTATCCTATGCTACACTATCGATCCTATATTGTGGTGACCAGAACTGCAGCTCAGAAAAACAGAACTGAATAGCTGGGAAGCCATTCATAGAAAGACAATTAATCGGATTCAACCTCACACACTTAAGCTTCAATATTCGAGGAGAGAGAAATAGAACTTAGTGGTCATAGAACAGCACTAAATGTCAGCTGGTGAATTCTTTAGAGGAGAGGCAGGGAAATCTGAATTAAGAGTCCCAGATCCATAGTAGGTAGGAGCACAGTGCTTGGTTACTCTGGAAAAGATGCTTCATAATAATAATCTGTGCATTTGAGACATCTTTCATATCACAAGGACGTCTCAAAGCACTTCACAGGATATAGTGTAAAATGTCTGTGACTGTCTTGCAGGTTGGTAAAGAGAGATATAAACTGAAAATATTTTAAAGATTGCAGAGCACAAAGTATCCTTTTTAAGTCTCATGAACATTGGAATAACATCTTTACAAACTAATAATACCAGTGCACCATTTCCCCCAGACTTGCAGACCAGGTGCCTTACTTTTGGTTGTCAATGTGTGAATCATTGGTTTCCTCTCTTAGCCGGCTTTCCCTTCATACTCTTAAGCATGGTGATGGGCTTCCGCAAGTGTCAGACACCCGGCTGACAAAAAACAATTCACACTCAACCAACTCCGTTCAATCTCCGAACTCACTTCCTTGTGATTTTTTTTTGCAATAAATGTCACAAAGCTGCAGCATATAAAATAATAGGAGTTACAGAGAGTCATGGACAGTCACTGACATACATTGCAGCAGGAGCAAACCTTCCTGGGATCTGTCAGGATACTGGGATTGTAAAATGTAACACAGAACCGCGGTGCCCTAAGCAATTGGCTGATGCTGGTGACTTAACCGAGTCCCAGCAATGATCCATTAAACTGCATAATTCAGGAACTGGCTTGTTTTATACACAGCTGAAACCAAACGCAACCCACTGAATACTAATTATATGAAACGATCGGAAAGAATTTCCTTGTCACGAGTCATCCAAATTATCCTCATGCGAATAATTGGAATAATTCTCTTCCAGTTGGAACACAAGTGTTATTTTTGTAAAGGTTTTTTTAAGAAAGAATTTTTCACTCCTTCCCAACCCTTTTGATTTTTTCAAGGGCTTGTATTTTGCAGGGATTTTAATAATTCTTCCACCCCTGTTCAGTCTTCCCTCGAACACTTCTGTTTGTGTTGTGTCCTCCTGGCTATGTGTTACTCTGTATTTCCTTTTCAATCCCTTTACTTCTTGACTTTATGTCCCTCATGTTCCTTCTGTATATCCCGTCGTTTGTTCATTTTATGATGTATAACTCAGGTGTGTTCCCTTCTTCGCTAATGGTTCTTTTACTCACACAGGCTTGATGTCATTTTGTATCTGAATCACATACTGTCCCCCACTCTCACTTTACTCGCAGACCCGTCATAACATCTTCAGGTCTCCTGCTGATGTTCTTCCATTGAAATGTTGCCTGCTTCATTATTTTTGGCTGAAGCCATGTATATGTCATGTATAGTCTGCTAACACAATCTCCTTTGAGAATTGGCACTGGAGATCCCAGACCTTCTCTTACTAGGGTATTATCATACTAGCGTAGTGCTTAGCGCTCTCGGAAGCGACAGGACCCTGGTTCAATTCCCGGGCGGCGTGAAACCTTATGCAAATTTCTTTCTCTATATGCCTGTGTTTACCTTTGCAGTAAGTACCCAGGCAGACGTCATAGTTTCTTACGCAGTTCTCTATCTGCACAGATATTCCTGAAAGGAACAGCACAGGTCTAGCCCTTCCTTCGACCTGTTACATTCCCCAATGCCCTCCACTTCTCTTTTCAGTTGCTGCGGAATTATCACCTTGTTTCTCTTAAATTGGATATCCTCATGCAAGAGTATTTCCTCCTTAAAATGGCAGGATGGTCTTGTTTCTCTTGGCACTGCTCTTCCATCTGGCCGTCTCTCTCATGGTTCTTGAAAAATGCCTCAGGATCTCATTCCCTTCCCATATGTTTCTGAATCTTTCCCATCTTTCCTGCTCCATCTTTTGCATTCATTTTCCTACAGTCTCAGCTTCACTGTTTTTGGCACTCTCCTGACAGCATGCATTATCAGTTGTACTCCCTCTTTCAGCGTTATATGATATTCCTCTGATTTTTTGCCCGGAATTCGTAATAATAATAAGAATAATCCTTGTATGAGTCCTGTAACTCAGTGGTTAGAGCACTCGGCTTGAAAGTGAGACACCTGGGTTCAATTCCAGGCAGAGCAAAACCTTGGGCAAGTTTCCTTACTCCACATGCCTAATAATAATCCCTCCAAAAAAGAAAACCAATAATAAATTGGTCATTTCAATCCACGACTGTTTGTTGGACACTGCTGTGCGCAATTGGCTGCCAAGTTTCGCCCACAAATATACGGTCAATTCACTTTACAGTCTATTCTGTGAAACGCTTTGAGACGACGAGAAGATGTGAAACGCGCTAAACCAAATGCAAGGATTATTATTATTGTTGTATTTGATATAGCGCATTTAATATCACATCATTGAGATGTCTCAAAGTGCTTCACGGGATATATTGTAGTGGATTGACTGTGCATTTTGTGGCCGAAACACGACAGCCAATTGCGCACAACAGTGTCCGACAAACAGTCATGGAGTGAATGACCAATTTTTGGGGGAGGTGGGGAAAGTGTTCTGGAAAGTGTTCCCCTAATTGACCGGGCTTCTATTTACTGCTAGGTAAACAGAGGCGTGTGGAGTAAGGAAACATACCTAACGTTTCACCCTGCCCAGGAACATGTCCTCATAGTCTCCATATATTTTTTCATTAATATCATTTACTCTGCCTATTAGCCCCATTTTTTTCTTCAATCCCTTCAGTTGGACTAGCGTGCTGCTCTGCCTCTACCACATGGAATGTTGCTTTGGACTGGATCCCTTTGCTTTCCAGACTCTAATATGACTGACCACATTATATTTACTCTGTAACCATTTGCCACATAAGCATTTGCTCTGGATGCTTCCAGATAATTGGAACTCTCTTGGCTGCCTCAGAATTTGTAGCAACGAGCTCCCCCGTCATGCGTGGGCTAAACTCGTTTCAATTCTGTCCAGTTAAGCATACTTGGCTCTGGCACACCCCAGGCGAGCAGCAGCACTTTCTACTCTGGTCGGCAGTTTTCTCCCACTTTACCTTGGCTTTTAGTTTACTTCTGACACCATGCTATGTGACATCTTGCAATACTTTCCACTCCGGGTTTGAAAAGATTTCAACTTTATTCTCAATTCACAGCCTCCTTTCGCCCCTCCATCTCTGAGCTTTTTACCCTCCAGGATTCCTCGAGCATTTGGATCTTCTAGATCAGAGGTTCTCGACCTTTTTGGCCTCAGGACTCTTTGTAAACCTGTTGACACCCAGTAAATAGCTTTAGTGTGAAAATCATCTGGTTTACTAAATATTTCTCAGCCAAGGTGTACAATATACACATTAACAAATTAAGTACTAAATGTAGCAAATATTAAAATATAGGACTTTTGTATCTGTTGTATAAATCCTAAGTTCCACTTAATGAGAAAACTGAGTTTTCTTTTCTTTGATGAGTTATCAAAGTTTGGTGTAAAAGAATTCCCAGTATCACTGCTACTTGCAACAGGAGAATATCACAGTGAATTATATGGAGTCCTGTAACGTATTGGTTAGAGCACTTGCCTCACGAGCGAGAGGACCTGGATTTGATTCCCAGGCAGGGCAAAACGTTAGGCAAGTTTTCTTACTCCACATGCCTCTATTTACCTAGCAGTAAGTAAGATCCCGGTTGTTAGATCATTGGCGGATCCCTTTTCTGGGGGTAATAATCCCTTCAAAAAGGAAAATAAATTTTTAAAAATAATTTGGTCATTAAATTCACGACCGATTGTGGGGCCAGTGCTTTGGAATTGGCTGCTGCATTTGGCCCACAAAATATATAGTCAATTCACTTTACAGTATATTCTGTGAAGCGCTTCAAGATGTCTCAAAGATATGATAAGGGGCTAAATCAAATGCAAGAATTATTATTACACTACTGACCGAATCGTTTGTTCCCTTGTCAGAGCGGGAAAGCGTATCCATGTGCTAGCCAATGGCACCTTGGTGAACGAGGCGGTGACAGAGAGAGACGGCGGAGATTACCTGTGCGTGGCCAGGAACGAGCTGGGAGACGACCTGGTGCTGATGAAGGTGGCTGTGAGGATGAAAGCCGCTCAGATCGAGCGCAAACAGTCCATTCACAAGCAGGTATCGTACGGACAGGATCTGAGAGTGGACTGCAAGGCCTCGGGCTCGCCGGAGCCACAGATCTCCTGGGCTTTGCCAGACGGCACTATGGTCAACAGCGTTTTACAGGCGGACGATAGAGGCGGCAGGCGCCGGCGTTACATTGTGTTTGACAACGGGACCCTGTACTACAACAAGGTGGGGATGGCCGAAGAGGGAGACTACACGTGTTACGCACAGAACACCCTTGGGAAGGATGAAATGAAAGTCCGTGTGACTGTAGTAACGGAAGCGCCACATATAAAGAAACAGCAACAAACCTTTTTTAAGGTACCGAGTGGCGAGAGTGTGACGTTTGACTGCCCGGCTGTGGGAGAGCCAAAGCCAAGGATACTGTGGATGCTCCCGAGCAATGAATTCATCGCCTTCTCCAGCCTTCGCTTCCAAATGCATTCAAACGGATCCTTGTCCATCAAACAGGTCCGTCTCGCCGACAGCGGTGAGTTCACGTGCATCGCTCGCAATCCCGCTGGAGATGATACCATCACTTACCAGTTGGTGGTGGTCTCGGGACCACCATTAATCAATGGGTTGTACAGTAACAAAACCACCATCAGGGAGTCAGCTGTCAAGCACACGAGGAAACTGATCGATTGCGCAACCGAGGGGCTGCCCAAGCCACACATCATGTGGATTATGCCAGATAACATCTTCCTCAATGCCCCCTATTACGGCAGCAGGATTATCGTACACAGGAATGGCACACTGGAGATCCGACATGTCAGGGCGTCTGACCAAGCCAATTTCATCTGTGTCGCTCGCAATGATGCCGGAGAAACCATTCTGGTGGTGAACCTGGAGGTGACCGAGATGTTAAAGAGGCCCGTGTTCAAAAACCCCTTCAATGAGAAAATCATAGTCAAGAGCGGATCCACTGTGATCCTGAACTGCTCTGCCAGTGGAAACCCACCTCCACAAACCATCTGGGTGCTTCCCAACGGATCCCGATTCACCAACAGGCAGAAAGTGGCGCGTTACCAGGTTGGTGCGGACGGAACCTTTATCATCCACAACCCAACCATCGTCGATGCCGGGAAGTACCACTGTGCAGCCAAAAATAAAGTGGGCTACATAGAGAAACTGATTATCCTGCAGGTAGGTCAGAAGCCTTTCATATTGACTCGGCCATTGAGACTGACACGAAGCATCAGTGGTGAGAGCTTGTTTCTTCACTGCTCTGCCAATGGCATCCCCAAAGTAAGTATCACATGGACAGCACCCAATGGATACGTACTCAACAGGCCTCAGATCAATGGGAAGTACACCCTGTACGAAAACGGCACCTTGGTTGTCAGAGACACAAACGTGCAAGACAGAGGAAATTACGTTTGCAAAGCGCACAACACCGCTGGTCTCGCGTCCATCACCATTCCCGTCATCATTATAGCCTACCCTCCTCGTATCACCAACGGGCCGCCCACATCGGTCCGGGCCAAGGCAGGCTCCGCCGTTCAACTCAACTGCATGGCCATCGGCATTCCCAAGCCAGAGATTGTGTGGGAGCTACCCAATCACTCCGTGCTCTCAACTTACAGCAAGGGCTCCCCCACGGGCAGCGAGCTCCTCCACCCACAGGGGACACTGGTCATCCAAAAGCCATCTAGTCGGGACTCAGGCACATATAAATGCACAGCCAAAAATCGTCTGGGCAGCGATTCCAGAGTAAGCCACATTCAAGTTATCTGAAGCCGGGCTGCCCTTCCTTCATGGAATGCCTTTTTACATACATTTAAGAGCCTGACAGTATCTGAGGAAATATGGGCAGATTGTCAAGATTCTGGATCCAGTGTTTGGTACGGATTTCTGTTAACTTTGGGGAAATGAAATCGATGGACTGATTGATTTCAGCCAGCAGGATTGTGTTTAAAAAGATATCTAAACACTGCTTTGTAAACCGTGAGAGTGTGGGAAGACAGAAAACAAGGGAGCAATATTCTTTGTTTAGTAAGAACAACATCTGCCTTACTCAACAGAGATTCGGATCCGGGTCCAATCTTTTGGATTTAGTTCTTTTGAGTTTTTTGTCCAATTCTTTTTTCCTCTTTGTAACACAGAGGAGTCGGTGGGATCAGTGGGATTGATTTATACTCTGGAATATGCACATCTCATGCTGGATTCACTTCCTGTAGGAAAATATAAAAAGAATGCTCTTTTTTAATGTAATCCATGTGGTAAGTAACCAGATTGCTGGAATATACGAATCATAACCATTATCTTGAATATCACACATCATGGAAAAAAGCATCAGTCAGAATATTCATCTTATTTTCATAACCAGTTGTTTTTCTTGCATCGTTTAACCTTTTGATATTTCAAATCGATGTAAAAAATATTACCAAAAGTCAGATGTAATATAATTACTTGTGCAAAGGATAATAAAAGATCTTTTATATATAAAAACACACATATACTCCCATGTGTTAAAAAGTTTGCTGCTGGTGATGGTGGGAGTGACGGATGCAGTTATTGATGATCTTCTTTTGGGGAAAGAAGTGGACTATGGAAGTGGGTCTCCGTGGGGCTGAAGTGGCTCCAAGGTGACATGCCAGTCAATAGAAGATTGGAATGGAGTCCATCCTCTCTGGCAGTCTGGGCATTCTTGTTCCTGAGCCACACAAGTCCGCAGTAGTCCAAGATATAGACAAACAGGAGTAGGCCACTCATCCCCCAAGTCTGTTCCGCCATTCTATAAGATCATGACTAATCTGTACCTCAACTCCAATTAACCGCCCTTGCCCCATATCTCTTGATACCCTGACCTAACAAATATCTAACCACCTCGGTCTTGAAAATATGAATGGATCCAGTCAATTCACTTTGCAGCGCTTTGAGACGTCTCAAAGACATAATGAGGCACTATATCAAAGGCTAGGGTTATTAAACTTTAACAACTCCTAAACACACTCTCTGGGGTCCCCAAACCTTGGCTTTTGCCAACCTACCGGTAAAGTGGAAATTTCTCTGTGCCTGGAATGGAATACGCACTCTTTCCCTGAAGGGGCTCCCTCTGCTTTCTTAACTTTTACAACAACAAATTGTATTTGTATAATACTTTTCTTGCCAGGACATCCAGAGAGTATAAGGCACAGATTACTAAGAACCAATGCACAGGCCTCCAAAGTGTCGGTTGGAGAACTCTTGGGAGTTCAACCAGCTAAAAACGCATAACTTGCCATTGAGAACTTAGTCTGGCGAGCTTCCCACTGCTTAAGCAACTACCCATTACAGCTTTGGCTTGCCAGGTTAACAAGAGCTGAGTGGAAAGAGTCCTTGCCCTTCCAAATGGCCACACGAATGAGGCAATGAGAGCAACTGGCATCCAGCAAACTCTAACAGTGTGCAGTAATGCCAGGAATCAAAGAAACAAGCATTTACAGTGCAGGAGGAGGCCATTCATCCCATCAAACAAACAGTACATTCCCCATTGCCCTCTGTGTCTTATCCCCAAACCCCTTCAAGCCTGTCCTTTGTTTACTTGTCTACTTCTCTCCTGAAATCCGCAATGGACTCTGCCTCTGTCCGTGACTTTAGCGGCATTGGGCTGTGCAAGTAATACCCATGGTCGCATTCATTACCTCCCACTTTGTATCGCATGCACTGTGAGCCTCAGGTGTCATTGATCCTCACGTGCCTGTGAGCCTCAGAAAGCTTCTGTGTGACCTTCCTGTATCCACAGTAATTCCGTTTGCAGTCTTCCTTTTACTGCTACTCACTATTGTCTTGAAATTGTTGGAAGTATTCAATATTCAGCACTTTCTAATACCATGTGTTTTTTAAAGAAAGATCCTGGGACCTTTCTGTCCTGGGAATTTTTTGATGAACATGTAAATCTGAACTTGATTTATTGATAAATAAAGCTTATATTTACACGTACATCAAAACTTCCTGGGACAGAAAGAAAAGCACAACAAAAAAGAAACAATCATTGCAATACACACACGGTCATAATTCAAGGGTTAGATCCCCATTGGTGCTGGAGGAAGGAGGATGGAAGCTGGACGTTCACTGTAAACTGTCAGCATCTCAATGACAGTCCTTCAAGGACACATTCCCCGACCGAGAATTGAGGATAGGCCTGTCGTGTGGCCTGTTGCTCTCCACACATGACCCACGGAGCGGTTACCGTTTAGGTTGAGGTCCTATGCTCACTGTTACCTGTGTCTTGATCACCCGTCGTCTGGCATCACACCCAAGCTTTTTCACGACTCCGACATTCTGCCGGCTCGCGGTGGGAGCTTCGCAATCCTTGTTGAAGTAAGATAAAGTTACAACGAAAAGCAGAGGCATATTGACCATTTGATGGATTTGGCTTCAACAACAGCAACAAAATTACATTTGCATAGCGCCTTTCACGTCGGGAGGACTTCCCAATAACGATAAGAGACAACATTCAGCAGAATTCAGCCACTTGGAGTAACATCCTCCACCGAGGCAGGTACAAAAGGCTGTAATAGCAGAGTTACGGGTTTCTTTTGGCTTGTAATGTGTAATGTTAGGCGAACCAGCATCACCCATGAACTACTACGGACAAGCACTTTTTCAGACTTGAGTCAATAAACCCACTGTTTATTGGCTGTCAGAAACTACTCTGTTATTTAAAGCTCAGTCTCAGCTACGGTTAAGCTTCTTCCGTATGTAATAGCTCATGTGAATGTCTGGAGCCCACTTCACAGCCCATAAATCAGCTTGGTTCATTCGTTTGCACTCTTACCTCTGGCACAGAAAGTCGTGGATTCAAGCTTTACATTCATGGGCTTCGAGCTCAGTCTCGGGTGATGCTCCAGTGCAGTGCTGGGAGGGAGGGTAAGCGCTACATTATTGGGGGTGCCGTCCTTTGGATGATGGGATTGTGTTAAACCAAGTTTTATCAATCTCCCTGTTTACACAAAACATACACATCAACAGCAGTGATACCCAGCAGCGAGGGTGTTACCAACTGAGCCAAGCCAAACCCCAGATCAGAGAGGATTTACTGGCATTAAACACAAGACACAGAACCCCAACCAACATCCTGTAACACCGAATCGCCTCCCACCCACCCTCGAGCCAGGCAAACACCGACACATGGACAGTCTCAGCAATAGAAACACAGGTTTAATTTTTGGGGGAAAAAAGAACCGGAACAGCAGCACAAGGGAACCGCAGAGGGAGAGATGCCTGCAACCTCTCTTACAAGCCCCCACCCCTCTCTAAACCTTCATCAACCTGAGCCTCATGCTCCCTGACGCTGACAAACTCCCTTCTCTTTTCGAATAGTGCCCTCGGATCTTTAACGTCCACCTGAAAGGTCAGACGGGACCTCAATTTTAAATGTCTCATCCAAAAGATGGCACCTCCGACATACCCCCAGCACTGGAGTGTCAAGAGTAGACTATGTGATTCCAAGTACAAACGACACAGGCTGTAGACACAGGCTCCACTGCTCGAGCCTTCCTTCCCTGAGGCCCTCGAGCTCGCTACAGTATTAACCACACACAAGAAACCATTTGCTTGGATGTTGCTAATTATTGGTTTATTGTGTTTATTTTGTGTTGCAACCAGAATCTTTTCCTTTCACCGTACTTGTCGAATGTAACATATAAATACCGAACGTAACCACACACAACATTGCTGCTTCCAGGTGTTTTACCACAATAATAATAACAATACAGGGGAAAAATAGTTTTATATTTAACAAAGTATGCTTTTCTTTAAAAAGTGCTCATGTAAAATTACAAATTTAGGCAAAACGAACAGCTTTGCTTCATCCTTAAAGGCCATTAGAGCAAAACCACGGCGAGAGCAGATATCTGGAGCCTGAAATCTGCTTTTTATAATCAAATTCATTCGTATAAACCACAAATTTGGTCCAGTGCATTGTTACGGGAATTTTGACACAAATAAATAATTCCATTTATATCTACAACATTCTTTTCACTGTAGATAGGCTAAAAGCACCAGAACTTACTTTTAACAATAAACAGCAGCAAGATCCGGGCTGATCCAAACCCTTCTCATTGTAGAACTTCAATAAACATTTTAAATAAAATAATCTACTTTCACTTTACATTATTTATTCACATCAGCTACGTCACGGAGAGGAAGAAAAGAAAAGGGCATGTTTCGAAAATTTAAAAAATAAAATAAAATATTTTTTTATTTTTAAAAAAAAAGTAGGATGAAACAATGAAGGAAATTTACCCCCCTCCCACCCCTCTTTCCCCGGGTGCATTTTCAGCAAATGTCTGGTGCCTTGATCTTCATTGCTGTCCAGAGACTCTCTGGTGTGTGCTTCTCTCTATAAGGTTCAGTAATGGGGAGGGTGGCCACATGGGTTCGATGGCTGTTGTGGTTGGTTACCTGGACAGAAAACGAAGATTTCACACAATACAAATAATAATCCTTGCACTTGATACAGAGCCTTTCATGTCGGGAGGACATCTCAAAGCGTCTCGCTGGATTCCCTGCAAGGTGTAGTGACTGTGTATTTTGCAGGCAAACAGAAGAGAAAGGCAAATATAGTTTAGTCAGTTATAGTTCAGAGAAATTAACACAAGCTACATTTATTTGCTTGAAGGCAGAAAAATTGTGACTGGTGTTTCTATTTGGCAATAAAAGGGTGAAGGTATAGAATGGTTTTGGATGTGGAATGTTCTGGCCATGAAGGCTGTAGAGGTAGAATCAACTGGGATGTCTAAAAGGGAAATAGATGCCTGGCCCAGTCACCTCTGAGTCAGAAGGGTTCAAGCTCCACATCAGGACTTTGAACTCAGTCTAGGCTTGGCTCTCAGCAGTGCCTTCTCGCCTTGGGAGCTAACAGCACACGTGCACATTCTACCTCACGGAGCCAGTGTGGAATCTCAGTGACTTGTTCCAACTCTCAACTGTCCTTTAAAGTCCATGTCCATGCACCGACCCGCTCAGCTTTCCCCGCCTCCATAACAAGGCCCATCTCCCCTCAGCCTGCTGAGACTCTCATCCATGCTTTTATCACGTCCAACCAAGACTATGCCAGCTCCCTGAACTTCCCAACTCTTCCCTTCACAAGCTGCGCACATCCAGAACTCAGCAGCTCGTGCTCTCTCCCATATCAGGCTCCGCAAGCGTATCACCCCTATCCTCAACCAGCTTCACTGGCTTCCCACCCCAAGAGGATAGAATTCAAGATCCCGCCACGATCTTGCCCCACCTACCTCTGTGATCTTCTAAGACCCTGGCAACCCGCCTGCTCCCTCCACTCAGCAGGCATTGGCCTGCTTCACAACCCCCACCCTGCTACCATCAGCAGTCGGGCTTTCAGTCTTTCTGCCTTAATCTCTGGAACTCCATCTCTGAAATCCCTTTGCCTCGCCCTTCCCTTGTCTCCTTCAAGCTCTGTCTCAGGACCTTTATCTTTGACTGGGCCTTCAGGCATCTTCCCTCACCTCCACTCCCTTCCGAATCCAACCCCCAAGTCTTGGACTGGCCCTGGACTGACCAGCACCTTGAGATATTCTGCCCAACATGAAAGGCCATATAAATGCAATCTGTTGTTGTAGTGGTAGTTATTAGTCCCAATGGGGTGGGTCCAGATTCTGTGGATAGTGGGCTCTCCTGTGTTGCCTCACGTGAATTCCTTTGCTATCTGCCCACGATTATCAGGTGTCAGATATGGTCCGGTGCTTGTTACTTACTGGAGAGCTGTTTCTGCAGCTGTCTAACTAGAGCGGCCGTCTGTTGCTGTTGCTGTGTTTGTTGCATCCCCTGCCTCGAAAACTGGGGGAAGAGGACAGAGAGCACAGAATATTAATACCCAACTGTTTCCCGCAGCAATCCTTATTTTTTGTTCAGCTGGGTGTCTGACACATTTGGAAACCTATCACCATGTTTAAGAATATCAAAAGCAAGCTGAGATTTCCATGCATCCCACCTACGCATGGAAAGTCCAAAGATAAGATTGTTGGAATGGAATGCGCACTCTCTCCCTGGAGGGATGCATCCTGCTTACCTAATTCTAACCGCCTGCATTCTCCTGGCCTCCTCGATACGATACACCACCTGCTAATACATTCTAACCTCTTAGAAACAAAATGAAAGATTTCCGGTGTGAACCAACCCAAGAAATGACAGCTTTAGAAGCTGATCAATTCTATGAAGTGCCCTTGAGACATCTCGAAGATGTAATAAGGTGCTAATAAGGTGCAAGGGATTATTATTATCATTTATTCGAAACTCTCTGGCACTAGGTGAGCAGAGTGCGTCCCTCCCAGGATAAAATGCACACGTCATTCCAGACACAGGAAAACCCGACATGGGGAACTATCTTATTTTGATACTTTTAAGTCTGGTATTGGGTTTCTATATGTCTCAAGACACCCAGCTGGCAAAAAAAACTTCCTTCTTTGTCTGTACACAGAAATAGTCTGCGACACACTTGGCACAATCTCATTCGTCACAGCACCATAGTGACTACACTCACCATCCCCATAGTGACCACACTCACCATCTCCATATAGCCCACACTCACCAGCTCTGCTGCAAGGTATACATTTCAGTAAGGAGTAGTCAATATTGAGCTGTCTTACGTCCATACACAAGCCCTGATACAATAAATACAAAATTGCATTTGTATAGTGCCTTTCACATCAGGAGGATACTGATGACCTGTGACATGCCCACTGGGCAATTCACAACAATGATCTGTCCTCCAGCTAAAACCCAACATTTTCCATCTCTGTGTTTTGGACCACTGCTCAGGTATTTATCCAGTTCCCTCTTTGTATGATTGACCCAGCCTCAGTAGTTACCTATGGCAATGCATTCCCCATACCACCACCCCCAACAATCCTTCAAGTGGAGACATGCTTTAAGCTTTCTAACCTCTGTCCTGCAATTCTCAGTTTGGTTTGGATACTCTTAAGCATGGTGATAGGTTTCTGTACATGTCAAGACACCTGGTTGATCAAAAACAAGTGTGACCACACTCACCGTCCCAGGAACTGAGAATTCCTGATGCCTCTGCTAACAATGTCAAGGCCGTGTCCGAGAGCAGAACGGTCTTACCCGGCTCTCAAATCATCATCTACTTACTAGTGGCTGCTGGGACTGCACGGCCTGTATCCCCAATGCCTGCTGGCTCTGTTGCTGCTGTTGCTGTTGCTGCTGCTGTTGTTGTTGCTGCTGCTGCTGCTGCTGCTGCAACTGTGGTAGAAACAGGGACAGATTGAACAGTCAGAGAGATACAGATCAGACTTCAGGCACACAGGAAACATACAAAGCAACCCTGCAGGATGTCCACTCTCAGCATCAGTGCTGAGCAGATTATAATGGGGGGGGGGGGGGGGGGGAGACTTTGTTCTTGTCAAAAGTGACACACTAGGAGGATTAGGTGGGAAAGTCAAACAATAAAATAATAACAAAAGAGCAAATGAGTATATGCCCAGTTACAGGTACCTGCTTTGGGTGGATGTCTCAAAGCGCTTCACAGGATTTGCTGTAAAGTGTCGATACTGTTTATTTTGTAGGCTGATGTGCAGGCAATTTGCATACAGTAACGTCCCACAAACAGCCTTGACACACAACATTGACTAATTTTATCTGGGGGATTGCTGGCCAGGATACATCAAAAATTCTTTCTCATTTCATATAGTGACATGAGATCTTTAATGTCCACCTCAATAGGAGCTTTGGTCCAATGCCTCATCACATCACTCCTGTAACCTCTGCTACCCTAAAGGACAGCACCTTCAACAATGCAATGCTCCTCAAACACTACACTGGAGTGTAAGCCTACATTATATAAGTTCAAAGTCCTTACGTGGGGCTTGAACTCACAACCTTCTGACTCAGAGGTAAAAGTGCTTCCGACTGAGCCAGGCTGATACCTAACTTTTTACTATATCAATTTCCAATATGCAATAAGGAAGGAAGAAATGTACCTATTATTGGTTAGTGCTCATAATGGTACATCTCACCGAGGAAGAGATCTAGGAATGAGATCCATGGACAACACTGGTGATGCCATTTATATTGGACTGTTATTGCTCAGAGATAGGGGAGAGGGGTGGGTCAGGGAAGAATTTTATAACCGTTTGTCTGTTGTTATCCATCTCTCTACCTAACCGTGCAAAAGTCAGGTGCAGTCTGTCTACAAGACTGAGCTGGATACTGTTACAGCTTTTCATTCAGGTGAGTGAATGATTCCCTTTATCTGTCATGGGTCACAGCTTTCGGCACCCAATTTTAGGAAGGAAAATCTAGCCTTGGAGGGTGTCCAGTGACAGTTCACTGGACTAATACATAGGCTGAAGGGGGTTAGCTATGTTGAGAGGCTGAGCAAACTAGGGTCTAATTCCTTTAGGGCAGCAGAGGTTACAGGGTGAATGTGATTGAAGTGTTTATAAAAATGAGGAATTGACAGGGTAGACAGTGGATAACTCTTTCCTCAGGTAGGGGAACCATTGCAAGTGGCAGAGCCTTCAATTCAGATGCTAGACAGTTACAGCTGAGGTCAGGAAGCGTTTCCTCAGAGAGGTGTGAGGAACACTCCCACCCAAAAAACTGTAGAGATGCAATCGCAAAGAATTTGTTAAATATTTGGGTAGTTGAAAGGGTTTGGTGAAAGGCCAGAAAATTGGCATTAAAAGATCCGACAAGATCTAACAAATTGATGGAACAGGGGCTTGATGGGCTGAATGGCCTCTTCCTGTTCTGCTGTGATCCACACCTGGAATTTCCTAATTTCACAAACTGGATCCTAAAACAACTTGTACTCCCAGCAGAAAAGGATGTGGATCTGGTGCCATGGACCCAGTCCTGCCAATTCCCACCTGAAGGAGGCGCTGTTGCCGGAGCTGTTGCTGTCGTTGCCGCATCTGGTCTTGTGAGAGCTGGACCGAGCTAAGGTTTGGGTGAGGGCTCGAAATCATGTGATCAAGTCCTGTCCCCATCAAGGAGTTCTGCTGCAATGGTTGATGAGTAAGCCTAAGCCAACAAACAACAGATAGGGGGTTAACATAGGACACTGGGAATAGCTGGGAATACGCCAGGCATCACCTGGGATCGGGCTGACCATCGCCAAACTCCGGTACAGAGACTGTTAACAGAACAAACTGCCTATATTCTGCAGAAAACATAGGTCCGCAAGGCAGGGCTTGTTCCGTTCTGAAAGCACTGACCCAACAGTTTACAGACCCGTGAAATGAAGAAAAACCACAAAGAACTTGCATTTTTACAACATTTTAGCGCATCAAAACATCTCAACCCACTTCGCAGTAATCACTGTCACGTGCGAGTGACTATATTTATTGGCAACCGCGGCAAACAATTTGAGCGTTGGCAAAATCCCACAAGTAGCCATGAAGTGAATGACTGGATTTATCTAAGGAATTTTCATAATAATAATCTTTGCATTTGACACAGCGCCTTTTCATGTCTTCGAGTCGTCTCAAAGCGCTTCACAGAATATACTGGTAAGTGAATTGATTGTACATTTCGTGGGCGAAACACAGACAGGTTTATCATATTGCTGTATCCTATATATCCTTGCATCAGCACCTATAACGTTGAAACACTTCAAAGCACTTCTCAGGGAATTGCCATAAAATGTATTTGTATTTGTAGGCAAACGGCAATTTGCCCCAGCACAGCCCATAATTGATGGTGCGCGACCAGTTTTATTTGGGCGATTGTCGACTAGGACACTAGGATAGACTCCCTTCTCTTTCAAATAGTGTCATGGAATCTTTAACGTCCACATCAACAGACAGACGGGACCTCGGTTTAACATCTCATGTGAAAGAAGCCACCTCTGACAATATCCTAGACTCAAAATCCCCAGTTTGGAACCCACAACCTTCTGACCCAGAGGTGAGATTGCAATGCACCGAGCCAGGCTGACAGTGTTTGAACAGTCAGCATTATAGGGTCACATCTGCTTCCATTGAAATGTGCAGGTGTTAATTCAATCGAGACAGATTTGAATTGGCAGCAGATATAGAATACACAGCTGCAGCACTGGATTAGCGAGTGAAGGGTTGGCACAAGCACACAGAATGAAGGGTCGCTGCTCTGATTCCCGAACTATGGTGAGCTGTGTTGATTTCTGGTCGAGCTGTACTGCAGGGGGGGAGTGGGAGAGGGTTAAATTTGTGGTTAACATTGCTGGCCTGGGTTAGGAGAAAAAGTCAGCTTGGGCTCTCCCTCCTCATCAATGTTTATCTACTCTCTGGCTACCCTTTGTAGATTAATCCAAACAGAACAAATTGCTATCAACATCTCCATAATTGCAGCAGCCGACTACCAGCATGGTAGAAGGCGAACTAGGTGGATCTTGGTTCTTTTTCGTCATTTCTTTTAACCCCAGAAGAGGGGTAGCTGGTTCCTGACTACTTAATAATAATAAACCTTGTACTTGATATAGTGCCTGATCACATCATTCCTTCAAGCGCTTTACAGAATATACTGTAAAGTGAATTGACTGTATATTTTGTGGGCGAAATGCAGCAGCCAATTGCGCACAAGAGTGACCCACAAACAGTCGTGGATTATGTGACCAAATTATTATTTTTTAAAGGGATTATTACCCCTGGGAAAACAATCCGCTAATTGACCTACAATTTGGGTTCCTACTTCCTGCTACGTAAACAGAAGAGTGTGGATTTAGGAAACTTGCCTAAAGTTTCGCCCTGCCCAGGAATCAAGCCTGGGTCCTCTCGCTTGCGAGGTGAATGCTCTAACCAACAAGCTACAGGTTCCACTTACCGCTGAGTGCCCTGAATGGCGGGTGGATAGGCCGAAGCCTGCTGGTGAATATAGCCACTAGGTTGCTGCTGCATTTGCCTGATTCGGTCCATGAGTGCTAGGTTGGAGTGGGCGGCCTGGTACGGTCGGGCACTGTAGTTGGGGGACAGCATGCTATTCCCAGCTTGCTGCTGCAAAGGCATCTGAGTGCTGTACGCCGTGTATCCATGAGGCATGGCCTAGAATAAGGAGCGAGGGCACATCAGAGGGTCAGACACACAAAACAGCTCACTGGGTTAATAGGTGAAGATGGAGACACTTTTATTCCTCCTGATTAAAGTTTATCACCTGTAGACTTCCTAGGGCTCCCAGTGAAAGATAAAAGTGATCTTTAAAGTCAGTTTCCCTAAACTTCTCAATAGATTCCTTCAACACATCTATCACCTAACACCCCTGAATCGTGTGTCAGTCTGGCTTAATCGGTAGCACTCTTGCCTCTGAGCCAGAAGATTGTGGGTGTAAGTCCCACGTCGGGACCTTAAACCCACAGTCCAGGCTGACACTCCAGTACAGTGCTGGGAGCACTGTAGTGTTGGAGGTGCCATCCTTTGGATGAGATATTAAATCAAGGTCCCATCTGTGCCTGTTCAGTTTTTCCTGGTTTCGTGGCCAACAAATACATTGTCACTACATATTACTTTAAAATCCTGCGAAACATTTTGAGACATCTTAATGATGTAATAAGGCGCTGTATCAAATGGAAGAATTATTAATTTATTATATCCTTTCAATTTCCAGGAATTTGTACAGTTCCCCTAATATCATTCAATTCATGATAATAGTAATTAAAAATAATCTCAGCATTTGATACAGAGTCTATAATGTCAAAACATTATATGCCAACATTTATAACCTCCAAAATTGGCCATTCATTTCATGGCTGTATGCAAATTGGACGCTGTGTTCGTCAACAAACACATAGTTATTATACTTCAGAATAAAGGGTTCTGAGACGTCCTCTTAACATGAAAGCTGTATCAAATACAGTGCAACATAAGTCGTATTATTCGGGACCACATTTAACATGACTTACACGAAGTCCTAGTTGTAGGCAAACTTGTATAAGTCGCATAAAATCCGATTCAATCAATAATCTACACTGTGCATGTGTAATTGAGTGCAGAAGGTAAGTGCATATGCGGGGATGGGTCAAGGCTACATTTCCTGTGATTCACTGTGTTTTGACCTGTTGCCGAATGCAAGTGTTGGAATCACATTGAAATAAAATTCTGCGCATGCGGCAATGGGTCAAGAATATGTTTCCCCCGATTCAATACAGTGGCTCGTAAGTGCGCATATGTTGAACAGTCAGGATGTTATTTCTGGCGGTTCAAAGCACTTGTAGATTACTTCCAGTAAGTGTGGGAGGTTAGGGGGAATGGTGTTACGAGTGTAGGAGCAAACCTGTGCAAAGAAATCTAAGTGACTTTGATAGGAAACTGAATGAAACTCGGGTGCATGTGTGACTTAGGGGCGATTATATGGTTTAGATGGATGAGATTTAAACAAGTTTTATTGCACAAGGATTATTAATATTTATTATCACTTGAAAAGTCTCAAAGCATTTCACATATATTTGCAGTAAAATGAAGTGACTTTTTTTTGTTGGCAAACTGTCCCACAAGCAGCCATGAAGTTAGTGTCCAATTTTATCTAAGAGATTGTTGGCCAGGACACAGGTAGAAACTCCCTTCTCTTTTTCTGATAACATTGTGGGATTGACCTGTATAAGGTTGACCTGGACAGGCAGACAGGAACTTGGTTTAATTCCTCATCTGAGGTATAGTTGTGGTACAATGAAACCTAAATGAGCAAAGACACAAAATAACTTGCACCAGAGAGACAATAAGAAAAACAACACACCACACACCTGTGCCTGCTGCACACCAGGGTACTGCGGGATTTGGGCAGCTCGGACCGGCTGGCCATAAAGACTACTTTGGTCCACGGGTTGACTCTGAAAGATACCAAATATCAGCATTAAAAAGACCCTCACCATCAAGACCATCACCACTGAGACCTTCACTAAGTATGCCTCTCACTGTGCCAACCTCTCTGTCACCCACCAGCTCTAACAGCAAACAGCAAAGTGATTTGACCAACTGGGCTGCAGAGGGCACGAGCTGCTACTTTTGAAATCAAAACGCTCTTCAAATAATCAACTTGCATTAGAAGGAAACAGCGCTCTATCGCTCAGGCTCCAATCGGTGCCATGTGACCATACACATTCAGGCTTCATGTTCTTGCCCCTTCGCTCCATTATGGGTCAACTCCATTTCAACAGATGTGCAATTAACACTGATCTGGTGCCAACACTTGAGAGATTCTCCCCGAGCACTTGCCCTGGAGTGACTCACATGTGTGAATGGGACAACATAATTTGGGCTTGCACCCAAATCTCAGGGTATCAGATTAGGCCTGATAACAGAAATGTCTACCCAACCCAGCGAGTGGGAGGGTGGAGGGGATGAAGAATTGAAACGCTATGCACATACTGGCAGCGCCTCCTGTTTATACTCTCACTGATCAATGGGTTTCTGGTCATACTCCAGAACTAATCAGAGTTACGAACACAAACAAATGGTTGCTTCCTGCACTGAACCGTGGGGCACTCAGCCAGCCAGACCCAATGAGCAACAGAGCACTTTAAATTGGAAGCTCCTGGCAACGGGGGTGCAGAGGTGGGGGGCTATAATTAGAAACATCCGGAGTGAGAGAAAGCACGAGGCTAACACGTTCAGGGAACGAAAGGCAGATACACCATAGGTTTAGCATTCAATTGAGCTTTTCGTTTTTGCTTAAAGCACTGTCGGTCCACAATTCCATCTAGTCTCAGCCTGAGAGACCATTTGTCTCAAAGACGGTGCTCAACTGTACAGAATTCTCCAGTTTTCCTAAAAATAAACTGTCTTTGGTTTGATTCTCAGCTTGGTTCAGTCCCTGACCAAGACTGCTATTCCTGCCTCTGCCTCCCATCATTCACACCTCTGTCATCGCCCTACTTGACTGTTCTAACTCACTCATCGCCTGTTTCCCTGCCTTCATCAACAACAAACTCAAACTTCCTCACCAAATTCCTATCGCACCAGTCCTCGTCAGACTCCACTGTCTCCCTGCCTTCCAATGAATCAATTTCAAGGTTCTCACCCTCACCTGTAGTCCCTTCACACCCGACTACCCCCCCCCCCCCAGTGATCCTCTGCTACCTTACTCTTCTCTGGTCGCCAGTGCTTTCCCTTCAACGTTCAGTCATGTAGGGATACCACAATCCGAACTACATTCAGTCACTACATTCCCATCCTCTGGATCGTGCAATCTTTACCCTTTTTCCTTGCTCCCTCTCTATGAATCTTAAAATCGACCATGCCTATGGACACCTCCCCCTTTCCCTTGCTCGGGTGTCCTGTAAAGTGCTCCTACACTATCCAAATGCAAATTGTTATATAGGAAGGAGTGAGGGAGTAACTGAGATCACTTGCAGTCGAGCACATTAATTGTTACAAAAAGCTTTTATTAATCAGCTTGAAATTGGTCTCAAGGCTACAGATTCAGAGAAAGCATCCTGCGAATCTCATCAGAACATGCAAGCTACAAAATGCCTCAAACTATGCTTAATCCTGTTACGTCCAGGACTGTTATCTATTAGGAACTGAAATTTGCTGTGGCCTGGGCTCAGCAGGGTCGGTTATTGCAAGTATGCGTTAATAAAGCCGAGCAATTGCCCAGCAGGGGACAGAGGTGGTCACTGGATCGAATAACTCCTTTGGGCTCAGTTTCCGATTCATAATCCGATCCATTTGCCAGAAAACTGCCGCACATATAAAAATTCCCAGAATAATCTCACTATGATCATTTTCTGGCTGAACACCAACAATTATTGTTGGCTGGGAGTTTGCTCTCTCTAAATGTGTGCTAGCATCTTTATTCCTCCGTGAAATTGGGCTACTGTTAGACTGGGATTTACTGAAAGCAAATCACTCACCTGCAGCTCCACTAACCCTCAATCCCAGGAAAGGCTGTGCACACACACGCGGGCACTTTGTTTCTACAACTACTCACACACTCCTTACAGTCAAATGCAAGAAACAAAGAACAATTCTACACAGAAGGCTCAATGTTCCCATGCTGGCTGGTCTGTCAGTACAGCATCCAGGAGCAGTGTGAAGTTTCCTAGCTCAGAAACATTGAGTAAAGAAATTCTTTCCAACTTTTCCCCTAAAGTTTCCCTGAGGCTGTACCCTATTGTCAGCCATTTCCTGGCTAAAGGAAATAGCTTCTCTCGATATACCCTGCCGAACCCCTTCAATATCTTAAAATCCTCAATCATGTCCCCACTTAATCTCTTTTGATTCAGTAAAAAACTCCTCTATTTAATTCAGCCTCTCTTGGTGTGTATGTGAGCATATACTTATGAAGAATATGAGCAGCGAAGCTGAAGATTGGAATGAGGAATAAAGGCGAAGGTTGAAAAGACTGATATAAGGAATATAGGTGACGATTAAACACTCAACGCTCACATTTGTACTTTAAGAGTGATATTTTCATGCACCTTTTGATTTAAAATGAAATAAATTCAGAGCATTTAAATCCAGATATAAAAAGAAAGCAGGAAGGTGTCTGGAATGGGTTACCATTAAGCTGAAATTGTTAAAGCCGTCTTGGAGGGACACAGCAGTGTTACAGGATTCCTAGAGAGAGGACAAAGGACAAGAGAAACAACAGTGTGTGAATGGGAATTGGATGGCAGGAATAGTTTTACACGGAGTTGGTTAACAGCAAACAGCGTCTACGACAATCGGTGACACCGTAGCACTGAGCAGTGAAGCGCAGGCAGCGATGGGAGACACGGAGAACATTCGGTCAAAACTTCCGCTAAAATTACCTTTTGAAATCGGACGGTTGCATTGGTAATTTCTTCTAAAAAAAACATTGGGAGTTCCTCCCTATGCACCCCCCACCCAACACACACAAATGGTCAAGTGGATGAAGGCACTTGACCGCTGGCAATCTCCACCAGGCCAAAGAGACAACGAGGTCCCAGATTTGAGTCCCGCTGTGTTACTGATCCCAGTCAAGCAGCAGTTGGGGCTACAATTGGCCCCAGTGTCCCTGGATTATAGAGGCAACATTCCCTGCTCCTGATCTCTATCCAGGGTGCCCCCCCCCACCCCACCACCATCTGGTGGGTGGGAACTGAGGGCAGGATTGGGGGATCCCCTCTGATGCCCTACATAGTATAATCGTGATGGCCACTTTGGAGAGACACCGGAGCAGGTGACTGGCACCCTGAAACCGTACCCAGAGAAGTCAAACTCTTCCAGGTGAGAGATTAATAGTTCTAATTAAACTTAATTTTAATTAATTAAATTGATAAATTCGGTCTAATTTTATTGTTCTCCGATTTCCTCTCGTGCCAGGCAGGCGAGCAGAGACTGTGGAGCCGTTGTCCCAGATGAAGTCAAATGTGGACACAGCAATCAGACATTCTAGTCCGGAGATGCTGAGTCCAGATGTAACGTTCCCCTCCTTCATCAAGGCCATCCAACCTCAAGGCTCAAAATTGGGACCTTCCTTCAACTGAATGGCCTATTTATTCACTGCATCCTTGGGGAGCTGTTTGTATACCATTGGTGTCTCGTGTCGACATTTTTTAAAGATGAGACCAGACATTACAGATCCCCAAAGTTCCCCGACAATCAGTCACTATTTACTGTTCACGCACTCTTCAAAAACTTCAGTAATGAGAAAAACACAACACTCAAGAAGCAAGCTCACACTGCTGCTGATCCCATCTCTTAAACAGGCATGCCTGTCACGCCATCATAGGTCAGCCGATTAGACGGGATGTTTACTCAAAATGCCTGGACCTAATATGTAACACACACACAGGAACATCGCACTGGGCACAGGATCACAATGCAGGGAAAGGCTGATGCAAGGGACAGTGAACAAGACACACGCCCAGGAGATATCTCTCACATTCGGGCAGAGCTTTACACTGTCCAGCTTCTTAAGAGCCGGGATGTTTTTAAAAATGGTATTTTGAACCAAAGCTACAACAGGCCAAACAATTAAGCTGACGGTCAGGCGCAGACTGCTGAGAGAAAGCTGGCTAGATTCATGTTGTGAACTTCACGCTTGGGTACATATCATTCTTTCTGAAATACTTGCATTTGCCTTATCACTTAAATGTGTTTCATAGTGTTTTGTGCAATGAGTTACTCTGAAGCTTTGACTGTTAGTATGTCAGCAAGCACAGCAGATCTCCCCCACGCACACACATAAGCCTTCCTTTATGTATCCAGCACAGATAGACTAGGGGAATGGACAAGTTATTGGCTTTGTGTCAACTTAACGTAACAATTGTAAGATAGAAGCCACCTTTCTCATCTGCCACACTCATTCCAGTACTTAGTGAATAGTTCTTAGACCTTCAAATATTTATTGAACAGAATAATATCTCCATTTACTTTTATACTTTACTTGTTTATGTGCCAAAGAAAATACCAGAGATTTTAAGGCTGTCCAATAAACTATGGATGTGTAGTGTCATTCCTTGGATCACTAGAGTTCAATAAAACCTAGCTTCAGTTCAGGAAGGAAGTGGGTTATTCCATGCTATTCCCATCAAAGGAGCCCTGAGGTGAAGAGCTAAATACTCCAAAGGGATTTCTGTCTGTAAAACTTTTAAGATGCTGAATTGCAAACCGACTCTGACTTATTTATAAGAAAAGAAAAGAAGTTCCAATTCTGCTGCTACTGCCCAGGGAAATTAAAGATTATTATTGCCAAAAAGGCCCATTTCTGAACTGTTTTGCCATGGCCAAGCCATGACATGATCTGAATCGAACAGCCAATGAAGTCAAATCAGGTGTGTTGGAATTATTAAGAACTCATCAGTTTCATACAAGTAAAAGGCACAGCAGATTAATCCCATTCCCACCCACACACTCAGGGTCCAGAGTCAGGAAGCCTGGTATGGGACAGGACACGAGCTGCAGAGTTCCAAATGATCTGCAGCTTGTGGAGGGAAGCGTTGGGAAGACTGACAAGCAGGGAGTTGGCGTAGTCGAGCCTAGATGCGATAAATGCGTGGATGAGGCAGATACATTTCACAATAATTACCATGAGGTGCTTTGAGACATCTGACGTTATTATTATCTAGCATTTGGCTGCATGGGTAACTGGAGTACGGCAAGCAGAGTAGGAATAGAGAGAGAGTGTTCAATGGAAATAAGTTGCCGTGCGTACTCCTGGGACGGGTTAGAACATGCCAGAGTTACTCACGGTTTGGAAATAGTGTGAAGCAACAATACACAAGGCAAACGCAATCCTGGGTTATATTGCCAAATCAGTTCTCCAACTCTGCTCCAACTCCAGCTCTGCTCAGGCGATACTGAGTACAGACTGGCTATTGCAAGGTTAGGGTACTGTTCAAGCCTGAGAAGCATTTTGAGATGTTTCCATGCTGCAGGTGTTGTATCAAATGCAAGAATTATTCTAAGTAGTGGTTAAGCTACATCAACTGTGGACTGTAGAGGGAAGGGAAGACTGAGGAGGGGGAAAAGTACCAGGCCTGAGGGACGAACAAATCCGAGCTGGAGACGGTATGTAAACCAGACACACAGACATACATGAGACATGTGGAGCTAGAGAGGAATGAAAGGGGAGTTCTGGGGAGTCACAGTTACTAGCAGTGACTCTGAGAGAGGAGATTGAAACATTTGCCTTGTGGGTATTACATTTCAAGTCAAACATAAGCCCACCAACTCCCCCCGTTACCCCCATCCTCCGATACACTGCCACTGACCGCACAATGCGAGACCCCGTGCGCTGGCCTGCCGCGCGGGTGGTGGGGGGGTGAGGAGAGCATACACATACCTGCTGAAAGGGCCGGGCCTGAGCCTGCTGTCGCAGTATACGCTGCTGCTGCTGTTGCTGCAGGAGTTTCATCTGTAGGAACTGCTGTTGGGGGGAGATGCTGGGCATGGAGGGCGGCTGCATCATGGAGCCCGAGCGTCGCTGCAGCATGTTGGTCAGAGCCTGCTTGGTGTTGGTTGGTGTGAACTGGCCGGATGGATCCAGCCTGGGGCCACCTGCAAAATGGGGAGACACCAAACTGATAATTCCATGCATCCCAACTATACATGGAAATCCCAGAGATAGATTGTTGGAATGGAATGCACACTCTCTCCCTGGAGGGGCGCTTGCTGCTTACCTAATTCCGGCAAGCACTAGGCACAGGTTGAAGCTAAACCGTACAACCAACTAACCAACAACACGTGGCACCCGATCCCCTCCTTATTGCTTGGGTGGGCTTTCTCAGTAAGTCCCAGTTAGTGTTAGAGTGCAGGCAGCTTTGTGCTGTGAACCAAGGCACTGCTCCATAAACCCATTCCACTGGGCTTTAAACATTCCAGTCTGTTCCCAGTTTACCAAACATGTGTAACTGCCAGAACACAGAGACATCAGATATCTGTTGCGTTGCAATCCAAGTTAAGAGGACCACAAAGAGAATTAAAAGGGAGGTTCATAAAAATGGCTCTACACAGAGCGGTTTGAATGTGGAACTCTCTGCACACAAGCTGTAGCTAAATCTATAAGTAATGTTAACAGGGAATTAGATAGGTACTTGAAGACTCATAGAATTACCCAGCACAGAAGGCCATTCAGCCCATCATGTGTGTGCTGGCTCTTTGAAAAGAGGTATCCAAATCAATTCCATTCCCCTGCTCTCTCCCCAAACCCTGCAAACTTATAGAATCATAGTAGGGAAGGAGCAATGGGGTCTGGGTTAGCGAGCAGGAAAGTGAGATGCGATTAAGAGACTCATGTGGAGAAGGGCAGAGGTGATGGGCTGAATGGCCTGGTCAGTGCTTTAACATTCTATGATCCTGTTGCATTTTCTGTCCACTAGTAAATAACATTGAGGCAGGAGTAGGCACTGTCAGTCTAGTCACCATTTCAAATGACTAGAAATGCCTTCAACAGATCTCGTTGATCATCTAATAAACCCGAATCTTTTTAATTTCAAGGATTATGTCTAAATGTCACCTAAATGAGCCCCATGACAGGAAGTTTGAGCACACAGTCAAGACTGACAGTCCAGTGCAGTGCAGAGGGAATGCTGCATTGCCAGAGGCACTTTCCTTCGGATGAGACATTAAACCCAGGTTCTGCCTGGAAGAACAGACAGGAATTAAAGATCCTGTGATACAATTAGAAAAGAGAAAGGAATTTCTCCAGGTGGCCTGGCCAGTAATCTGCCAAACACCACAACCTCCTGACTCCAAGGCGCAAGAGCTAATAACTGAGCCAGGCTGACGCACACTGGTCTCATGGGCTGAGACGATGTGGGATTTCCAGCCTGAGTCTCTTTGTGTGAGTGCCGGGGAAAGGATAGAATGCACAAGGAATCTGGCTCCCAATCGTACACTCCCACCCCGGGGTAAGTCACCTGGTGGAAGTGGCTGGTTCTGAAAATAGAAACTAGACTGTTGAGGTTGTCCCATCAGGTTGTAGCCCCAGGAGGCTGAGGCCTGTGGATGGTGCATCAGCTGTGAAGACATGGGTGTGTAATTGGGAGGCACTCTGTAAGCACTGCTCTGCTGATAGTCCTGGGGAGGAAGGAGAAAGGAGACTGGAGTTAGAATCGTACCAGGGGGCACAGTAAAGAAAAGCACATCAGCATGCTGACTAGGACATTGAGGTGGCAGGGATATTGCCTGTGTTAACAGCTTAGTCACATAGAGACAGAGCAGGGCACAGGAACCCAGTCACATAGACAACACCGCACTCAGAAATCCAGTCATACAGAGATAGAATGGTCTTCTGGAAACTAGTTACATGGACAGAATAGGACACAGGAACCCAGTCACACAATTGGGAGGAGCTCATTGTGATGTCCGTACATCTATCCTAGGGGCTGATGACTTTGTCTTCCTTTTCCTGTTCTTGGTTTTCTTTTCCTCCTCCTGAGTGCTCTTGTTCTGGTCGGACACTTCTATCGGTTTCTTCTCTGAGTCCAGGGAGACAGGGGTGGGAGGCTCCTCCTCCTCCTCGGGGGGCAGAGGCAGAGGCTCCAGGTAGTAGCTCCTGGGCTTCGGCTTCGGGTGGGTGTGGTACAGCAGGAGGTGGTGCTGATCTTCATACTTAATGACCTTACGGTCCACGCGGACCGTACCAAACCAGGCCCAGGAGAGGGGGGCCGGGCTCTTGTGTCCCTCAAACAAATCCCAGGGGTTGACCTTCTGCTTGGTGGACACTTGGAGACCCTGTGGTGAGAGGAGGAGAAAGAATGTTTAAAGCGCCGATAAGATTAAAAATACGAAGGCACGGGATGAATGTTCGGATAAAGAAGATTCTTTGGTGTATTTCAGCTAATCCTTCCAGACTAAGCACTCCAACTGGAACTCCTTACCACCCTTACTTCTTTTCTGTTTTTTGGTCAGCCAAAACACACGTGGAAACCCAGCACAGTGCTTAAAATTCCCTGAATCAAACGATTGAACGTTCCACACATATATATTTCCCATTTGACTAAAATGGAGTCCACACTCCATTGTGTCTTGAACCTTGTGTCTGTGAATAGAGGGGCAAGGAGGTGGAGAGGGGTAGGGATGGGGTCGAGGAAACAGGTGTTGGGCTTCATTTTCAACATGGTAGAGGTGAGAGAAGAGGGGAAGACAGGGTCGAAGGTGTGGAAGGAGGGAATTGGAGGGGCAGAGGCAGCCGCGTGGATCCTCTCGATTTTGGACTCAAGGAAGTCCAGAATCTCCTTGCAGTGGAGTTGGAATTTTCAGGAACTGAGAAGAATCTCAGGTGCCAGTGGCTGGTCTGCCCTTCTGTGATAATTATAAATGATATTGTTAAATCTGCTGTTGTGAGCAAAATAAGTTGCTTGTTAGTCTGAAATTAAACGAGGAGCCGAAACCATGTGATGACCTTGAGGTCATACCAGATGACAGAAACAGGAATTTGTGATATAAAGAATAGAAAGCTTGTATTCAGCATTTTTGTACGATTTCTAAATAATGTAATGAATTGTATAATCGTGGACATATGGAAGTAAGTAAACAAGGCTATAAAAGTAAGCTATAATTTCGCCCACAAAATGTACAGTCAATTCACTTTACAGTATATTCTGTGAAGTGCTTTGAGACTTCTGGAAGACCTGATAAGGCACTATATCAAACGCACGTATGATTACTATTATTTATTATAAGCGAGGAAGAGGCAACTGGGAACCTACCATCTCACCTCGTCTGAAGAAGACGTCAATGAAAGAAAGAGACAGCTTGTATATTTTATAAGTAAAACTTGAGGAATTTAGTTAAAGGATGTTCATAACTAATATGCATGTTAGGGAGTAATAATAATAATAATCCTTGCATTTGATATAGCGCTTTTCACGTCTTCTAGACGTCCCAAAGCGCTTCACAGAATATACTGTAAAGTGAATTGACTGCATATTTGTGGGCGAACGCGGCAGCCAATTGTACACAGCAATGTCCCACAAACAGTCGTGGATTGAAAATGAACAATTTATTATTGTTTTATTTTGGAGGGATTATTATTAGGCGTATACATAGATATAGAGAAAGACATAGAGGTAGATAGAATGTTAGGAGATACTCAGAGAGTGAGAGAGAGAGAAAAAGAAAAATAGAGACAGAAAGATACTGGCAAGGAAGAGTAGTGAGAGAAAGAAGGGTGAAAGAAGAGTAAATAAAGAATTATAAAAAGGAAATTTACTGTCTCTGACTCCCTCTGTTCCAGGGTCTTATCAATCCTTTAAAGAAGTAACAAATTGATAGCTGGTTTAGTCATTTGAGTTTGATTATTCAGTAGTTAGTCTTTTACTAACACCATCCCAACCATTCCAAACATCTGTATCTTCACATAGGATGGTCATGGAAGCTAGACCTGTACATGAGTGAGAAGGAATAGAGGGAAAAATAATAATAATCCTTGCATTTGATATAGCGTCTTATCACATCTTCGAGATGTCTCAAAGCGCTTTACAGAATATACTGTAAAGTGCATTGACTTTGTGGGCAAAAATATACAGTCAATGCAATCCTGTATACCAGTCAGAATAGGAGGGAGTGAAATATAATCACTGGCACAGACTGTTTCTGTGCTGTACATTTTTTGTAATCTTTGTAACTTTCCAAACCCTTCACAGAAACGTAGCAAGGAGTAGGGATGCATTGTAAGGGTTTTGCCCAAAGGAATCTCTCAAAGAGGTCGTTTTTTTTTAGGCAAGGAGCAAGGAAAGGAAGTTTGGGAGAGAGAGTTAAGAAGTAATCCTGATGTAAATTTGTATTGTATAATCCTCGCACTTGATGCAGTGCCAGTGATAAATTGATAGCTGGTTTAGTTTCATACAGAGTCAAAATGGCCTGAAGCAATTAAAAGGGTAATTGCTGTAAATGTCGTGACTATTTATTTGTTGGCAAATGTGGCAACCAATTTGCACGCAGCAATGCCCAACAAACAGCCCTGATATTAGTGACCGTTTTTATCTGATGGATTGTTGGCTGGAACACCAGGAGAAACTCCCTTCTCTTTTTGAATAGTGCCATGGGATCTTTAACATCCACCTGAACAGGCACAAGGTGGATCTCGGATTAATGTCTCATCTGATGGACGTACCTCCAACAATGCAGCACTGCACAAGAGTAGGAGCCTAGACTGTGATGAGACTGGAGACATAGAGGCTGACGGCTTGGCTCGTGATGGTGGAACAAGGAGTGAGAAATAGACCAGAATTGAAAGAAAGTAAGTCCCAAGCAGGAAATAGGGCTGGAGGAGACTGTAGAAGTGAGGAGGGGGCTAGACCGTGAATAGGTTTGAAAGGCAACTCAACTAGTAATAATGATAATCTCTCCACTTGTTATAGCTCTTTATCACGTTGTTGAGACGCCTCAAAGTGCTTCGCAGAATATATTGTAAAGTGGAATGACTGGATATTTTGTGGGCAAAATGTAATCAATCAGGCCACCAACCTGCTTTTTGTCAATAGAGTCGAACCCTGCAATCTTGTTGCCCTTCGTGTCGATCAAAGACCCCATCGGTTCACAGGTGATGACATCGCAGGTTTGCTTCGGTAAGGGCAGAAGCTGACGGACCTTGTTGATGCTCTCTGAGTGTTTGTCACCAAGCTCTTTCTGGCAAAAAAAGAGCAAAACGCATCATATAAAAACAGGAGCAGCATGCTTACTGTGGTACCTGCAGCAGCACAGCGCTCCCCCACCAGCCCAGCACAGAGCTGCACTTCAGCCCACTCAAAATGTGTCTGTAAATAAGAGTAAATGTAGAGCCTTTAGAAATCTATGCCAATCGGACGGCCTGGGACAGAGATAAACAGAGACCAAACAATCACGGTATATCTGAGGGAGAAAGCCTGGCGACCGTTTTCACTGGCAGGAGTCAGTGTCAATGATTACTTGACCTTCAGTCTCAGACAGGAATGTGTCTGTTGCTGAGATGAATGAGCGGGGGAGAGGAAGCAAGTAAATCTGGTACAACACTGATCAGAAAGACAGGCTTGAAACGGTTCCAGCCAGTGGCTGAGGAGGCCCCAGGAGGAAGACAGGAACTGTTTCTGGTGCTGGCAGAGTGTTTGGGTAAATTTGTGCATGCAGCCAGAGATGGCAATTTAATAGTACAAGATTATATTATCATCCTTGCCTTTGATACTGGGCCTATAACTTCGCAAAATGCATCACAGATAATTGTGACTGCATTTCATACAGTGCCTATAATAATAATAATCCTTCCACTTGATATAGCATCTTATATACAGGCTTTACTCTGTCTCTTGCATGAATTGCGTTGTGTTAGTTTGGCTGTAGCTACTATTCACTGCTTAGAGCAGGGTACTAGTGCACATGGTGACCTGGGCATTTTCTGATTGAGAGAGAATGAACTTTGAATCAAAACTGGAGTGAAGCTATAAATAGCTTGCCAGGCAGGGTTATTAATTTATGTATTAATTTATTCGTGGAGTCCTGTAGCTCAGTGGTTGGAGCACTTGCTTTGCAGGCGAGAGACCTGGGTTCGGTTCCGGGCAGGGCGAGGCCTTGGGCGGGTTTCCTTGCTCCACACGCCTAGTGGTAGTCCCTCCAAAAACCCAAAACAATGGTGAGTTGGTCATTTTCAATCTACGACTTGTGGGACATTGCTGTGCGCAATTGGCTGCCGCGTTCGCCCACAAATGTAAAGTCAATTCACTTGGCAGTGTGTTCTGTAAAGTGCTTTGGGACGTCCTCCCGACGTGAAAAGCGCTATATCAAATGCAAGGATTATTATTATTATCACGACATTGAGACGTCTCAAAGAGCTTCACAGAATACATTGCAAAAGTGGATTGACTGTGTAATTTTGTGGCGAATGCAGTACAAACAGTGTCCCATAAACAGTTGTGGATTGAGTGACCAATTTCTTTTCGAGGGATACACCAGTTGACAAACAACCGCGTTCCTACTTACTGCTAGGTAAACAGAGGCGAGTGGAGTAAGCAAACCTGCCTACGTTTTCGTCCGGAAATCGAACTAGGGTCCTCTCACTTGCGAGGTGAGCATGCTAACCACTACGCTACTGACAGTAAGGTGCCACAGGCTCAGTTCACAGATGTTGCCATTGAGAACAGCACCGGGGAGGCAGGCTCGCATTGATGGTCCACTATAGCACCTCCGGGTTCTTTCACTGAGATGAGTATCGAATGTATCGCTAACTTGATCCTGCGGTATTTGAATGTTGGTCTCGGAGTCTGAATGCAACTCACACAGACAGAAGGTAGCCTCCCACAGCTGCTAATGTGCTCCGTGCTTGGCAGAGCCTGACCTACTTACACTGAGCCCATAAATACATCACAAATGGCACAAAATATTGGAAAGAGAAGAAGCCGTACCCAGCGGGGAGCCTGCCCTGGCTAAGTAGGCTGCGCCAGGGTGCTGCACTGAGTGGAGCTGTCCCAGGCCAGGATGTGTGTATGCATGGGGAGCCCTCTCACAGTTTGGTTCCTGGACCACAACTCCACCCAGTGACTTACCAACCACAACTAAGGAACACTCCAAATTCAGACTCAAACCATTCAGCCACCTCGCACACAGGTCTCGAACGCCCCACATGTAGACCTAAGCCTCACCTTCAGTTTTTTCACCAGGTTCATGTAGGCCCGTTTGTTTTCCTCTGACCCTCCCTGCGAGGCACTGGACATATCAGACGCCAACGTTCCATTTATTAAGACACCTAGCATGTCGAGCACGGTTGTGAAGAGCTCACTAGCGGAAAGCAAAAAGAGAAGTAAGCTACAACAAACTAACTTGCCTCCAGTGTAGCTCCTTTCAGGTAAAATAAACATCTCAAAGCGATTTACAAAGTGCAATTGATTAAACGTGAAAGTCATTGTTGTCACAGAGGCAAACACTGCATCATCTGCTTCAGCAACATCCAGTAAAGAAATAATAGCAACAGTGGATTTAAGAGGAAATTTAATTCATACATGAGGAAGCAGGGGACAGAAGGGTAGAGGAGCAGGGGATGGAGGGGAGACTGAGGACCTGGAGATTGATCTGTTGGGAGCCAGGCAAGGACTGGGGTACCAGATGTGCGGGGTTTGGTGAGGTTGGGGGCACCAGTGGGAGTTTGGGATTAGCTGGAAAAGAAGACAAATACCCTCAGAGTAAACGTCCGGCTACACGTACTTGTTGGTCTGAACATCAACAGTTCCTGAGGTAATGATCTGTAAGAGCAGAAGAGCCCAGTCTGTGGTCCACTGTGTGCTCCTCTGCACTGTGTCAAACATCCCACCAACCTGGGGGCAGATATCACAATCACAATCAATTCAATTAGCAACTTAGAGCAAATTCACCAACTACAAGTCAGCAGTGCCCTGTTACCGGTAGTACGATGGAGCCGTGTTATAGGGTGGTTCCCAGGTTACAGGGTATATGACAGAGCCATGCAGTTAGCGGTTTCCATGTTACAGGGTATGTGATGGAGCTGTCTTTCTTACCAGATTTAGACGCAGCTGCAGAGCTTCGTGCATCATCTGCCGGGCTTTTACATCATCCTGGTAACGCTCCTCCCGCCAGTTACTCAGTATCTGAGGACATTACAGAGAGTGACGTACACTGTTCAGTATCTGGGGATTTTACAGAGAGTTTACTCTGTTCATGGTTCATGTGATCACAATGATGTGTAACCACGCACAAAGTGCAACACTAACCCTTCCCCCCCGCCTTTGTGCCCTGGAGTCAGGTCTACGGCCTGGCTACAGGACAAAGCTCTGACAATAGAAATACTAATAACATTTGCACTTTACTGCATAGCTGAGGCCTATACAGTAAATCACTACCCCCACAAATAACTTTAAAATTCCCTGACTATTATATCTATCGTATATCAACCCCTTTGTTCAGCTGCATGTTCCCCAACCCCTCCCTATAGGACACACTGAGTGGCCATGTCTTCAGCTACTATCCTCTGGAGCTCCCGACCTCAATCCCTCCACCCTTCACTATCCATCTTTAATTCCCACCTAAGACCTACTTCTTTGACCTCGCCTATGGTCACGTCCCTCTCTCCTTTTTCCCTTGCTTCGAGTCAAACCCCACCGCTGTTCAGCACTCTGAGATGCTGATCTGCGTGACGGGCCCCATATAAATGCAAGTTTTTGTTGTTGTTGTACACCTGTGGAAAGCTCCCATGTATACTCAAAGCTCTAGCCTGAATACCCAGGGGCCATTCACACAGATTCAAGCATATAATTTGCCTCTCAAAGCGAAAGTATGACCGGGACATTGGACTGGTTCTGGTGAGTTACTTCACACGGAAGCAATTGCTGACATAAGCTGCTGTACTTGTGTGTGAGGTTTCCTGATGCTGTCAGAGCAAGTTCTGGGAGAGATCACCTGGTTGATCTGGTTCTGCAGCGAGGTAAGCAGCCCTTCACGTTGCTCATCCTGTCCCTTCAGGCAAGTCAGGACCAAGGACAGGAACGGCTGCTGGCTCAGCAACGACATACTGTGGAGCAAAGGAAACACAAGGCATCAGATTTCAGTGATAATAAGCCTTACGTTTGACATTTCACCTTTACTGTTGACAAACTCAAAGCGATTCATAGGCAATTGCTGTCAGAGGGAGTAACTGCGTATTTTGTAGGTGAATGTGGCAGCAAATTTACACAAACAGCCATAGAGTGAGGGATCAATTTTATTCGGAGGATTGTTGGCCAGGACACTGGGAGTGAGAAATTCTCTTCTCTTTTCAAATAATGTCATAGGATCTTTAACATCCACCTGAACAGGCAGATGAGGCCTTGGTTTTAACATTTTATCAGAAGAAGAGTCCCTCCAACAATGCAGCACTCCACCAGTTTGTCAGCTAGAGGAGAGCTCAATGTCTTGATGTGGGCTTTGAACTTACAGCCTTGTGACCCAGAGTTGAGAAGGCTACACAGAGACTGACAACAATGAACACAAACTGAACTCCAAATGTGCTCAGACAGATATCACTCTCAAGGAATCCAAATATAAGCTCAACATGAATGCCAGAGAAAAACTTCAACACAGAGCTTGCCCAGTGGCTCAGTAATTTTATCAGGGAGGAGTTGAGCTGCACGGCAGCTGGAAGGTGGAATTAATATTCTATCTATGGGGAGGGTGAGCGGGGGAGTAGGATTAATTTGGATAGCTCTTAGAGCTGGCACGGCACGATGGGCCAAATGGCTTCCTTCGGTGCTGTATGATACTAATAAGAAAGAGGGAATTTGTGAAAACATTGAGCAGTGGCAGATATGATGGGCTGAAGGGCCTACTTCCGAGTTAAATCTTGAGGTCACCACAGATCAATGCCTCGGAATCCACAATTGTGTTGTGAAGATTTTCTGAGGAACACCCTGAGACCACGCTCACTTTGCTCGGGTAAAAGGGATGTTCTCTTACCTTTTCTGCTTTTGTCGGTCTCTTTCCTTCTTAGACGAGGAACCTAAGTGCTGCCCCTTCTCCAGCTCCTCTCCCGCCGCCTTCAGCACACGGCCCTGTACGGAGGTGGGCAGCTTGGCAATCAGCGGTGCCACCAGCCACACCCCCTTCCGCTCCGAACAGCTGATGGGAGAGCAGAGCGCACGTGAAGTTCAGAAAATACACACAGATTGGATGTTGCCGTCGCAAACTGCTTCACGCTGCAAACATTTTGGGGGGTAAAAGTTGCAACATTTCATAACTAACAACAAGAAGTACAGTATAGAGTTCCCCGTTACCTGAGGAATGTCTTGGTGCCGTTCTGCCTCGTGTTACTGTTCCCACTGTTGCTGGTGCTGGTTGGGTTAAATAGTCCAATGGCAGAAGTCACCAGGGTGCTGTTGAGCTCAGCAGACTGCTGGAAGACCTCAATGGTAGCCTTGGCTATGTTCTCCAACAGAGAGTTCATCTCTGCAACCGATGCTGGGCCCTGTCAGAAACAATCGATGCCAACCGTCATGTAAACAGTATGGAGTGTCCGGGCAAAATGTAAATTGAAAGTCAAACTTGGTAGACACTGCATCTAATGCTAATGGTCTGATATTCTGGGTGGCCTTTACGTACAGCTCCTTTAGTGACATCAGCCACTAATGAGATTTCCCCGTTTGCATTCCTGTTGTTGCCCCTTCCGCTCAGCTAATGCCCTCTTCACGTCACCATCAGTGGCTGAGGCTTCAGTCACTAGCCCTCAATTTCTGTCACTCCCACTCTCTACCCCTGTACCCACCTCCTCTCTATTGCTCTTTATACCCCACTTTAAAACCTACCTCTTAAACCGTGCCTGTGGTCCCCTCCTTTCTCCCTGCGTTGTTGTCTATATGAAGGGAGCTATAAAAATGCCCGCTGTTGCTATTTTGTGCATCGCTAAAAGCACTAGTTCTGTTTAATAATAATTTGGTGATAAGATTTCTGGGGATTCAGTATTGAGACCTTCCTAGAAAACATGTAGCAACTGATCTTCAGCATCCAGACAGACGTCTGATGGACTGACAGTGTGTGTGACACTGAGTACCTGATGGACTAACAGTGTGTGCGTCACTGTGTACCTGATGGACTAACAGTGTGTGCATCACTGAGTCCTAATGTACTCACAGGCTCCTTCATGCTCTGTTTGATCATCAGCTGCAGTTCCAACCACGACTGTCTTAGTGCCCATTGGTCCAAATTCTGACAGAAGGCAAGATAGAGTTTGGACAAACACACCGTTATTAGTGGCTCGTCTGAGACTTCAATACTGGAGACCAATCACGAGCATACATAAATGCACGCATAGACACAGACCCATACACACACACACATACAAACACAGAGCAAACACACACACAACAACTTGCACTTATCCAGCATCCTTCACGCAGGATAGCTTCTCAGAGCGTTTAACAGTGGTGGGGCTTGATGCCGAACAAGGGAGAGAGGAGGGGAGGTGACCGCATGCACAGTTGAAGAGGAAAATCTTCAGGTGTGATCTGAAGCCAGACAAGGAGGGGACAAGGCAGAGAGATTGAGGCAGAGAGTTCCAGAATCTCCAGTGTAGTGGCTGAGAGCACAGCTGCCAATGGTGGAGCAGAGGGGACGAGGGACGTGCAGTTGGCTGGAGCCAGTAGAGGAATGGGGTGTAATCAGGGGTGGTGGGGGATTGGTGCGGGGGCAGAGGTTAGGCAGTGTTTCCTTGGAACTCAAGGTGACGTGCTTCACAGTGGAATGTTGGATTCGACCCAACCCTCTATGACGGTCTCAGTAGCTCAATCAATTCCAATGTTCCTGAGCCAGGTGGGGCTGCAAATCTCCTCAGGGCCCTGCTGATGACAACCCACACCAGCCTGGCTCATCGGCGGGGATTTTTCTCACTCAGCTCCTTGTGTATATCCCCCATTGTATGTTTGCACATATGAAAGGTAAAGCCTGATCGAGTAGCGTGGTCCTATACAGCCAAACACCAACACACTGTGGGAAGCTTGCCAAAGAGTGCTCTCAATCGCAAGCTATGCGGTTTTAGCTGGTTAAACTCCAACACACATTACTGTAAACTGAAATGACTCTATATTTTGTTGGCAAAACAAAATTGGTCCCCAATACCTGAAGGATCCGCTTGATATGATGCCGCTGTGGATGCTCCCCCTCCACTCGCTCTTTAAGGCCATGCGGGTAACAGATGAGTTGCAGAAGGTGCCGTGCTTGCTTGTTTGAGAGCACTGGGTCCAGTATGAGATCCTTGTCCGTGCACAGTCTTTCAGGCTCTTTGAGGCAATGTTCCCCCACCCACTCCTGCCGAAAAACCAAAACACACAGCACTTGTCAACACAAGTCAGAGAGAGAGGTAAATAATAATAATCTTTGCATTTGATATAGCGCCTCATCACATCTAAAAAGCGCTTCACAGAACATACTGTAAAGTGTAGTGACTGTGTATTTTGTGGGCGAAACGCGGCAGCCAATTGTGCTCTTTACATAAAGAAGCATTTGAACCTTTCCCCCCATTTGACATAACACTTTACTCTTTGCTGTGTTGGGAGGGACTGAGGACGATAAGGTGGGTATTCTGGTGAAACCAAGTGGGTTGAAGTTGATCTTCATCCAAACCAATCTTGTGATCTTGTGTTACATTTTATCTAGTTCCACTCAGTAATCAAATAATAGATGTAGCAACCAAAGTGAGCTCATGAGCTAATAAGCAATAAGTCTATGAAGCAACCAAGCAGTGAGTAATAGGAGGTCAATCAGGGTTGCCAGCTTCCCTGAGCATGTGGGCTGACTCACTGAGGCGGCCCGCAGCAGTGGTCCATACACACACATATATAATAATAATCCTTGTATTTGATATAGCGCCTTATTACGTCTTCGAGACGTCTCAAAGCGCTTCACAGAATATACTGTAAAGTATAGTGACTGTGTACTTTGTGGGCGAATCGTGGCAGCCAATTGCGCACAGTAGTGTCCCATAAACAATCATGAATTGAGTATCCAAATTATTATTTTTATTTATTTTATTGAACAGATTATTACCCCCAGAAAGCGATCCACCAATCGACTGACAACCACATACCTACTTACTGCTAGGTAAACAGAGAAGTATGAAGTAAGGAAACTTGCCCAACATTTCGCCCTGCCTCGGAATTGAACTCAGGTTCTCTCTTTGCTCTAACCGCTAAGCTAAAGGACTCCACATCATTGCCTTTGACAATTAGGAGGAATCCCACTCCCACTACTGCACAGTCTATACTTTCACACAAATCAACCCCTGGAACAGGTTTGCCAGGAGGAGTGCTTTTGCTGTGCGCACTTGGCTGCTGCGTTTTGCCCACAAAACACTCAGTCACTACACTTTACAGTGCATCAGGTGAAGGAAGGTCTAAAGACATCTTGTGAGATGTCTCAACAACGTGATAAGGCACTATACCAAATGTAAGGATTTTTATATATTATTAAAGCCAAGGTCCTGGAGTCAATTAAAAATCATTTTGATGCTGTAATGGGTGGATGCTAGGAAGGATGAGATCAAGTGAGCGCAAGGGTATTATGCAAACAAAGTTCTCTTATGAAAGATCATATTATCTCCCCCTGCTCGGGTCCTGACCCAACTGTACAGCGCCTTGGGACGTCCTCCCGACGTGAAAGGCACTCTATAAATGGAATCTTGTTGTTGTTGTTGTATTAGAGATTAAGAAGTGCCTTCGGCTAATTTGATCTTATTCTCCAGAATCCCCACCCTACAGTCCTTTTATTACAGCAGTAACCTCTATATTTTATAATGCAAAATAATAATTTGCATTGGTATAGTGCCTTCCACTTTAAGGAATTGTCTCAAAGAGCTTTACTGGATATACTGTAAAGTGTGATGACTGTGTGTTTTGTATGCGAACACTGCAGTAAGTTTACATACAGCAATGCCCCACAAACAGCCATGAAGTGAGTAACCAATTTTATTTTGAGGAAGTGTTGGGTTAAACTTGCTTCTCTTTTTGAATAGTGCTACAGAATCTTTTACTTAGCAACAAGGAACACATAAAATGTGGCAACATTCAATTTGAACGGTCCTTTCTGGGGCAAACCTTCTTGACAATGATTCAGAGCTGCACTTATTAAACTTGAAAACAGTCATCACTGAATACTTGGAATTTACATATTAATAACAATAAAAACATTATTATCATTTGGACATCGACCGAGGAAGAAACTTGCATTTTTATAAGACTTTAAAACTCCCTTAACCACTGTACGTGTAGACACTGCCACGTGTGTGACTGTGTCTTCAACATAAGAACCTAAGAATTTGCTAGACGAAAGAAGACTAAGGTCCATCTAGTTCGCCTTCCACCATCCTGGCAGTCGCTTGACGTGTCATGCCCCAAACTATATACTGTATCCTGAGATATTATTTTCCCTCTGTTGCGAGCTGACTCTCACCTGCTGACAGATGGTCCTCAGTACAAACCTGGCATACTCGCTCAGGTTGGCTGTCTCGATGGAAATAGTACGGCCGATGGACTTGGAGTTCTTGGTGGGACTCAGCATCTCCTCCTCAGCCACCTCGTCCAGCATACCGATGGGGGCGAGTAGGCTGGTAACGCTGAACGTGTCGTTGCTCAAGGGGTTGACATTATTGCTGCCTAACTCTGCATCCCCTACAGGCACAGAAACACACCCTCAGCACCAATCTCCTATTAAATAATCCCTGCATTTGATATAATACAACCATAGAAATTTAAATCACAGAAGAAGGCCATGCAGCCCATTGTGTCTGTGCTGGCTCTTCTAAAGAGCGATCCTTTCAGTTCCATTTACCTGTTTTTTCACCCAAACCCTGTTATTTACTGCTTTTTAGATAGTGTCATATCATGTCAAAATGATTCAAAGCGCTTTGTAGGATTTACTGTAAAGTGTAGTCATTGTGTGTTTTGCGGCTGAACATGACAGCCAATTTAAGCACACTGATGTCTCTCAAACAGCCATGGAGCGAGTGACTCATTTTATTTGGGAGATTGTTGGCCAGGACACCAGGAGAAACTCACTTGTGTTTGCGAATAGTGGCATGGGATCTTTAACATCCACTTGAACTAGCAATTGGGACCTTGGTTTAATGTCTCATCAAAGTATAGCATCTCCAACAAATCTAGCATAACCCCAGCACTGCACTGGAGTGACATCTTAGACTACATGAGTTCCAAGTCCCTACGTGGGGCTTGAACCCATAACATTCTGACTCAGAGCCAAGAGTGTTACCAATTGAGCCAGCCTGACGCTGTTCCTTCGTGTTTAAAATGGATGTTGAACTTCCGCAGAAAACAGCCACAGAGAAAAGGAACTGAAATCAGGGGCACCTTAATTCAGGACATATTCTATTTAAGAATATATATATATAATATTAATGAGACGGGCCAGCAGTCAAGGCCCAATGGGGATTCGCTTCCCTCTCTGACTGCCCGTCTCAGCAGCGTGGAACTTTTCCAACCCTGCACACTGGTGACGTTTCCACAGTGAGCCATGAAATCTTACCCAACATCAGGATTGCTTTCAACACCGCAAACACCGCGCCCACCTCTATGCTGTTGTGCGCTGCCGCTAAAAGATGGCGGTCGCAGGACGAGCGGATCCCAGGAGCAGATTTACCTGCAGACCAGAAAGACGTTCCTTATTCACTCAGTTTCACACTGACACTTTACTGGTGCCAGCAATGAATTCCACCAACTACAACTCGCAGTCAGGTCTAAAGACCAACTTGTGACTATCCTCCCTGAGAGCAGCAATAATAAGCTCCATGGGGTTGGGCTGACTCCAAGGTAAGGTGACAGAGAATCCTCTGTGGCGTAGTCCGGTTCCTCAGCCAGGTGGGACTGACTTACGTTAGGGCACTGTTGACGACATACCAGCTAGGCTGGCTCTTTAGCCAGTCTTGGAGGGACGGATCAGGAGCAGGGTTTCTTCCCGCTCAGCTCCTGTTAACTGTGCAAGCCAAAGCTCTAACCAAAAGGGTGGTCCTAGCTGGACAAGCAGTGAGAAACTTGTCAGTGTTTGCAATCACAAGCTTGTTTAACTTGTTAAACTCCAACACATGCTCAGACTTGGCTCCTGTCAACCTGCATTTAATAATCTTTAGAATAACAACAATAAGATTACATTTGTATAGCGCCTTTCAAGTCGGGAGGACGTCCCAAGGAACTGGACAGTGACAGCATTTCAGACCTGAGCTGGGGTTAGGGACGGGCAAGGGAGGGGAGGTTATTATAATCACAATAAGAATTCTTGCATTTGGCATAGCTCCTTTCACATCAGGAGGGCATCCCAAAGCCCTTCACAGGATTTTATTGTGAAATGGAGTGACTGTGTATTTGTAGGCGAAAGTGAAGGCATGTCAATCGGCCCTTCTCTCAGTGTATAGTGATTTGGGTAATTGCAGCAAAAGTCACAGAAAAGGGAACTCACCATTAGCTTGGGGGAAGGGGCTGACTTGTGGCGTTCTGAACAGATGCAACAGAAGCCTGCATGTCATTCTGGCTCCTGGCTCTGCATCTGGGTCGCCGCACGCTGCAGGAACACAGACCCAAAGAGGTTAGAAACAATGCTCCAAAAATATTCACCGCTTCCACACTCGCTCCTCACCAATCCTTCAAATGTTTTTCTTACATTCACTTCCAAAGGTGTCAGCCTGGTTTCGTTGGTAGCATCCTTGCCTCTGGGCCAGAAGGCTGTGCGTTCAAGACCTCATTAGGGATTTAGTGCTAATCCAACAATAAATTGCATTTATATAGTGCCCTTCACATGGGGTAGTGTCCCAGAGCGCTTAAATCCCTGACTGTCCAGCACCTTGGGCCCACAAAGGACCCATCTGCCTCATTAAGTGGAGGTTAAGGTTTGCATGGTATTATTCAAAAAAAAGGTGGACGTTTCTCCCGGTGTCCTGGCTGACAATCCCCCAGATAAAATTGGTCACTCACTTCATGGCCTGTCTGTGTGCAAATTGTCTGCTGTGTTCACCTACAAATGCACAGTCGCTACCTTAAACTAAATCCTGTGAAGCACTTTGAGACATCCTCCTAATGTGAAAGGAGCTGTATCAATCAATAATAATCATTATTATATTTTGAAGCAACTGGGTTTTGAAATCTTCACTCTGTCCCAGTCCCAATCTGTTTTATCTTTGAAAAATTTGCACACTCCTTATTTGATTGGTTTCCTTCATAACACAGAACACCTTGAAATCACTGGGATAACTAAAGCTTTACTTGGCTAAGCTCACACAGACCCGCTGTGCCTCCCCCGCCCCCTCCTCACCACCATCAGCGGCCGTGCCTTCAGTCACTACACCTCAAATGACAACAACAACAAAATTACATTTGTAAAGCGCCTTTTAGATTGAGAGGACGTCCCAAGGTGCTGAACAGACAGGGATCAGGCCCCGAGCGTGGGGGTGGGGGTGGGCATGATTAGGATGAGGAAGGGTAGAGGTTTAGGAGGGTGACTGAAGGCACGGTTGAAAAGGAGAGTTTGAGTTGCGCCTTGAAGGAGGCAAGGGAGGGAGCAAGGCGAATGGATTGTACGATGGAGTTCCAAACGGTGGGGGCAGAGAGACTGAAAGCCCGGACGCCGATGGTAGGGCGGGATAGGTGGAAGACGTGGAGCAGGCCGGATGCCTGCTGAACGGAGGGAGCAGACAGGTTGATCTGTAACTCGCAAGCGAGAGGACACGTGTTGGTCACAAAATATAGAGTCAATTCACTTTACGGTTTATTCTATGAAATGCTTTGAGACGTTTCGATGACCGTGATAAGGCGTTAACTCAAATGCAAGGATTATTATTATATCCAACCCAGCCACTTTACAACACACATCTTATGGTGAAAGTTATTGTGAAATGTTCAAGTTAGACTGCATCCACAGCGGGTTGGAAGTGAATGAGTTGTCTTGTGAGTTGTGATACAAGCAAGGAAGTGAAAGTGAGGAGTACTGGGGCCAGATTGGCTTAATGCCATTAAATCAGGATTGAATGATTCCTCCAGTCATCAAAGTCCCCAATACTCTAATTCTGGGACACAGCTTTACGCTCTGGATAATAATTATAATAATCCTTGCATTTGATATAGCGCTTTTCACGTCGGGAGGACGTCCCAAAGCGCTTCACAGAACACACTGTAAAGTGAATTGACTGTATATTTGTGGGCGAACGCGGCAGCCAATTGCGCACAGCAATGTCCCACAAACAGTCGTAGATTGAAAATGACCAATTTACTATTGTTTTTGGAGGGATTATTATTATTATTATTATTAGGCGTGTGGAGTAAGGAAACTTGCCCAAGGTTTCGCCCTGCTGGAATTGAACTCAAGTCTATCCTTTCCAAACCTCTAAAAACACCTACCCTCTTTGACTGCGCCTTTAGTCTTCCCATATTTCCCACCCCTTCCCATATTTCCCACCCTGCTTAGGCTCCCAACCCATCTCTGCACAACCCTCTGAGATATTTAGCTGCATGAAAGACACTGGCAAGTTGTTGAATGGTATCCACCACCGGTCCTGCCTCAGCTGCTGGCTCCAGTCTACAGTGCCCACATATGTGCCAGACCAGTCACACCCCGCTGTTTCGTATCTGGTGACATCCCACAAACCTGCAAATTTGGAGACCTTTAACACAACAGGCCCTTTTTTGACCAAAAGCAAGCGCCTCACCATTGGTACCAAAAGTGATAAGCCTGCCTGACTAAATGGACTAACAGCAACAAATTGCATATATTTTGCGCCCTTCATGTCGAGAGGACATCCCAAATTTCTGGACAGTCGAGGGTTTGCACCTGATTGGAATCATGAGGGGTGGAGGGCAAAGAGGGTGGGGGTGGGAAGGTGGTCGCATACAGGAAGAATGATATAGCTGAAAAAGTTCTGCTTCATTCTTGAACTATTACACCCTTTGGAACTCCCTCTACCCCTCCCATGCTTGCTATCTGACCCTGCTATATAATTGTAAGTTATGTAAACTGAGTTTCTAGCAGTGAATCAAAGTTTAAGATTTTGGCCTTGAGAAGATACCTCCTCTGAGCTGAGATGTCCCAAGTCAGTGGGACAAACAAGGGTTCAATCACTGGTAGAGCAGAGGGGGCCTTCACTCTGCAGTTCACCGTGCTTTGCTGAAGCTTGGGAGTGACTCAAGAGCAAGCGCATTGTGGACGATTTTCCTGCACTGTATCTCGATTCCTGCATAATTTAAAAGCCCGCCCATCGAAATTCAACCCACCTCGGCTCACTCACCTGCTGCCAGGAGAGAGGGCAATGCCACGTGCTGCACCACATCTTCTAGTGAGAAGCATTGACGAGCGATGAGAACGGCAATAAAGGTGGCAAGAGAGTCATGGAATGAAAGATCGCTCACCTTCAAAGAGAAAGAAGAATGTCCAATGACTAGCTGTGCCCTTCCTCACAACACCCACAAGGCTTTTAAAACTGAGACACGGTTACACAGTGAGCAGCAGCTAACAAGCCGATACATTCAGTCAGAGATTTAACCAGAACACCAATGGTGGGAGAGAAACAGGAGTGAATGGCACAAAGCCTTCTTTCTCAGCTGCTTCACTGTGGTGACATCCCATTTTATATGTAAGAGGTACTTGCAAGTTTCACGGAAGTTATCTGTCGAGGTCTGTCTGATCCATTAGAGCTTTGCCTCAGATCAAAGGAGAGCTTTGGATGCTAAAGGCTCTTGTGCCTATTGATCTCATATACGGGAGGTAAACAAGGTCTCTTTAGGCGCTGAACTGACTCCAAGGTGACATGCTTGGCAACGGAACGTCAGAATCGAGTCATCCCTCTGTGGCTGCCTTGGTATCCATTTCCTGAGCCAAGCAGAGCCGCAGTATTCCAGGGCACTACTCATGGCAGCACAGCCAACCTGGCTCATCGGCAGGACTTGGGAGGGAGACCAGTCACTGGGGGCAGGGATTCTTCCCACTCTGTTTGTCCAATTCATACAATCAATCTCCCAATCCCCTATTTTGTATAGAACAAAGGCTCAGTAATTGAAAGCACTAAGGCTGGAAAATGTACTAGAGTATTGTAATGACATCCTGCTCTGCCTCACCAGAGTACTGTAATGGTGTCCTGCTCTGTCTCACTGGAACTAAGCCCTGGTTAATGCACAAAGTACAAACACTGAGAATCAATTCAGTACAGATTGCACTTTTATAAAAAAATGAACAAATATATGTTAAAAAAACTTTAGAAAATAGGAAGATGGTAACAGCGAGAGTCTAACATATTCACAACCAATTTATTAGATCAATTTTTAATCCTATTTCTCTGCCTTAATCCAGCGCCTTGGGACGTCCTCTCGATGTGAAAGGTGCTATACAAATGTATTCTTCTTGTTGTTGTAAGTATCTGTCCTTTTACACATCCCAATCCCAAAACATTCTGTGTCTTGTTCTTTCAGGTTTGTCCAAATGGAAAACATCACAACTCACATCTTGCTAATGTCTCCTTGATCCCAAACCCACTTCGGTTTGAGGCCAGCCTGGCTGGTTGTCAGGACTTGGAGGAGCAGACCATTCAGATTATCCCCGCAAGGCTAAACCCGAATGTAGGGTGGTCCCAGCTGGACAAGCAGTAGGAAGCTTGCCAGTGTTCGCAAAGTCAAGCTACACGGTTTTAGTTAGTTAAACACCAGAAGTACCCCAAAGCACACTCTGGGATTCCCCAAGCCTTGCCACTTGCAAACGTAATGTTTAAACCCTCTGGGAATAGGTGATCAGGGATTGTTCCTCCAGAGAGAGAGAGAGTGGGTAAATGGAAATTGCACTTATGGAACTCTCAGTAAGTTTTGTTTAGAGACTCTTTGGCATGGTGATGGGTTTATACATTTCGGACTCCCGGCTGACCAAACAACACTGAATCATGAATCAGGCGAAATGACATCAATCTACACATTCACTATCACTTTGACTGAAGAAAGATTTCTCTCAGTTGTAGCTGCCATGACCATGCTTGTAGCATTGTTTTGTTATAAATTAGGTCACATTGAAAGAGAACACTGAGGACAGATTCACAGACATAGGGCTATATGTCGGCCCCAAAAAAACTTCACACTTTAACACGAGTGTAACCTTCGTGCAAATGTCGAAGCTGGAACCACTTTTACTGAATAGCAATAACCACACAATCTGCACTCATTATTTAATATATTAACCATGGTCAACTCTAGCAGAAGCATAAATTAACCCCCTCTCTGCTGATGTTTTTCATTTCTACTAACAGTGCATATAACAGTTTTGTTTAAAGTATGTCAAAGAAATACACAGTACAATACAAATTTACATTTATACAGCACCTTTCATATCGGGAGGCATGTCCTGGCTAGTAAACCTAAAGACAAAATTGGATCATTCACTCCATGGCTCTTTGTGAGACATTGCTGTGCGCAAATTGGCTGCTGAATTTGTCTAAAATATACACAGTCACTACACTTTACAGTATATCCTGTGAAGTGCTTTGAGACACCATCCTGATATGAAAGGAGTAATTGTTATTTTGAAAGAGATGAAAAGCAGAAACAGAAAAGGATCTGTGTTACAATGGAAAATGGGGGGGGAATCAAATCAGGCACGAAACAAGCCAATGTGAACTTACATCCACACTGCAGAGAAGATCATTGAAACCCCAGACATGGTTTGAGGAACAGCAAAGAGCCTTGAGAACACCAAGCCATTCTGAACTGAGTACGGTGCAGCATGCTGTCAGCTCAGCACAGAGGTTAGCTATGTCATTGATTCTGTAAAATGGGAAATAGGAGAGACACAGAAACACAAGAAGATGGTTACAATCGCCTAGAACAGGCATTTTGATTATCACTTCAGAAATTGTCTTTCTCTCTGAAGTATTCACAAGTGTCCTTAAACTCCACTTATTCTGGATTTCTCATCCTTTAAATTTCTTCAATCAGTCCAGTTGAATTTGTCAGTCAGTCACACTTTCATCTCTGAGTCAGAAGGATGTGAGTGTAAGCCCCACAGCTGGACTGTGAGTGTATGGTCTGGAGACTGACACTCCAGTGCAGTGCTGGGGGGAAGGGGTCCAATACAATTTTGAAGGTGCTGTCTTTTGGTTGTGAAGGGAGTTTCTCTCAGTGTTCTGGCCAACAATCCCTCACTAAAACTGATCACTCACTTTGTGGCTGTTTGTGCGACATTGCTGTGTGCAAATTAACTGCCGTATTAGCGTACAAAATGCAGTCAATATAATATAATAAATCATGTGAAGCGCTTTTTGGAGTCCTGTAGCTCAGTGGTTAGAGCACTCGCTTTGCAAGTGAGAGACCTGAGTTCAATTCCAGGCAGAGGGCGAAACCTTGGGCAAGTTTCCTTACTCCACACAGAGCCTAATAATAATCCCTCCAAAACCAAAAACAATAATAAATTGGTCATTTTCAATCTACGACTGTTTGTGGGACATTGCTGTGCACAATTGGCTGCCGCGTTCGCCCACAAATATACAGTCAATTCACTTTACAGTGTGTTCTGTGAAGCGTTTTGGGACGTCCTCCCGATGTGAAAAGCGCTATATCAAATGCAAGGATTATTATTATTATTATTATTTTGGGACATCACCCAGATGTGAAAGGCCATGTCAAATGTAAGGATTATTTTTATTATTATAGGTTTACTGTGTGTTTGAGGATAGAGGGCAAGGGATAGGGTGAAGGAAGGGCCTCAATCGCAGCCCACCAATACATTCCTACATTGTGAGGCTCTACCTCGAGCTCCACTGTTTATTGTGGACCAACTTCACCTCAAGCTACACAGTGAAACCAGTGCCTTGTGGCTCAAGCCGTGGAGCTGATCACTCTATCTGGGAACACAGGTGAACGGAGATCACGATGAGTAGCGTCCAGTTTACCCATTCGTGAACCGCTAGTTTTGCGTTAACCGTCACTCTGGCAGGTCGTAAACGTGTTTGATAACCGGGGACGACTCATTACGACCATGAAATGTAGCCACTCTGTGAACCTCACAAATCCGACAGCTCGTGAACACGCAGCATCTCAAGAACAGCTGGGAACTGAAATCCTTGGGGCAGCCACAGGCAACATCTAAACCGGGGGCTGCGCGCACTTCGCTGATGGGCTGAGCCCAACGAGCGCCACGGCTGAGGTTCCCTAAGGCAGGCCGGCTGGTCTACCTGTCTGTGTCCTGATGTCCCATGCACACATTCATGAGCGCGTTGCACACGAAGCTGTAGCGATTGGCTGCGTTGTCGCTCAGGATCTTGCCCAGCATGGAGTAGTTGATGTTATGGGCCGAGGGGTTTTCAATGAAGTCTAACATGAAGTCGGGATCCCACAGCAGGTTGGAGTTGGAGGGCTGAACGTTGCTGTAAATTGTCTGCTTCACCTTGGAACAGGCGCTACTGAGGGTAAGAAAACACATTGCGTTACTTTAAGCTTCCACACACCTTAATCTGATTTTACTTGAACGCAGCACATGTTGCAATGTGTGCACGGCTTGAAATCTTGCCTGGTCTTTGCGTGAGAGATCCCTCCGCTCAGCTAACATTGACCAGCTTATGTCGCCCAACCCACCCACTCCACCATCGTGGGATCAAGTTTTCAGTCATCCTGCCCCTGTTCTCTGGAACTCCATCCAAGTCCCTCTGTCTTGCCCCCTCTCTCCCTACATCCCCCTTAAAACCTACCTCTTCAATCATGATTCAACCACCTTCCCCCCTTAGTTTCCACTCCCCAACCCCCCCACCCACCCGCTACAGACACAGCCCCTTCCCCCCAGCTCACACTCAGGTCTGTGAAGCGTTGGAGACTGATGTGAAAGGCGCTATATAAATGTAAATTATTATTCAGCTGGAGATCTATGTCTAAGACATTGGCAACATTGTGTTTTACAATAAAATACACTCCATAAAAAAACAGATGGGTTCAAAATCCCAGCTTGTTTCCCAAACTTAATATTTGTCTTTCAGTTCACTGCAGTAATCCACGTGTGCAGCAATAGGACCTCACTTCACTTCCTAATGATAAACAGACATGCTTTCCCAGATGGTTCACTCTTGGGCAATAATGAAGTGATTTTATTTGCTGTAAACGTGGCTGCATAAAAAGAGATGTGTAGAGGTGGCACGGAGCCCAGCATCAGAGAGCAATGAATTCCCTCACAGTCTTCACTTTAATAATAATAATAATCCTTGCATTTGATATAGCGCTTTTCACGTCGGGAGGACGTCCCAAAGCGCTTCACAGAACACACTGTAAAGTGAATTGACTGTATATTTGTGGCCGAACGCGGCAGCCAATTGCGCACAGCAATCCCACAAACAGTCGTAGATTGAAAATGACCAATTTATTATTGTTTTTGGTTTTGGGGGGATTATTATTAGGCTCTGTGTGGAGTAAGGAAACTTGCCCAAGGTTTCGCCCTCTGCCTGGAATTGAACTCAGGTCTCTCGCTTTCAAAGCGAGTGCTCTAACCATTGAGCTACAGGACTCCACATAAAGTAGATCCTTGGGTGCAGCAAATCCTGAATCAACCAATAAACATGAACATTTTGTAAATTAGGCAGCATCTATGGAAAGAAGAAAATTAGTTAACATTTCAGGTCTATGACCTTTCGTCAGAAACTGACCAAACTGATCGTTTCTGTGCAGCTCAGGATGCGATGGTCCTGGCAGCAGAGGAAGGGAACAACAGGACGAGGTAGAGGTTGGAGGATTGGGCAGAGCACAATAAGACCAGCTTATTTTATTTCCATTCCATGGTTTTTTTTTTTAGCAGAGTACTGAAGATATTGTTTGAATATTTTATTGCAATGGTTTCAGAATGAAATAGCTAATCAATATATCACACCAATCCTAATAATGTATCAAATAAGATCACCTTCAATTTAAGATTGTGTGTGGAAAAGTCTGAAATTCAGCCTTGATTCCTCAAGATAATATAATGATAACAATAAACTTTCCATTTGATATAGCACCTTATCACTTCAGCAAAACGTCTCAAAGTGCTTCACAGGATATAATAATAATCCTTGCATTTGATATAGTGTCTTTTCACATCTTCGAGACGTCTCAAAGCTCTTCACAGAATATACTGTGAGTGAATCACACTGTGAGTATATTTTTGTGGGTGAAACACAGGAGCCATTTGCGCACAGCAGTGTTGCACAAACAGTCGTGGATTGAGTGACCAAATTATTATAAGTTTTATTTATTATTTGTTTGAAGGGATACGTCAATCAACAAACAACTGAGTTCCTTACTGCTAGGTAAACAGAGGTTTCGCCCAAATCCTCTCGTTTGCGAGGTGAGTGCTCTAATAAATATGCTACAGGACTACAGGACTAGATCTTACCAGCACAGGCCTGGATATAGAACTACCTCTAAAAATATATTGAGCTGAAACTGTATTGTACATCTGTAAACAAGATGGTTTATTTAAGGCAATGTCCTGCCTGATTTTAGCACTGCAATAAGTATTGAGAAGGTAATGACCACACGGCCATATTATTGCTGGGCAGCAACTGACTGATCTGCATGCTCGGTGTAGCTGAAGTGTGGACAATTTTGCAGATAAGTCGCTCACCTGAACAGGTCTCCAAATTTGATACGTAAGTGACTACAAGACACATAGAGGTCATACAAGTATGCCAGGATGCATCTCTCGGGAGAGGAGCACTCTGAAGGGTTCACAACATGTTTCACGACCCCGCACAGCCTGTGAGAGAGGAAAATAACATCAAATACAATTTACATTTATATCATGTCGGGAGGTCGTTTCAAAGCACTTCACACCGCAGGCTGGGTTACAGAGTGAAGAATGAAGCACAGCTGTTGTGTGAGAGCGTAATGAATAGCAGCAAAGCTCAAGGCACACAGGAAAATAAGTACAGGAGGAGGACATTCAGCCCATCAAGCCTGTTCCAACAGGTTACTAGTTCTTGGCAGAGCTATTTTTTAAAAATGTCCTGGCTTCCTGGCTAACCGTTAATTACCCGCTGCGTAAAGTAAAACTTACTGGTGTCTGTTCTTAAATTACTCTTCGCAACTCTAAACTTGTGTTGGTGTATCCGAAAGTATTGATCTGGTTTATTTTTTCAATCCCATTTAAACTTTTATAAGCCTCTTAGTCGCCTTTTCTCAAGACTGAAGACTGAAGACTTTAAGCTTGTCTAACTGTTGCTCACAGAGTGTGCGTTGAGATAACTGCTGGAGTATAACCAGCCAAACCACATTACTTGCCGCCTGGCAAGCTTCCTGCTGCCTGTCCAGCTGGGACCACCCTATCTGTTCGGGTTTGCAGGGTGAACAAGAGGCGAGTGGGGAAAATCCCTGTTCCCAGAAACTGCCTGCAATAGTCCAGGAGAGACTGGGATCGATAAACATGATGGAAATAACCTTGTGAGAAAAGCAGAGCACACACCAAAGAAATCAAAACACTGTTCCTCACCCTTCAAAAACCTGCGCTGTCTGGTCTGGGTTGAGCACGAGACAGGAATGGTAGTGTCTCAGGACAGCCACAATGCACAGACACAGACCCGTGGTGTAGCTCCCAGCCAGACTGGAGGACTTCAGCAAGAGTTCCGCTTCCACCACACTCAGTTCGTTCAGCAACTGAAAGAGTGCAGAAAGCAGAGAGGAAGGTGAGCGGGCGCAGGGTGCAAACAGCACAACCCCCTGAGAGCAATGTTTAGCGAGGGAAAGAGCAGCGCATTTCCAGGTGGAACAGGGAGTGATTCGATGCTTTTCATTATTATTTGAGGACCCAAACAGACAAAAAACAGCCATAGCAACAGCTACTATAAGATAGAAGGGAGCGTTTGATGCAGGAGAGTTTCACAAGGTCTAATACGATGTCACATCAGCCTCAGTTGATAGAGCGCTCATCTCTGGGTCAGAAGATTTAAGCCCCGCATCAGGGACTCATAGTCTAGGCTGACACTCCAGTGCAGTGCTGGGGAGAGCTGCATTGTCAGAGCTGCTGTTCTTTGGATGAGACGTAAAAGAGAAGAGTGGAAATGGGGAATCTGCTGAGGGAGAGCTAACAAACCAACAAGTTCCACCTGTAATAAAGCCTGGTCTTAAAATATAAAATCCTGTGGAGTTGTGGAAAATCCTTCAATCAGATTTCTAATGCAAGTTGTATTCTTTTTAAGAACAGCGGAAAACCGGCTTCTAAATTAAGGCTGGATTTACGAGTTTTCCACAATTCTGCTCACAGGTACTGACTGGAGAATAACAAGCGGAATGGAGCGTGCGCACAGCTGGAATAGCTGGCAGGGCATTCTTCAACTCAAGGAACGATTGTAAGAGGATGTCAAACCTACATTGTGTTTTCTGTATTCTGTGCTTACAGACTCTAGCACCACCCCTACCTGAATAGCAAAATCAATGAGACTATTGATGTTAAGAGCGAACTCCATCATGTCAAAAATCAGCTGGATGTGGTGAGCCAGAGGCAAGTGGTACGAGGTTCCTGAGGCGAAGCTCGTGATCTGCTCCAGGACATTACTGGATATCTGTAAGAAACAGCAAACAGTCTGAGAAGAGCTGCCTGCTCTGATCCGTGTGAGACTCTCATTACGCTGGATACCTCGGCTGATGTCAGCGCAGCCAGCTCATCGCATGCCTTGGAAGGGCAGACCAATCACTGGGGGCAGGGAATACAAGCACTAAGCTCCTGTTAAAACTGCAAACCAAAGCCCTAACGGGTAGGGCGGTTGTAGCTGGACAAGCAGCGGAAAAGCTTGCTAGACAGTGCTAACAATGACAAGCTATGTGGTTTAGCTGCTTAGACTCCAACAGTAGCCCAATGCATACTCTGTGGTTCCCAAGCCTTGGATCTTGCCAACCTGTGCCTAATACTCTCCAGAATTAGGTAAGCAGGATGTATCTCTCCAGGTAGAGAGTGCGCATTCCATTCCAACAAACTATCTCTGGGATTTCCATGTGGAGGTGGGATGCATAGAATTCTCAGTTTGGTTTGGATACTCTTAAGCACGGTGATGGGTTTCCACACGTGTCAGACATTCGGCTGACCAAACAAAATAGACACCCCGTGGCCTATTGATGTGCAATTACAGACTCTGCATGAGGATGGCAATGAGCTCCTGTGGATTGTCAGGCAGTTGTTACAGCACAATGGTCCGTGTTCATTTCAATAGCTAATCTTTGGCTTCAATTTGTAAACCACTTGTGCCACTTAAGCAACACTCACGTTGTGTGCACTTATCCTGACGTAAAATGACATTTCTGAATGCGAATGTGTGTGTGTGTCTGTGAGGGGCGGTGAGTGTGTGTGAGTATGGGCTGAGTGTTTGTATGTCTGTGGCCTGTGTGTGTGAGTGACTATGTGAGTGTGTGTGTAATCTCTGTATCGGAAAGAGACCGTCGCCATTTGGAGAGAGCTGTGCAAGAACCACAAGGCTTGATGAGAACAACCTCTCTCCAATTTGCCGATCGGAAGCAAATAAGACGAGGCAGGAAAGGATTGGGTTCAGTGTGGTGCGAGTGAAGAACGACCCCTAACAGTCACCGTCAGAGTGAGATCACACCGGGCAGGAATGCACGTCTGCTCCTTACCTGAGATGTTACCTGATGTTGATCAAAATATGAGAGTTGGTGCAGTTTGGCAAAAATGGTCTCGAGTGTTGGAAGAGTTTCCTGTCTACTCCTCTTTGACTTCTGTCCTTCGTCTCCAGCTACAGACAGAATAAAACATAATAATATAATAATCACAATCTTTATATTTGATATAGCACTTTGTCACATAGTTGAAACATAATTTACAGACGAACCATAGAAATTCGCAGGACAGAAAAAGGCCAGACGACTAATTTTGTCTCTGCTCCTCTTTTAAAGAGCGATCTTTTCAGTCTCATTTACCTGCCCCTTCCCCATACTTCTGTAGTTTACAATGTATGCAAAGTGTAGTGACTGTGTATTTGTAGGTGAACACATCTATCAATTTGTGCACAGCAATGTCCCACAAACAGCCTACAGATAAATGACCATTTTATTTTTATCTGGGTGATTGTTGGCCACGACACCAGGAGAAACTCTCTTTTCTTTACTAATAATGCCACAGGATCCATCTGATCAGGTACAGTCGGGTCCTTGATTTAACACCTCATCTGAAGGACATCACCTCTGATAATGCAGGGCTCCCCCAGCTGGAGAGTCAGCCTCAATCAGCTCAAAGTCGCAAGGCAAGACTTGAACCCTTAAACGTCTGACTCAAAAGTGAATGTGCTCCCAACTGAGCAGGGCTGACATCGGACACAGAATGCGGATAAACAGACAAGCAGACAAATGGCGGCAGATAAGCAAAGATCCTCTGTGTCGCTGAACAGATGTTTTATGTCTGGGTTTCAGGACAGAGAGCGCAGCGCAACACTCACTGGTTTCCGATGTGCTTTTCTTGTTCAGGATTTTCAGGATATCTTTGGTAATCTTCTTGAGCTGGTGCCTCGCCTCATCCCGCTGCTTCCCCACCCCATAAAGCAGGATCATCCGCTGGTTACACTCGTGGCTTGACGACTCGTCCTGCAATTAGGAACCAAAACGTCCACGACTCTTCAGTTAAACGATCCATCAGTTTACAGTAGATTAATACAAAGCCCAACATATAGTCCTCCTCCCACCACCATCATAACATAGTGGTCGGGTCTATAATATAAGACCCTGTGTTTGTGGCGATTAGCATTTCCTGGGTCACTATCATTAGGTCAACACTCACATCACTGAGCAACACAGTACCATATATAAATCGTCAGAAGGATGTCCCAAAGCCTTACAGACAGTCTGGGGCGGCAACTCTTGTGAGCATTTCCAGCGGTTGCTAGGGTTACCGCCAACATTGGGAAACCCTCTGTGCCTTCACCACGCCCAGGAAGTAGCAAGTGTTCATCGTGTATCCCCTTTACAAGTGAACCCACATAGTATAACTCATTCACATTGTAATAAGAAATTGCATTTGTATATCAACTTTAACATCACATCAAAAAAACAAATGATTAGAGACTAAAGTGAATGTTATGGAGATAAGGCTGGCAAGCTTTCCCACTGCTTGTCCAGCTAGGACCATCCTACTCATTAGGGCTTTGGCTTGCAGGGTTAGCAAGAGCTGAGTGGAAGGATTCCCAGCGCCCAGTGACTGGTCTACCCTCCAAATCCTATCGATGAGCCAGGCAGGCTGTGCTGCTACCTCGGTGTACTGCAAACCCACCAGGTTCAGGACTAGAAAGTATCATAGAGGGAGAGCTCGATTCCAACATTCCATTGCCAGGACCAACTCTGCCACAATTCCCCAGGGAGGATGGTCACTAGTTGGATTCTGACTTGAGCCCAGGGTTCGGGGATGGGAAGAGGTGAAATCTGCTGCTGCCTTCACCCCAGGCCTCTCTGATAGCTCAGTCAGTGACGGAGAGACACATTTGTGTATCGTTCAAATTATAGCCAGTAGTAGAGATCTCTTTACAATGTGAGCATTACAAAGATTAAGGGGGAGAAAGCGAAAGAGAGTGAGTGTGTGAGAGGGAGAATGAGTGAAAGTGAGAGAGGGGGAATGGGTATAGTGAGTGAGAGGGGTGTGTGCGTGCGGGGGGGGGTCACTACTCTCACCCCTATCGTTTCATTGATCGATGAAAGCGCAACTTTGTTGGACTTTGCCTCACTTCCCTAATAGTCTGAGGCAGCTTGGAATTGCTAACACAGCAAATTAGCAAATGAACAAACATTCCTCTTGCAGAATCAGATAATGTCGGGTTTGGTTTAAAAGGATCGGAAAATCATACAATCGTACAAAATTATACAATGTGATTTTCTTCCCCTGGGTGGAAACCAGGAGAATGAATGGGCATCTCGCTGCACCATGGCTCTATCTATCTGACACTGTAAACCTGACTCCTTCACTTAAAATAATCCTCCTTATAATCCTTTGCATAAGCCTCAAACAATCTCAAAGCACTTCAGAGGGAATTGTTGCCAAATGCAACGACTGGTTTATATGCAGCATGGCAGCCGATTTGCTCACAGCAATGTCCCACAAACAGCAATCATGTGAATGTCCAACTTATTTGGGGGATTGTTGGCCAGAACACTGGGAGAGAAAAACACCCTTCTCTTTTCGAATCGTGGCATGAGAGCTTTGATGTCCACCTGAACAGGTAGAAGGAACCTCAGTTTACAGTCTCATCCTAAACTCCCTTCTCTTTATGAATAATGTCATGGGCTCTTAAATTTCCACCTCTATATAGTGCTTCCCCCATTACTGCGTTGGAGTGTCAGCTTCCACTGTGAGTTCAAAGTCCTGCCAGAAAAAGTAAACTACAGAAAATATTTTACACCAAGGCACTCAGCCCAATGGTACCTGAGGAGGTCTGAAGAACTAACAAGGACTGCAGTGTCTATTGGCATTCCGATAAACTGGGTTTGATTAAATAATAATAAAAATAATTATTACATTTGATACATTATCAAGAGCATCTCAAAGCACTTCACTAAGTTTCTGTGAAGTGCAGGGACTGTGTATTTTGTGGGCAGACTCAGCAACCAATTTGCACACTGATATCCCACAAACAGCCATGGAGTGAATAATCAGTTGTATCTGGATGATGGTTGACCAGGACATGGGGAGAGAGAAACTCCTTTCTCTTTGGAATAGTGCCACAGGATCTTTAACATATGACCAGGGAGGTGGGACCTTGATTGAAACAGCACTGTTGACAGTGCAGTGCTGCACTGGAGTGTCAGGAGCTCAAAGACCCAACTCGGTAAAGTGATAACATTCTGACCCAGATAAAACAATGCTATCCACTGAGCTACATGTATAACACTATAACAATAAATCATATCAAGGCTCTCCACAGATAGAACATTGAATGGCCTGAACAAGGAACCTGGTATTTTTCCTCTACACAGCGCATGTAAAAGGGTCTGGATAGGCTCGACTTTTCCAGAGAAGTTATAGTAACTGAGTTTGAATGACATAGGAGCACTGTATTATTTCCCAGTATTAATTAATTAACCAGTAACTCAATAACTTTCAGGCATCATATCCCAATACGAACTCAGAAAAGACAGCATCTGGAGGACTGGCAAATATTAACCATAACAACTGCTGTTGGCAATAAAGAGCTTCAGACACCACCTGACCACTTGACTGTTGTTACTGCTGTGGACGCTGCAAACCCATCAAGGGCTTTACTCCAGCTTCACTCTCACTGCTGTGTGATGCGCCCAGACCCTTTGATGAGATCGCTGCCTTGCAATCACTCCGAGGTATCATTTAATTTCTATTTCTCAAAGTTAAGAAGACGAGCCCATGATGGAGGATAAAAGGGAATTGGATAAATACTTGTGGCAAAGTAATATTATGGGATGTAGGAAAGAGCAGGGATTGGGATTAGAGTAGACAGCTCCAGTGGGAGAGCGAGCACCAGCACAGACACGATGGGAAGAGACCAGGGAACGGGATTAGAGTAGAGAGCTCCAGTGGAGCGAGCACCAGCATTGCACGGTACTAGCAAGAGCTTCTTCTGTGCCAAGCACAGAAATCTTCTACCATTTACCAATTTGATTAACAAAAGTAATCTAGTAGGAACTAAAAAGAGTGGCTGACACCAAATGGCAAGGTGGTGGTGATCTGGGCCTCCAGAGGAATAGTCGAGGCAGGAGATGATGAAAGCGTGGATGAGAGTTTCGACTGCAATGGGAGTGAGACAGTTTTGTGGTGTATGTTATAATAATAATAATAATCCTTGAATTTGATATAGCGCTTTTCACGTCGGGAGGACGTCCCAAAGCGCTTCACAGAATACACTGTAAAGTGAATTGACTGTATATTTGTGGGCGAACGCGGCAGCCAATTGCGCACAGCAATGTCCCACAAACAGTCGTAGATTGAAAATGACCAATTTATTATTGTTTTTGGTTTTGGAGGGATTATTATTACTCTGTGTGGAGTAAGGAAACTTGCCCAAGGTTTCGCCCTGCCTGGAATTGAACTCAGGTCTCTCGCTTGCAAAGCGAGTGCTCTAACCACTGAGCTACAGGTCTCCACTCCAATGTTAATTCACAACTTACAAGGAGGACACAGGGTATGGGAAAGGAACTGTTCTTAAAAGAGTAGCACAGATACAATGGGCCAAATAGCCTTTTCTGTGCTGTAAATGTCGGTGGTTTTATGGAAAAACTGGGCCTGATTGCACAATTAACACTCTCCACAATGTGTGTCTGACCCAGGATGTATGTTGTGAAGATGACAGAGCAATATTTGCTGACTGATTGAGGAAGTATCAGTTTACCAGATGTTATCATGAGAAATACAAACAGAAAGCCCATAGCCTACAATCTATATTGTGCTGGGGAAATCATGTAGCAAAACACAGCAAATACATCATGGCAGGTTGTAAAAGGGTATTTTCCAGCAGTAGAAATGCTAAATAGCAAATGAATATAATTTGCCTTCTCCGTTACATTCAATGAAAATCATAACGAAGATAGGTACCTGCTACAATGGGCCAAATAGCCTTCTTTTGTGCTGTAAATGTTACGGAAGAACTGAAGTCGTTGCTTAACTAACAATCTCTAAAAATTATCCGCAGAGCGAGGGCTCAAATCTACGCTTGTCAGATGTCTAATGATCAACTATTGACTCTCCTGGGGAAGGTAAGCAACTTTTCTTTAGGGCTGTGTCAGTAGATTGGGATTCCCATGCGGCAGTCTCGGTGGTCTCGCCTGAATTAAGGCAGATCCTCAGTATTCCAGGACATTATTGATGATGGAGCAGTGTTATCAATGGCAAGTTGGTTAAACTCCAGCAATACCTTAACACACACTCTGGGATCCCTCAGCATTGGCTCTTGCCAACCTATACCTAAACTTTCTGAGATTACGTAAACAGGGTTTGTCCCTCTGATCTACATACCAGACAAATGGAGACCAGATACATGTTCAATTCCAGTTTGGTTTGGGGACTATTAAGCACAATGACAGGGTTTCCATTTGTATAAGACACTCAAGCCACAAAAAATCTGACAAACAACCACCACTCCTGACACAATAATTGGGAAGCGTTGAGCTGTCTCCACGTGACAAGGCACTTGTAAACATTATAAGAGATTCCTTTGCATAAAAAGAAAAGTATCAGAAAACTAAAGGTTAGTCACCACTGAACAAAATAGACAGGAAACAAAACCGGAAGTAGAGTAAAGACTTTGCTCACTGAAAAACTATATAAATGTCTGAGTCTCACTTCAGCATGTGAAGCTCAAACTGCTTCTTAATCTCATCCTTGTCACCAGAGAATCCCATCCTTTTGAGGAACACCACCAGAGCAGGTAAAGATCCTTTTACAATCTCGGACTGGCAAAGTAAATTGGTAATGTGTCAGCAGATTCACTGTGGATTGCAGGATGTTCCAAATGTGTTGAGTGAGGGAATATTATATTCACTCCCCTTCTGAGTACTTTTATTTTGAAATGAACAGGGTTACAGAGCGAATGATCAGTGACAGATTTCCTGACAATAATAATCCTTGCATTTGATATGGCACCTTATCACATTGTTGAGACATCTCAAAATGTTTCACAGAATATTTTTGTGGGAGGAACACAACAGCCAATTGTTCCACAAACAGTCATGGATTGAGTGACCAAATATTTTTAGAGGGATTATTACCACCTGGAAGTACTCCGCCAAACAACTAACAATCAGATCCTAAGCTAGGTGGGAAAGCATGCTGTGAGGAGGACACAAGGAGAATGCAAAGGGATATAGACAGGTTAAGTGAGTGGGCAAGAAGGTGGCAGATGGAGTATAATGTGGGGAAGAGTGAAGTTATTCACCAAGGTAGAAAAAATAGAAAAGCAGATTATTTTCTAGAGGGGGAGAGACTAGGTAGTGTTAGTATTCAGAGGTATTTAGGTGTCTTTGTATACCAATCACAAAAAGTTGGTATGCAGGTACAGCAAGCAACTAGAAAGGCTAATAATAATAATAACCTTGATCCCAGCTCTGGTCTGAAATGCTGTACACTGTCCAGCTCCTTGGGATGTCCTCCCGAAGTGAAAGTCGCTATACAAATGTAATATTCTTGTTGTTGTTAGCGTTTATTGCAAAAAGGTTAGAGTACAAGAGTCGGGAGGTCTTGCTGCAATTGTATAGGGCCTTGGTGAGACTGCATCTAGAATATTTTGTGCAGTTTTGGTCTCCTTATCTAAGAAAGGATACACTCACCTTAGAGGGGGTGCAACGAACGTTCACTAGTTTGGTTCCTGGGGTGAGGGGGTTGACGTATGAGGATAGGTTGAGTAAACTAGGCCTATATTCTCTAAATTATACAAGAATTAGAGGTGATCTTATAGAAGCCTATAAGATTCTTAAGGGACTTGACAGGGTAGATATTGTGAGACTGTTTCCCCTAGTTGGAGGATCTTAAGCTAGGGGTCATAGGCTCAGGATTAAAGGTCAGCCTTTTAGAACTGAGTTGAGAAAACATTTCTTCACTCAGAGTGTAGTGAATTTATGGAATTCTCTACTCCAGAAGGCTGTGGGTGCTCAGTCATTGAACTATTCAAGACTGAGATCAATAGATTTTTAAAAACTAAAGGGATTGAGGGATATGGGGATAGGGCAGGTAAATGGAATTAGGTTAGAAGATTAGCCATGATTTTATTAAATGGTGGGGCAGGCTCAAGGGGCCAAATGGCCTAATCCTGCTCCTATTTGTTATGTTCTTAACTACTGCTAGGGAAAGAGACATGTGAAGTAAGGAAACATGCCTAAGGTTTCTCTCTGCTCGGGTAATCAAACCCAGGTCCTCTCGCTTGTGAGGCGAGCGCGCTAAACAAAATGCTATGGGACTCCACAATGCAGTGCTGGCAGAATTTCTAGAGTGCAGGCTCCATCCATTCATTCATTCATTTATTCATTCATTCATAATTTCAGCTCAATGCCTAACACCACATCAGTAATATTACTGACAGTGACAGAGTGGTTTAGACACCTTACACCGCTCGTCTGAGATCAGGGTATAGCTCGGCATCAGAATGGCACAACTCCCACACAATGTGGCTTTTCACTCTGACTAATACAGTAACATTTAAATTCAATGCATGGTAGATTAAGAGATATTTTTCTTAGAAATTTACTGTGTCCAATTATGTGTTTAATCCTCCCCCCGCGCTGGCATACTCCCTCTGCTCCCAGAGGGCCTCCCCCTGCGGTGAATTTCATAAGTGCTTGTTTCCCTGTTACACCAGGTGCAAAGAAACATTTGTGTGAGCTTTCGCAGCGAGTGTCAGCAGGTCCTTTGACTGTGGAAGGCATCACTGTGGAGCCCAGATACTGGAAGCTCGTCCAGCAATATTGGGGCAAAATCATGTGGGGGAGGGGGAAGGGGGCATTAGGCACACCAGTGTTTGTTAAATGGTGAAAATGCTCTGAGACGCTAGCCTGCATGAGGGCTGCTAAATAAATGCAAGTTGGTGTTGTGATTGTTGAGTCGTCGGGGTATTAGGGTCACCTTGAGGTGCTGTGAGGCCATGGAAGGATTTCAATGTGATAAGAAAGACCTTGATGTGTGGAGTCCTGTAGCTCAGTGGTCAGAGCATTCATGCAAGCGAGAGGACCTGGATTCGATTCCAGGGTAGAGAAACGTTGGCCAAGTTTCTTTACTCCACATGACTCTGTTTACCTAGCGGTAAGTAGGAACCTAGTTCTTAGTCAATTGGCGGATCGCTTTTCCAGGGGTGATAATCCCTTAAAAATAAATGTGGTCACTTAATCCACGACTGTTTGTGGGACACTGCTGTGTGCAACTGGCTGCTCGTTTTCATCCACAGTCAATTCACTTTACAGTATAGTCTGTGAACCGCTTTGAGAAGTCTAGAAGTCTAGTCATATTAAATGCAAGGATTATTATTATTATTGAATTCGGCAGCAAAATGGAGAGCTCTTTAAGAGAGCCAACTCTGGCATGACAGGTCAAACATAATAATAATAATCCTTATATTTGATATAGCATCTTTCATGTCGGGAAGACTTCTCAAAACACTTCACAGGATATACTGTGGAGTGCATTGACTGTGTTAAATATTGTATTAAATATATTAAAAATATTTAAAAATATATAAAAATATTAAAATATCACAAATGCGGCAGCCAATTTGCCCACAGCAATGTCCCACAAACACCATGGAAGTGAATGACCGATTTTATTGGTAGGCTTATCGGCCAGGACACCGGCGAGAAACTCCTTTCTCTTTTAGAATAGTGGTGTAGGATCTTTAATATCCACCTGAAAAGAGCACTGACTGGAGTGTCAGCATAGATTATTAGCTCAAAGTGCCCGACGTACGGCTTGAAATGGCTACCTACTGTCCTGCAAATGGCTGTATGGTCGGAAAACAAACTAGCGATATTAGATCACTGGTAGACACAGGGCTGGTCTGAAATAAGGCACCAACAGCAGCACCTTCTGGCATGAAAAATAAAGACATTGCCTTCAGTTTAAATTTCTCAACTCAAAGCTAGATGGCACCATTGGAAAGTGTTCTGATATAAAATGGTGCACCAGATGGCATATGTAATGGCAGTTACATAAAATCCTTTGCTCACTCACACCCTTAGTTTCTTCCCCGCCTCCACCGCCCCACTCCCCACCCACCATGACCGATAGACCTCCTGACTCTTACTTACGCATTTCGTTATCAGCCAAAGGAAATTACCTTCAAAAATGGCATTGCAAAACGTTCAAGTAATTACCGTCATGTGAAGTTACTGAGTGTTTTTAGGCGAAGATGGCAGCAATGTTGCTCAGAGCGAGAGCCTACAATCAGCTAGGAAGGACCCATTTATCTGGAGAATTGTTTGCAAACCACCAAATCTGCTCTGTATAATAATAATCCTTGCATTTGATATAGCGCTTTTCACATCTGGAGGACGTCCCAAAGCTCTTCACAGAACACACTGTAAAGTGAATTGACTGTATATTTGTGGGCGAACGCGGCAGCCAATTGCGCACAGCAATGTCCCACAAACAGTCGTAGATTGAAAATGACCAATTTTTATTATTGTTTTTGGTTTTTGAGGGATTATTATTAGGCGTGTGGAGTAAGGAAACTTGCCCAAGGTTTCGACCTGCCTGGAATTGAACTCAGATATTTTGCTTGCAAAGCGAGTGCTCTAACCACTGAGCTATAGGACTCCACGAGTATCTTTTCCTATGCCACAATTTAGCTGACCCTGGTTTACAAAATCTCCGTATTTGATTTGACATTGAACTATTTGAAGGCGCTTCACAGGGAATTCAGGTAAAGTGCGCCACTTTATAGGTAACCAATTTGCGCATAACCATGCAGTGAACGAACAATTTATCTTAAGGCTCATCAGCCAGGTCACTGTGAAATTCCCTATTTCTTTTCGAATAGCACCAAGGCATTTTTAAAGTCTACCTGAACCTTAGGTAACGTTCCTTACTTAACACGCCCCTGTTTGTCTAACAATAGGTAGGAACCCAGTTGTTAGTCAATTGGCAGATCGCTTTCCTGAGGTAATAATGCCTTAATGTGGTCACTCAATCCACGACTAGTTTGTGTGACACTGCTGCCACATTTCACCCCAAAAACTACAGTCAACTTTCCCATAAGTTCTGTGGAGTGCTTTGAGACGTCTCAACGATGTGATAAGGTGTTATATCAAATGCAAAGATCATTATTATTAGACACAACCTCCGATTAATGTCTCATCTGAAGGACATAGCTTTGCCTTAGTATTGCACTGGAGTGTCAGTCTGCCTTAACTATGAACTCAAAGACACGAGATGGGGTTTGAACCCACAACTTTTCCAGACACCAGGCTGACACACAATAAAAAAGCAGGGCAGTACCACAATACTATAAATATTCCCAGTTGCAGAACTAGCTTCTCTCCAGAAGAAACTGAGTCATTTAGTTTTCTGCTTTGCTGAAATCAGCTTTGAGAGCACAAGTGGACCTTCCCAGCAATCACACAGACTCGCAGCGTTTCCGGCACCGAGCTGCAAAGATTTAAACCAGGCTGGGTGTTGCTGTGCTTCTGGTTGTGACTGTGTTCTCCTTGCTTACCAACTACCCTGTCTTTGAGAGCAGAAGGGGTTCAGCTCCATGGATCAGATTCTCTATAATTGGACCATAGTAAAACAGAACATAGTTTAGGACAGCCCAGAATGAGGCCATTCGCCCAGCACAGCTGTGCCAGCTCTCTAATTAACTCCATTTAGTCCCACTGCCCACCCTTTTATATGAAGTCCATTCTTGTCCAACTCTCTTTTCAAAACTAATTGTGGATTCTACTTACACCACCTGCCACCCCTACCCTACACCCTACATCCTGCCCCCACACCACCCCAGCACCCGATTTCCCCTACTAGTTGTCTTGGGGCGTCCTCCCGGCATGAAAGGCAGATGTAATTTTGTTGTTGTCAATCTAAATGTCGCTGCTCTCTCACCCCAGTTAAAGGTAATGAATTAAAGGAATAAATTATTAATGATAAAGTTCTTGAGACTATAATCCGTGACAAAATACATTTTCACTTAGAAAAATATGGGTTAATAAAGGACAGCCGACATGGATTTGTTAAAGGCAAATCATGTCTAACAAACCTGATAGTTTTTTGCTGAAGTAATGAAGAGGGTGGATGAAGGTAGTGCAGTTGATGTCGTTTATATAGATTTTCAAAAGGCGTATGATAAAGTGCCACATAAGAGACCTGTAAGCAAAATAGAAGCCCACAGTATTAAAGGGACAGTGGCAGCATAGATACAGAACTGGCTGGGAGACAGAAAGCAGAGAGTAATGGTGAACAGTTGTTTTTCTGACTGGAGGGAAGTGTGCAGTGGTGACCCCAGGGGTCAGTATTGGGACCACTGCTGTTTTTGATCTATATAAATGACCTGGACTTGGGTATAGGGAGTACAATTTCCAAGCTTGCAGATGATACTAAGCTAGGAAAAGGAGTAAACAGTGAGGAGGACAATAGCAGACTGCAAGAGGACATAGACAGGCTGGTAAAATGGGCAGACACGTGGCAGATGAAGTTTAATGTGGATAAATGCGAAGTGATGCATTTCGGGTGGAAGAATGAGGAGAGGCAATATAAGCTGATGGTACAATCTTAAAGGGGGTGAAGGAATAGAGAGACCTAGGGGTTCATATAAGTAAATCTTTGAAGATGGCAGGAAGATAAAACTGTTAAAAAAAGCATACGGGATACTAGGCTTTATAAATAGGGGCATAGAATACAAAGGTTCAGGAAGTTATGATAAACCTTTATAAAACACTGGTTAGTCCTCAGCTAGAGTATTCATATCCGGGCACCACACTTTGGAAAGGATGTCAAGGCATTGGAGTGGGTGCAAAGGAGAATTACTGGTACCAGGAATGAGAGACAGTTATCAGGAGAGGCTAGAGAAGCTGGGATTATTCTCCTTGGAGCAGAGAAGGTTAAGAATGAAACCTAATAGAAGTTTTCAAAATTATGATTCGATAGGGTGAACAAAGAGAAACTATTTCCACTGGCGGGTGGGTCGGTAACCCGAGGACACTGATTTAAAATAGTTGTTAAAAGAAGGGGAGGAGAAATGTTTTCACACAGCGAATTGTTTGGATCTGGAATGCAATACCTGAAAGGGTAGTGGAAGACGATTCGATAACAACTTTTAAGAGAGAAGTAGAAAATTATTTGGGGAGGACAAGTTTGCAGGGCTATGTGGGGAGCAAGGGGAGTGGAATTGAATTGGATAGCTCTTTTCAAAAAGCCGGCACAGACACGATGGGCCAAATGGCCTCCTTCTGTGCTATATAATTCTATGATTCTACGATCACTTGAAAGACTGTTAACAATAATGCATTTTCTATTGTTTCACATGAACGATTCCCTTCAGTTGATTTGATTTTTTCATTTCATTAATAAATGACATAAGCCCAATCAGAGGAATCACAGTATTGTAGTCACAAAGGGCATTAGTAAGGGAACTTTCTATTCACAGTACACTCATCACTTTCAGAATTACTGCAGTTATCAATGTTTCATTTCATTCCCTTAGCTTACTTCCCTCTTTATATCTTTCTATGATGGGTAAAAAAAGCACTAATGCAAGGAAGTATTCCGATTCCGTTCCGATTGACTCTGCAAGCCAAAGCCCTAATGAGAAGCGTGGTTCTAGCTGGTCAAGCAGCAGGAAAGCTTGCCAGGCAGTGCTCTCAATGGCAAACTATGTGGTTTTAGCTGGTTAGGCTCCAAGTTACTACAAACCACACTCTGGTGCTGGCTCTTGTCAACCTCCACCTGCGGAATTAGGTAAGCAGGATGCATCCCTCCAGAAAGAGAATGCACATTCCATTCCAATAAATAACTTTGGAATTTCCATGCATAGGTCGGATGCAAGGAACAATGTTTGGTTTGGATACATGGTGATAGGCTTCCGCATGTGTCAAACGCCTGGCTAAAATAAAATAAAATAAAAAACCTCACACAGCCAATTTGGCTCTCTCGATGGGTAATGGCAAACATCCCATCCAGAATTGATCACTTCATATAAATGTCTATAACTTTGAAAGTACTTCACGAGATATACTTTAAAGTCTCGTAACCAAGTATTTGTAAGCGAACGCAACTGCCAATTTGCACACACCTATGTCACATACACAGTCATGAAGTGAATGACCAATTTTATCTTCAGAGATTGTTGGCCAGGACACCTTCTCTTTTTAAATAGTGCCATGGGGATCTTTAACGTTCATTTGAACAGGGAGACGGGTCCTTAGTTTAATGTCCCATTTGAAGGACAACACCCATCTCCAGTTTGCTGAGAACAGGATATCAGCAGACAAGGCAGACGGAACACAACACAATACAAACGCTTAGTCTGTGGCTTTTCTCTTTGCTAATATAGAAATGGCTATAGCTGGAACAGGAAGTCCACTGAACTATTCAAACTTCACAGAGAAAGACAGCTGCAACGCAGACCGCCAAGTCAGCCAAGTGGTGTTCTCAGTCCTCTACTCCGTCCTCTTCATCGCTGGCATCACGATGAATAGCCTGGCAGTATGGGTCTTCTTCCAAATCCCGAGTAAGTCCAACTTCATTGTCTACCTAAAGAACACAGTGGTAGCCGACTTGCTCATGACCCTGACGTTCCCGTTTAAAATCATCATCGAGTCAAGCTTCCGAACACCAACCCTCCAGTTCATTGTCTGCCAGATCACTTCCGTCAGCTTCTACTTCACCATGTACATCAGCATCATGTTCCTGGGGCTGATCAGCGCCGATCGCTACCAGAAGGCGGCCAGGCCTTTCGGGAGCTCAGCCAAGTGCAGGCCCCGCTCGGCAAAAATCTGCTCCGTGGCCGTGTGGCTCGTCATGTTCCTGCTCTCGTTGCCCAACATGGTGCTGATCAAAGGTAGCAGCATGCCCAAGAACCAACGCAAGTGCTCCTCCCTCAAGACAGACATGGGGCTAAAATGGCATGAGATTGTCACCTTTGTCTGCCAGGTCATCTTTTGGTGCAATCTGGCCATTATCGTTGGCAGCTATCTGCTGATCTCTCGGGAGCTTTACAAGTCCTACCAAAGAACGCGAGGCAGCTCCAGCCAAGCCAACAGACAGGTGAACTTCAATGTCTTTATCGTACTTGGGGTGTTTTTTGTCTGTTTTGTGCCTTTTCACTTTGCCAGAATCCCGTACACACTCAGCCAAACGAGAGGCGCCTTTGACTGCACCACGCAAATCGCCCTTTACTACACGAAGGAGAGCACCCTGTGTCTAGCGGCGTTTAATGCCTGCCTCGACCCCTTCATTTACTTCTTCCTGTGTCGCTCCTTCAGGAACACCTTATTCGAAAAGCTGAACATCCACGTGCAAAGACTGCGCCAAAGAGGCGAAATGTCAACAAGCAATGAGATCGCACTTTAACCTCTCTACCTGTTGTTGATAATTACCAAACAGCCCCATCTTTCTCGCTCGTTCATGTAAACAGACTCGTAGCAGTTTTAGAAAATAACAAAGTTGTACCTTTTTTGTAAATAAATTAACCAGCTTTTTTGACAGTAAAACCTTGCCTGGACCTTCATTCATGCACTCTGACACACACAATAAGCCTTGCCTTTTTATAGCATTCATCACATTGAAAAATTCCACCACCTCCTAGCCTGTGACACAATTTTGTCTTAAAGTTTAAGATCAATACCGATATTGGGATTAAAGGATCGCGATATCAGTTTGGAGGAAGAAGACCCTTTGACCCAACTGATCGCATCTCTCCAGCATCCTCATCGAGCTGCTTTTTAAATTAGTCCAGTGTCCTGGCCTTAATCACCCTTCCTGGCAAACTGTTCCACTCATTAATTACCCTCTGTGTGAAGAAAAACTCCCTGGTGTCTGTCCTGAAATTAACCTTTACAACTCTAAACCTGTGTCCTCTTGTCTTGGTGCATTCCTAAAGTATCGATCTGGATTTACTTTTTCAATCCCATTTAACATTTTATAAACGTGCATAAATTCCCACTGACTAGTCTTCTCTCAAGACCGAGTCCCTTCCCTCACTGTGTAGGTTCACATGTGAAGAATTCAAGCACTGATTTTTTTTGGCGCTTATCACACCTATCACCATTCTTAAGAGTCTCCAAACCAAGCCAATAATAATAATTCTTGCCTTTGATATAGCGCCTTATCACAACTTCTAGACGTCTGACTGTATATTTTTGTGGGCGAAACAATGATTACATATGGAAACTTCCTATGGAGGCATTGTCTCTGCCTGGAAGGATGCACCCTGATCACTTCATCCTGGATAGTATGAGGCATAGGTTAGGTTGGCAAGAGGCAAGGTCGAGAGCACCCTAGTCTGGGCAACTCATTGCTGCCCCACCCCACTCAACCCCCACTGCTTTCAAAACTCTTTGGCCAGGCCTGCAGTCATCTGCCTCCTACCCATCTCCCACTCCAAATCTGATAAGCGTTTTAAGATGTTTAACCAGGTGGGAGGCACTGTATAAGTGTTGCACTTACCGCCCAAGCTAAAGGACTTGGGTTCGATACCCGAGCGAGGCAAAACTTTAGGCAAGTTTCCTTACTCCACATGCCTCTGTTTACCTAGCAGGAAGTAGCAATCTGGTTGTTAGTCGATTAGCGGATTGCTTTCCGGGGGCAATAATTCCTAAAAATTCACGAAATCCATGATCGATTGTGGGACATTGCTGTGCACAATTGGCTGCTGCATTCTGCCCACAAAATACACAGTCAATCCACTTTACAATATATTCTGTGATCGCTTTGACACATCACAATGATGCAATAAGGCACTACATCAAATGCAAGGATTATAATTATTATTATTAATGCACCCTAAGGGCCATGATTTTGCAACACAAAAGTAACATTGATATTGATGCCACGCTGTACACACCAACCCAGTAAGTGGCAAGACCAGACTGAAGGATTCAGTCAGACCTGGGCTGTTCCCACCAGGCGAGGTAAGGTAACTCAATGGTCACATTTGCTGCAACTGTCCATCTGACAGGGCGAGGATGTGCAATGACCAACTGTATAGGGCCTTGGTGAGACCGCAACTGGAGTATTGTGTGCGGTTTCCTTATTTAAAAAAGGACATACTTGCCCTCGAGGGGGTGCAGCGTAGATTCACTCGGTTAGTTCCTGGGATGAGGGGACTGACCTATGAGGATAGTCTGAATAAACTTGGGCTATATTCTCTAGAGTACAGAAGAATTAGGGGAGATCTTATTGAAACATATAAGATTCTTAAAGGGTTGGATAAAGTAGACACTGAGGGACTGTTTCCCCTGGTAGGAGAATCTATAACCAGGGGTCACAGTCTTAAAATTAAAGGTCAGCCTTTTAGAACAGAGTTGAGGAAACATTTCTTCACTCAGTGGGTCGTGAATTCTACCCCAGAAGGCTGTAGATGCTCAGTCCTTGAACATCTTCAAGGCTGAGACTGATAGATTTTTTAAAAAAGAGGGATTAGGGGATAGGGGATAGGGCAGGTAATTAGAGTTGGGTCTGAAGATCCGGTTCGAGGGGCCGAATGGCCTACTCCTGCTCCTAATTCTTATGTTCTTATGTTCTTATTATCCATCAAATGTAAAAACTGCACTCCAATCCTGAATCCAGATCCAAGCAAAACTGCAGTTTCAGTGAGAGACTAATACAAAATATTTTGCCTTAAAGAGCGTGACTAATTCGCAAATCCCAACACTTACAATTTGCAATATGTGGAATGAACTATTTCATAACCTAAAGCCAAATCTGATGGCACAATTAACCAGTCAAATATGTCTTAATATTGTGCAAGAACAATTAAAGTGAATGTAACAAATTTTAAAAAAGGCAGAACTTGCTTTTATTAGCTTCTTATCATGTTGAAATAATCTCTAAGCACTTCACAATAGTTACTCCCAAGTGTAGTGATTGTGTATTTGTTGGCAAATGCAACAGCCATTAGGCCAGAAAGTTCCCACAAAGTGCTAGGAAAGACAACAACCGCATTTATATTGCACCCTTTTAGGTAGAATGTCTCAGAGAACTTCACCGAGCACTGACCAGTTTGACAATGTACTAATAATCCTTGCAGTTGGTACAGTACCTCTCACATCAGGCGAACCTCCCAAAGTGCTTCACAGGGATACTTATTGCAAAGCGGAGTGACTGTGTGTAATTTTGTGTGCTAATGCTGTAGCCAATTTGCACACAGCAATGTCCCACAAACGACCATGGAGTGAATGACCATTTTTTTTATTTTGGGAGATTGTGGCCCAGGACACCGGGAAACACTCCCTTCTCTTTTCCAATCATGCTATAGGAATCTTTACCATCCACCTGAACAGGCAGACGGGACCTTGGTTTAATGTCTTATCCAGTGGTTTGGATCACTCTAATCCTTACATTTGATACAGAGCTTATCACATAGGGAAGCTGTCTTAAAGTGCTTCACAGAATATATTGTAAAGTTATACAAGCAGCCTCGCCTCTGCAGATGCTACCCACAAACCCAGTAAATGCAGGGTCATGATATTTATGGCAGCAATTTAGTCATGGCTGCTGAGCAGACCCAAGTGGTTGCAGAGAACAGCCTTTTATTGTGGTAACTTGCTAAAGATACTGCGCTCAGTGTTGTGCCAAGCATGTTGTGGAGGTGGCTAAGCTTAGGCAGAGAATCATAGCATTGTTAAGATCAATATCATGCATGGCATCAGAATATCATACCCCCAGATACAATCACTTAGTCGTCAGCTAATTGTTCACTGATCTTTACAAGTGATGCAGGGCCTCTCATGTCAAAAATACTTGAAGCATTTCACCGGCAATTGTTGTAAAGTGTAGTGGCTGTGTAGTTGTAGGTGAACACAGTGGTCAAATCTGGACACAACAAACAGCCATGAAATGGATGATCACCAACCCTTTGGTTATCAGTTTGGGAATCTGACAAGTGCGGGTTTGAGTCCTCACCACACGGCTCTCGCAGGTATCAGGAATCCTTGCCAACAATAAGACAAGCAACACAGCTCAGCATGAAATGCACAGAACCGGAGACATTCACAGCACAGGAGGCAATTCGGCCCATCGTACCTGTGGGTAATCGCTGAACGAGATCCTATCTACCTCCGCTCAGCGGGCACTGACCTGCTCTGTGCCCTCCGCCCTGCCCGCGCCACCATTGGTGATCGGGCCTTCAGCCTTCTTGCCCCACCCCCTCAAACTCTATCCCAGAAATCCTCCATCTTACCCCCTCCCTTGCCTCCTTCAAGGACCATCTCAAGACCTTCCTCTTTGACCGTGCCTTCAGTCACCATCCCTCTCCCCTACCCCTCTTGATTCCAACCACCAGCTCAGGTGCAAACCCTTAGTTATCCACTGCTTTGGGACGTCCTTCTGATGTGAAAGGCACTGTGCAAATGTAAATTTGTATTTGTTATCCATCTAGTCCCACTCTCCTGCATCTCTTCCCCTCGCACCCTTTTCATATTTTTATATACATATCTAGTTTTCTCTCAAAGGTTGTGCATTCTATATTCAAATAACTAACTTGGTGTAGAAGTCTACCTTTTAATCTCTCCTTTTTATCAATATGCTGCCCCAGTTTTACCACATGAACACAAAGCACAGAACAAGACTTTTAACTCATTAAAGGCAACAAGAGCTCAGCTTTCTTTAGTGTGTAGGACTCTCTAGCATTGCTAGCATTTTCAGGCTGCCTCAGTCAGTCGCACTGCAGTCCAGTGCTCACTTTCGGTGATAAACTAACCTGAGCTCCCACCTGCCAATTCTTCACGTGGATGCTCCAACATTATTGGAAAATAGAACAGAGTTTCTCCCAGTGTCTTGGCCAGCAATGGCCCTTTCATATCACGGACATCCCAAAGCAACAATCCTCAGGTAAACTCGTCATTCACTTCATGGCTGCTTGTTTGCAAAAAAAGAAGTTACTGTTACACTTGACGCACTTGGCAGCAAATTCTTGTGAAGTATTTCGAGATGTTTCAACAATACTGGGATTGTGTAAAATGCAAGAATTATTATATTATTGTCCAGCAATTTCTGCCATATTTCTGACTGAGAAATTCTTAATAAATACTATATTCTTTTCAAACTCAACATCGCTCACTGTCTCTCCCCTACACAAACTTCAGAACAGATTCCTCGCTTCTGAGGAAACAAACTTGCCTTGAGAGCGAGAGGACCCGAGAGGGCAAAAGCTTAGGCAAGTTTCCTTACTCCATGCCTCTGTTTACCCAGCAGTAAGAATCCGGTTGTTAGTTGATTGGTGGATCGTGTTCGGGGGTAATAATCCCATCAAAAGCAAATAAATTTAAATACTAATTTGGTCACTCAAACCATGACTGTTTGTGGGTCACTGCTGAACGCAATTGGCTGCCGTTTCACCCACAAAATATATAGACGTCTCAATGACATGAAAAAGCACAATATCAAATGCAAGGATTATTATTACTACTAATATTATTATACTGAATATACCACAAGTGACTTTTCATTCTGCTACAGTTCTTTTTCTGACTCGTTTCCTGAGTCTGGCCAGTGCCAGAGAGAGAGAAAGATTGGTATCAGCCCATAAAGAGAGAGAGAGAGACTGTGGTCTCTACCCAACATTGGCGATAGGAGTGGTTACTAATCATGGCCAATACAATTCAGTTCTTTTTTGAGGAGAGTATTTCTAGCCGAGGTCTGCAGAACCTGCATATGTGCCTCCTAAATCAGGAAGCTTAATGTTTGGACGTTAGTAAAATTTCAAGTGACTTCCATACAAAGGCTTCCTTTTGCATTCTACTTCAGAGGCTGTTCTCCAGTTGCTGGCTGGTGAGTCAGGGATAGACCCAAGAGAGGGGAAGGCTCGTGTGAGGCAGCATTTGCACCAAGCCTGGAATTTGGGCAGCAACTGGTGACCAAATCTCAAAGCCAGTTTGCCAGAAGATACCTAAAGCATTTAGAGAAACACATTTCAGGTCACAGATTCGCTCACTCGGACCAAAGGAAACTGCCGAAGTCTCGCTGGACATGTAAGTAAATCACTCTCCAACTGTATCATATAGAAATGTGCGGTTCAGGAATGTCAGGGTTTGGAATTCAAATGGATATTGAGGTCAGATTAATAATAATAATAATCCTTGCATTTGACATAGCACTATATCACGTCTTCGAGACGTCTCAAAGCGCTTCATAGAATATACTGTTAAAGTGAATTGACTGTATATTTTGTGAGCAAAAGTCGGCAGCCAATTGCGCATATCAGCGTCCCATAAATAATAACCCTAACGCTAAGCTCAAAAGGGAATTGGATAAACAGCTGATCAGCAAAAAAAATAGGGAGTTTGGGAGAGAGCTGGGAAGCGGATAAATAACAAAAGGTGATTAGAAAAAAAAAGGGGGGGACGCAGTGGCATAGATACGGTGGACCTCTTTCTGTTCAGGAACTTCTCAAAGAGTTTCGTAGAAAAGTGTATTCACGGACAAAACTGGCAACCACAAATAGCCATGAAATGAATGACCAACTTATATGGGGAATTGCTGGCTAGGACCCTGGAAGGAATTTGCTTCTCTTTTCCAGTAGCGTCATTGGATCTGAACAGGCAAATACAACCTTGGTTCAATGTCGCATCCTTAGAACGGTGCCTCTGACAATGCCACCTCCCAGGACTGCACTGGAGGGTTAGGAGTTAGTCTGTACTGTGAGTGCCTGACAGAGGTCTTGAATATACAAACTAAATGAAGCAACTGCCAGATAATCCAGAGTTCTGCAGCTCGTGTCCTCTCCCTCACCAGGCTCCGTGGCCATATCACCCCCTCCCTCGCCCGGCTCCACTGACTCTCCATCCCCTAGAGGATAGAGTTCAAAATCCTCGTCCTCCCCTTCAAGGCCCTCCACAGCCTTGCTCCTTCCTACCTCTGTGACCTGCTGACTCCCTCCACTCAGCAAGCTCCAGCCTGCTCCACGTCCCCTGCCCGTCCCACACCACCATCAGCTATCGAGCCTTCAGCTTCTCCCCCTATCTTCTGGAACTCCATCCCACAGTCCTTTCGTCTTGCTCCCTCCTTCAAAGCCTGACCATGTCAAGATCCTCCTCTTCAACCACGCATGAGGCCACCCTCCTATCCCTACCCTCAAGCCCTCCACACCCCCCCACCGATCCCAACTCTCTGCTCAGGTCCAAATCCCTGACTGTCCAGCGTCTTGGGTCATCCTCCCGACATGAAAGGCGCTATACAAATGTAACTTGTTATTGTTGGTGATAAAGAGCCTTCCAGAAACACACTCATATCATTTTGTCTGAAAATGGCTCAAATTGAGGTGTTGATGTTTTGGGTTCAGACTTGCTCCTGAATGTTGCCATCTAACAAATGCAGCAGTAAGAAGAATACAGATTTAGCTCAAGCTGCCTCAGCAAGTGTCAACAAAAATTGCACTGGGGACACTTGCTGAGGCAGCTCAGAGCGACTCATTGAGTAAGTTTCCTTACCCCACATGCTCTGCTTACTTTGCAGTAAGTAGGAACCCGATTGGGGTTAGTTGATTGGCGGACTGTGTTTCAGGGATAATAATCTCTCAAAATATAATAGAAGAGTTTTTCCCAGTGTCCTACGAACAATGCTCCAGATAAATTGGGCATTCACATCACGTTTGCAGGACCTCGCTGTGTGCAAATTAACTGCCGCCGTTATGTAAAGAAACTCTTTACTTCAACAAGTTGTCAGCAATTCCCTGTGATGTGCTTTGAGATGTTTTGACGTTATAGCTGCTGTATCAAATGCAAAGAAAATCCTATCACTGTGACCAGCCTACAATCCGATAGAGTGGTGGTGATAATGGCTCCAGCACAAAAGACACTTCCTACTGTAAAGGAAACCGAAAGCTGTGCGGCACCTATTCTTCCTTATTTTATATTAATAAACTTTAAACGCAGACAGTGCAGCTTAAGCTAGCAACTGTCTATGAGACTGATATTCACAGGTGCATATTGACCCACTTCACACTAATTTGGGTAAGGCCCCGTCAACAAAGTGGGCACCCTAAGCAATAGCGAATGATGGGGGCTGGTCCACAATTATATTATGAATCCAAAGAAGTGACAGATCTAAATAACTTCTAAATGACTTCCCAAGGCCCTGGACAATCAGTATTTCGGACCCGAGCTGGGGCTCAGGATCGGGTAGGGTGGAGGGCAGGGGGAGAAGAAGGATTATCGAAAGCACGGTCGAAGAGGAGGTTCTTGAGACGGGTCTTCAAGGAGGCAACAGAGGGGGCGAAGCAGAGGGACTGAGGGATGGAGTTCCAGAGTGTGGGGGCAGAATAGCTGAAGGCCCGCCCGCCATTGATGGGACGGGCGAGGCAGGGAACGTGAAGCAGGCTGGAGTCTTCTGAGATGATTCATTAGACATCAGTTTGTAAATATTTTCAAAGCTCTTGCTTCACAGAGGATTATTGTGAAGTGCAGTGACTAGATTAGTGTTGGCGAATGTGGCAGCCAATTTGCACACAGTTTCCCCCCAACTACCAAAGATCAATATATCTGGTGAATTGTCAGCCGGTACACCAAGAGAAACTCTCTCTTTTCCAATACAGTAGTATCACGGGATCTCTAACATCCACGTGAACAAGCTGATGGGACCTCGGTTTATCGTATCATCCGAGGGACAGCACCTCTGACAATAAGTGGACCTCTAGCACTGTATTTAGTGTAAGCCTAGACTGTGAGTCTCCAAGTGCTGACATGGGGCACGTTATCAATCTGGTCATACCAGTTGACTAAACTCCATTAAGACTATTAAACTGTTAAGTGGTGCGCAGTCAGTCAAGATCCAATACAGACATTCACACTTCTTGATGGTGAATAGACTGCAAGCTATTATTGGGAAATAACTAAGACGCATTTCTCAATATGATTCACACTGTGTTCATATCCTGACTCCTTCTGATGGATCCACTGCAACCAGTTTGAAAGAAGCAAAAGGAGATTCTGAGGAAATCAGAGCTACCAAATTTACATTGCATTACTGCCAGTTAATAATCATAAATTATTAATCCTTGCATTTGAAGTAGCGCCTCATCACGTCTTTGTGGCGTCGCAAAGCGCTTCACAGAATATACCGTAAAGTGAATTGACTGTATATTTTGTGGGTGAAGTTACAGAATGTCACAGAATACTGAATCGAATTGTAACTATAGTGCTGGGGCAACAACATCAAATGCTAAGTCTTAGGAGAACAGGGCTGTCCTCCTGAAATCTACGAGGTTGACTTCAACCTTGTGCTGAGAGAGCAGTAAACATACAGCCTGCTTCAAGCCACTTGATCCAACACTGTATCTCCAAACTCGAAAGTTTCCTGCCTCAGGTTTCTGGTATCTCACAACCTTCCACTCAGAGTGTAGAATGGATGGTATAATGGTGAGAGTGGGGCCCCTCTCTCTAACTCTCTCCATACATGTTGCCTGACCTGCTGAGTGGAACCAGCCACTTCTGTTTTATTTCAGATAATTAGAACTGGGATATGGATGAGTAGCTTCATTAGGGGAATGACCACAGCAGTACTACAAGGTGTCCACTGGTCTCCTGCTGTGTAGATTTCTGTGGTGTGAGGATGAAAGCCACTGTATAAATGGAAGCTGGTGTAGTTTCTATGATTAGCTCTTCCTGTGTCAGTTCTGAGTAGATGTCCCCATGTTAGTGAAAAGATATATTATATATATATACACACATACATACACACACAATAAAACCAGATTGATACAGTGATAGGGGTATGGTAGGGCGTGATTTCTGGATAGATGCTATCAGATGGGCCAAAGGGCTTTCTTTATCCAGACCAACCTTGAGATTTTGTGACCTGTGTATTGGTCATTTGGGGCACCAAACCCATTGCATGTTAACATGACCACTATTTGTCTTCCCACCAGCAAAGAAAAGCAGGATGATGGATAACAGTAGCTCATTAAGAAATGCATCCTCTTCCGGTAGCTGTGTGCGCAACACACAGGTCACCCAGATACTGTTCCCAATCCTCTACAGTGTCCTCTTCATCGTGGGCCTGGCGCTCAATGTCATGGCCGCCAAGATATTCTTCCACATCCCGAGCACCAGCACTTTCATCGTCCTCCTGAAAAACGTTCTGTTCGCAGATGTCATCATGACCCTCACGTTCCCCTTCAAAATCACGAAGGACACTCAACTGGCCCCGCTGCAGCTGAGAGCATTTGTGTGTCGTTTCTCCGCCGTAACGTTCTACTTCACCATGTACATCAGCATCATTCTCCTCGGCCTCATCAGCTGCGACCGCTACCTGAAGATCACAAACCCCTTCGGGAAGTCATGCGTGCGGAGCGTGAGGTTTAGCAAGTTCCTATCTGGGGCGGTCTGGCTTACCATGTTCGCCCTGTCTGTGCCCAACATGATTCTGACCAACAAGCCCGTGAGACCCGACACAGCCAGGAAGTGCTCCTTACTGAAGAGTCCGCAGGGATTAATGTGGCACGCCACACTCATCTACATCTGCCAGTTCATCTTCTTTGGGGTCTTCTTGCTGATGGTCGTGCTCTATATCATTATATCCAGGAAAGTCTACGAGTCGTACGTCAAGTCACGGAGCTCCGACACAAAGGGTCGGAAGAAGACAAAGGTCAAAGTATTTGTCATCGTGGCTGTGTTCTTTGTGTGTTTTGCTCCCTACCATTTCGTCAGGGTGCCCTACACGCTAAGCCAGGTGGGCAAGGTGAGGGAGTGCTGGAAGCAGGACTTGCTGTATTATTTAAAAGAGATCACTCTTTGGCTGTGCTCCTCCAACACCTGCCTGGACCCCCTCATTTACATTTTCCTGTGCAAGTCTTTCAGACGGCGCTTAGCTAGACATGAAACAAACAGGTCAGAGAGCAGAGTAAACACCATACACGACAATGTGGCTAGCGAGTCTGCCTTGTAATACTAATCCTTGGATTTGAGGCAGCGCACCTTATCACGTCATCAAGATGTTTCAAAGCACGTCACAGGATATACTGTAAAGTGTAGTGACTGTGTAAACCCGAGAACTAATGTTGCAAAACCAGTGCTCAATTAATCTGTATTAACGCTACAAACATGTTAACCACTCCGTAATGTTTCTCTTCATTGGAATACTAGCGATATTAAAAATAATAGTTAATCATTTTTGAACTTGATGCAGTGCCTCTAATGTCAAAACCATTTACCACATTAACGCCATCTAATGTAGTTACTGTGTATTTGGAGATTTAAAGTTCACCTGAACAGGCAAATGGAATCGAGTTTCATCCAAAAGATGGCGTTGCTGACTTCGAGGCGCTCTCCCAGCGATGCACTGGAGTGTTAGCCTGTGCTCCAAGTCCCTAAATATGGTTGCTTTTGTTTCGCAGCAAAGAGTTCTCCGAATCACGGCCATTTTACAAACTACAGTTAAGAGACCAATACCTAAACAAAACAAGCAATCCGTTCTCAGACTACAACGGCGACATAAGGCACACAGACCGACCGGGATGGAGGTCACAGGTTCGAATCCCACCCGTTCTGTACCGAGTTACGGAGATAGATCCATGAGGTGAGAAAATACCAGACTGGGGCCAAGGAGAGAGCAACAGAACCTGGACTGCAACTCAAAAGCCGTTTGTTCTTTTCAAAGCCCCCAGGAGGTAAAGTAGTTTTTCCGACAGTGCTAATCATCTACCAGGCCTCCTCGCACCCCCACTCTCCCCGAGAAAAGAAATGATCAGCGCTCAGTGGTTAGCATGTTGAGTCTCCAGGAAGTGGGACTCATGGTAGAACAGTAACACTGATCTCAAACTGCTTGTGGGACACAAACCCACCCTAACTCTGGTGTTTACCGTACAGTATTAATTTTTTCTGAATAACTCACTCCCTCTCGTGACTGGAATGCTATTAAACCAGACCCTTACACTCTCTTACATACACACACACACACACACAGATACTAATAATAACCCCTGCATTTGATATAGCACTTTTCATGTCTGAAAGCACTTCATCTCCAACAATACAGTGCTTCACCATCACTAGAAACGGAGTGTTATCTTACACTGTAAGTTCTAAGTCCTGACATGGGGCTTAAACCACTACAGAGGAGTGTTGACTCGATTCCGACATTCCATTGTCAAACATGTCACCTTGCAAGAAGTTCAGCTCCAAGCAGGTCCCGCTTACCTTCCCACCGCTTACCAACCGCTGAGGATAGTCTCCAAGCCTCCAGCCTGGTGTCTCCTGTTTTGTGTCCATTCCTGTGTTTATCAGAGGCTGACTTCATGCCAAGTACGTCATTTAGTCTGTCTCCCCCACACTTACACACACCATCTTGTTCCCAAAAAATTACGCCAATGTTAATCCAAAACCCTTGTATCTTTGCTTCTACCATAAGACCTCATAGAAAATACAGATTGAAACCAAGGTCAGGATGTTTTCCTCATGCCGAGGGTTATAATAATACTTGCATTTGATATAGCGCCTTATCGCGTCTTCGAGATGTATCAAAGCGCTTCACAGAATTGAGATGTGGAACACTCTGCCCCAGAAATCTGTACAGGTATGTTTAAAAGAGGCTTGGGTCATAGTGGAATTAAGGAGCATGGCAAAAAGATAGGAAAGTGGGAGTAGAAGATCAGCTAGGATTGAATAAACTGATGGCAGAGGCTTGATGTTCTGAAGGGCTTCCTCCTGTTCCTAGGTTCTCAGAAGGCCATTTAGCCTTTGGAGTCTATGCTGTTGCCAGCTCTTCAGCTGAAGCTTTCTGCTCCAATCCCACACTCAAATAAAACAAAATCCAACAAGTTCCACACCCAGGGATAGTGTAGCCTGAAATATTGTCACTCCCTTAGCTTCGAAATGCGCCTATAATGCTTGTCAAACATTTGACCCGTATGTTGGCACTTGGGTGAATTTGGCATTTGAGTAAGTTGTCTTCACATGAATTAGTTCTTTCTGTAATAGTGCAAGTTGCAGTACATTAAGTGCAGGCTGCACCGAGTTCACACATCGCTGGAGGAACACACACGTGGATATCACTTGAACTGCAGTCGGGAGAGGAACTTACTAAATAAAATGCTCACATAGCACACATTGCTTAAGACCTTCACTATAAAACTGGCATCAGAGTTCAAGAATTCAAGAATTCAGTGAAAGTCATATGAGTTTAAAAGAAAATTATGATTAAATTAGCTTCATGTGAAAGACAAAGGCTTCTTTAATTTTTCTTCTTGCATTTTTATAATAAATTTACTGATGAAATTATTTCACTTGTGGTTTTCTTTGCTCATTATTGCTCAATGTATAAACTTTAAATCTGTGAACAAAAGCTTAAAAGTGGACAACTCTTGTAATTTGAGCTGGGATGTTTGGACGTGAGATCAGTAAACATTTGTTCATGCAGAGAGAGAGTGGAACGCACAATCCCAGAGAGCTACAGAGAAAGGCAGGATATTTAAAATGGTGGTAGATAATACTTGATAAGTAAGGCTTATGAGGAAAATGTGGGGAAATGTAATTAAATGATCTGCCATGATCTGATAAAGTGGGGAAACAGGCTTGATGGGCTGAATAGACTCTCTTTGTTCCTATGAAACTAATCCTTGCATTTAACATAGCGCCTTATCATGCCGTCAAATCGCTTCACAGAATATATCGTATAGGCTATATATTTTGTGAGCAAAATGTGGCCAGCAATTACACACAGCAGTTGTCACAAACAGTCATGGATTGAGTGGTCAAATTATTATCATTTATGTATTTATTTTCGGAGGGATTATTACCCCCGGAAAGTGATCCACCAATCGACTAACACTCGGGTTCCTAGGTAAACTAGGTAAACAGAAACGTGTGGAGTAAGGAAACTTGCCCAACCATGGAATCAAACCCGGGTCCTCTCGTTTGCGAGGCGAACAAGCTAATCACTATGCTATGGGATTCCACAAGTTGATGAAGTTATGCTTTGGCTTTCAGAGCAGGTGAAATCAGCGAAAGCCATTTAAATCAGACAAAACAAACACTGAACAAGAAGTTTGTCATTCAGTGAGGTAAATCCACAGAGCACCCAAAATCGAGCGTGGTCTCCCCTCCCACTCCTCCATGACCTGGAGAACAACAACTTGCCTTTACACGGCGCTCTTCACACCGGATAGCGCCTTGGAACACTGCACAATGGTGGGGTTCAAAACCCAGTGGGGGAGAGGAGGAGGCAATCGTAGGTGCAGTCGAAGGAGTAGGTCTTAAGGAGGGAATTAAAGATGTAGGAAGAGGGGCCAGGGTGGAAGGATAGAGCCCGGGAGTTCCAGAGGATCCGGGCGTAGCGACTGGGAGTGTAGAGGGATCAGGGATGTGCAGGAGGAGGTGAGCAGTGGAATTGGGACCAGCTCTATATACTTAATCGCTGAACACAAAAAGCAACAGATTAAAATCAGAGAATATTCATTCCACCATGGAGTAGTTTCATTCTCCTCTCCCACCTGGCACTTGTAGCACAGAAAGGCAGGTCCTGAGTTTAACATCTCATCCAAAGAATGGCACCACCAACAATGCACCACAACCCAGCACTTCAGTGGCAGATCTGCCTGCTTAGACTGGGTGAGTTATTATAATAGAAATCCTTACATTTGGTATAGAGGGTTTCACGTCAGGAGGACATCCAAAGCGCTTCACAGGATTTACAATAAAGAGGAACCCAATTTTGAACCCACAAGCTCTCTGTTGTAATTATGTAGTGTGAAAAGTTTTCCCCATTTCCAGCTGCACTTGGTTATTCACCTCATGCCTGTTTGAGCGACATTGCTGAGCCCAAATTCACTATCGCTTTCATCCACAAAACACACTTAGCTCTGTATCCGTGAAGAGCTTTAAGATGTCCACTTGCCGTGAACAGCTATACCAAACGTAAGGATTATTATTTTCAGTCATCTAGTGCACTAGTGTTAATCATGAGCGGGTTTGTATGGGTCTGTAGAAATGTTTTACAGTCCAACCCAGTATTTCTCTTCTGCAAAATTCCTGAGAAGCTCTTGGGATCAAGTTCTGGGTTTTAAAATCTAAATTAGATCTAATTAATTTTCCACAAGTCTACAAATAGTTTTCACTTAGGAAAGCAAAGACACACTGTGAGACACAGCTTTTTTTTTTGAAAAACCCTGTAGGGTTTGGCTAGCAATGTATTAAGATGAAAATCTGTTCCCAAAGTACTCCACTCACTCTGCCTAGGTCAATGCATTACTTCAGTAATATATTCTGTTACTTGGAAGAATGGCTTGAGTAATGTTCCGGAGGAAGTATTAACACTCCAAGCCCAACATCCTAACCCACATTGGCTCACAGCGTGGGTGGGAACTGCACTAGTCCTTGGGCAATGTTCCGATCCTCATTACGTCATGTAGTCACAATAATGAGAAAAGTGGCACAGAGGAGATGCCTTCGAAAAAAATGTTTTCTTTATAAACTTACTGGAATTGGGGAGTAGATGTTTGGATAACCGTTGGTAGAGTTTAACCCGTAGAGTCTCCTTCCTTGAATCATGCACGAGCGATCAGCACAACAACAACAAAATTACATTTGTAAAGCACCTTTCGCATTGGAAGGACATCCCAAATAAGCACATAGATACTTGGGAAGTAATAATAATAATAATCCTTGCATTTGATATAGCGCTTTAAAGGAATATGGAGAAAAAGCAGGAAAATGGGTTTAAAAACTTTGCCGTGACATGGACAGATTGGACCAAATGGCTTGTTCTGTGCTGTACATTCTTTGAAATGATCAAAGAAACTGACAGGGCAGGCTTGACGAACCCAATGACCTCCTGTTCCAATGTCCCCATGCACATCAAAGCCTTACGTTACATTGCCTATTTCCAATGCCTAGAGCCATAGTTCTTAAGTCATGAGACTCTGCTGCTCAACTGTTGACATTGCCTTCTTGCCACTGATGGCTATGTGAAAGGACCAAGATAAGTAAAAGTCTCATTCCTACAAACAACACTATGGTTAGGGTATGGGTGGCATGATTGTGGTTTCTTGTGTTGAGAGAGTTTGCACATTACTACAGGTTGCCGGATAGTATCTTTGGAGAGTTACTTATTGTGACATTCACATTCAGACCACAGATTATCCTCGGATAACTCAAAGCACAGTTTTCAAAAATAAAAACTTGAAAACAAGTCACATCAACAGAAACCACGATTCTTGAGATGGTTAATGTGACAGAGGTGAAGGAAAGCAGTCAAGGGTAGAAGTAGAAAAGCAGATTTGGGTGTAATCCATGTACACGTGGAAGTCAATCCGGTGTCTGCTGATGACGTCACCAAGAAAGAGCATATAGATAAAAGGAGGACAGAGGAGGGAAATGGTTGAAAGCCCACCTGCCAACTGTGGGGACATAAAGCAGATCAGTGTGGCCGATGGAGGTCACAGGAGTGTGGGATGGTGGGGGGGAGACATTGTGGAAGGAATTGTAGGTGAGAATGAGGATCTTGAACTTGATGCAGTAGGGGATGGGGAGTCAGTGGAGCCGGGCGAGGATGGGGGTGACAGGCTCTTGAAGTCTGGTACAAAAGAGGACACGGTTGCAGATATCTGGATAGCCTGCAGCTTGTATAGGGAAGAGCTGGGAGTACGGCAACCATAGTGTTCGTGTAGTCAAGCCTGGACACGATAAAAGGGTGGATGAGTGTCTCAGCGACCCGGGAGGAGAGGTAGTGGCAGAGAGTTTCAGAAATGTATCAGAAACCTGAAAGGGTAAGAGCATCAATGTGGGGTTTGAAAGATATATGGGAGTTAAAGGCACCAGCTCTGCGAGGTGGAGTGTGCATTCACATAGGTTGATGCTGTCAAACACCTGAGGTGAGAAAGAGTTGACCGGAACCAAGCAGGAGAGCTCTGTATATCCGGTGAAGTCCTTTTGAGATGCTCTCCCATCGCAAAACACCCTACATCGAATATACGGATTATTAAATGCCAAAATAAATTAATGCGAACACTAGTTTGGGAGGAAATAGCCAAATCTCGTTGTTCGCTCTCCTCACTGCCTACGCACAGAGCATGTTCATACTCATTCTGAAAAGTAACTAACTGACAAGTCTGGACAGCGCTGGGTGTGGGTGGAGGAGTGGAGCCAGCAGACAGAAAAATGCTAAACAAAGATCAGAATCAACAAACCTCTGTCCAGAACAAGGACTGATTATAGGAGCACGAGAAACAGAACCTCATTCCCTTGACAGATGCAGCGGGAATTTAGCTGTCTACAGAAAGCCACTTCACCAGGACACTTGCCGGAGTAACCATCAGAGAAGGTAAACTTTTTAAGATGCTTGTTTTCTTTTCTTTTGACTGAAGTGCCGTCCTTTGGATGAGACATTAAACGAACCGTGCCTGCCTGTTCAAGGAGATGGTAAAGATCCCATTACACTATATAAAAAGTAGAGTTTATCCCAGTGTCCCTGGCCGACAATCTTCAATTTTGCTCTCCCGGTGTCCTGGCTAACAATTCACCAAAATAAAATTGGTTGTTCACTCTACAGCTTCTTTGTGGGACACTGCTACGTGCCACGTTTCGTCCACACACAAATAAATTTGTTCCTATATTCTGCCAAGTACTTTGGGATGTCTCAACTGCACGATAAGGCACTATATCAAATGCAAGGATTATTATTATTTACAGTAAATGCTATGAAGCACATTGAGATGCCTTGACAACTTGATAAAATGCTGTATAATAATAATTATCCTTGCAATTGATATAGTGCCTTATGTCTTTGAGACGTCTCAAAATGCTTCACAGAATATACTGTAAAGTTAATTGACTGTATATTTTGTGGGCGAAACGCAGCAGCCAATTGCGCACAGCAGTGTCCCACAAATAGTCGTGGATTTTTATTTATTTTGAAGGAATGATTACCCCCGGAAAAGCGATCTGCCAATCGGCTAACAACCCCGGGTTCCTGCTTACTGCTAGGTAAACAGAGGTGTGTGGAGTAAGGAAACCTGACCAATGTTTCGCCCTGTCAGGAATCGAACCCAGGTCCTTTCTCTTGCAAGTTGAGCACTCTAACCACTAAACTATAGGACTGTGTCAAATGTGAGGATTATTATATATAATTACTTCCGACATTGTATCTATTGTTCTAAATTAAGTATTCCCTAATTTCCCGCATCCATAAACAATGAATACCACCCGGCTCACACTGTAGGTTTGGATGTGAATCTCACTGTAACAAGTCAATCTGAATTGAACTCTGTTCTCTTCCTACTCCAGGGTCTGTTGAAATACTGTATTTTGAACACTCCAGGAAGGGACTCTTCTTACTGTTGCTAAAGAATTAGTCACGCACTTCAACACTCAGAACAGCTTGCTCTTTCACGCACAGTAACCTCTGGAAACACGGACAAAGTAGGTGTAGGAGGGAGTAGACTCAAACACAGATAAAGAAATAGGTGAGAAATAGAAAGAGAGAGAGAGGGTGCAAGGTGGAGGGATTTTGAGGGGAGAGTTCACAAGATCCCAAGGTGCGTTTGGATAAGAAAGCCCTTTGGACCATCTGGTCTCCTCGTTCCAGAATGACCATCCTAATGTCTTTCCATCACAGCATCAAGCTGTAAAGAAAAACTTCCTGTTATCTGTCCTCAAATTCAAATCCAGGCATATCATATCAAATCAAAATGCAAGGATTATTAAATTGGCTTTGAAATTCTAAATCCATGTCCTCTTGGTCCTCCATCTTGATGCATCCTCAAGTATTGTTCTGGGTTTATTTTTCAATCTCATTTAAAATGCGATACACCAACATGGGACTTAAACTAACAAACATTTTGACCCGAGTGGTAACATTAGAAAGTTTAGCCCCTGTGTCTGGGCAAGTACTAGTGATCTTTCAACAGCCCTGACGGAGTGTAAAGAGAACATCGCTCATAGCACTTTGGTGTGCTAGAAATCGCACTTACAGACATTGCATAAATAAAATGGTGGGGCTATTGAATAGCCATAGTGATGACTTGGAATTATAACTGCCCAAAGAGCAAAGATTTCCAATATATCAAAAGCATCAGCTTCTCATCACGACAGCTGCAGAACAGCAGATCATGTTGCATTCATGTGGACCTCTCCTTGTCAGGGCTGCTCATCTCTAGTGACCATCTGACTCAAACTACTGAAGAGTAAATGAATAGTTATTTTGCCCGCTGCAAAATTAAATCAAAATACAAACATTTTTCTGAATGCAAGACAATTTTTAAACCACTTTACTGTATCTCATTGGATCGCAAGTCTAACAAAGTGCAACTGCAGTTAAGAAATTTTATTAGATGATCAGATAGATCAACTACTCAACTAGCAGCTTCTCCTCAAACCACACACACCCACATAAATACTTGCACACCCAAACACCCAACAGAGAGAGAGAGAAAAAAGCATAAAGTGAGAGAGAAGGGATGGCTGATGAAAGAAGGTTTGGTTAGCACTGTGACCATTTTGTATTTCACACGATGATCAATTATTCGCACTGATCCATATTTTACCTGGTGTGGATAATAATCCTTTCCTTACATTTCCTTGCATTTGATATAGCGCCTTATCTCGTCTTCGAGACGTCTCAAAGCGCTACACAGAATATACTGTAAAGTGAATTGACTGTATATTTTGTGGGTGAAATAATAATAAATACAATAATAAAAATCTGAGACAACTGACAATCTTTTTGTCCCCTCCCCATGATTGAGCAGGAAGAAATGAACGAATCAACCTCCAACTGTACATTGGTGGACAGCAATCTGAAACAGAAGGTCTTCCCTATCCTCTACTGCATTGCCTTCATCGTAAGCATCACACTCAACAGTCTGGCAGCCTGGATCTTCTTCAACATCAAAACCAAACGCAGCTTCACTCTGTTTCTCAAGAACCTGGTTCTTGCCGACTTGCTAATGACTCTGACCTTCCCCTTCAAGATCCTGAGCGACTCGGAGCTGTCGCCGTGGCAGCTGACATTCTTTGTGTGCCGCTACTCCAGCGTTGTCTTCTACATGAGCATGTACACCAGCATCATCTTCCTGAGCCTCATCAGTCTGGACCGATACCTGAAGATTGTTAAGCCCTTTGACAACTCCAAACTGCACCGCGTATCCTACGCCAGGAAATTCGCAGCCGGCGTGTGGCTGATCATGGTGGCCCTGGTGATGCCGAACATCATCCTGACCAACCAGGAGGCCACTGAAAAGAACGCAGTCAACTGCACCTCCCTCAAAAGCAACCTTGGCCAGATGTGGCACGTGGCAGTGAGCTACATCTCCATCACCATCTCCATCGCCAGTTTATTGATTCTGATCTTCTGCTACGTCTCCATATCAAAGGAGATCTACAACTCCAACAAAAGATTCAAGTGTTCCACCGAGAACACAAGAAAGCCACAGCAGAACATACTGAGCGTTGTGGCCGTGTTCTTCATTTGCTTCGTGCCTTACCACCTCTGCAGGATACCGTTCACGGCAAGTCAGATCAACCTGATCTCCAGTTGCACCATCAAAAACATCCTGTGGCAGGGAAAAGAGGCCACGCTCTTCCTGTCTGCCTGCAATGGATGCCTGGACCCCATCATTTATTTCTATATGTGCAACTCATTCAACCAGTTGCTGCTCAAAAAGCTTAACATTAAAACCAAGGTAGCCTCCGTGCAATTCCCCAACCAATCCAAGAGGTCGCAGGTGCGACAGTTCTATTAGAGCACGACTTGAGAAGCCACCTCAGTGAGCAATACGATCCTGGGACACTCAGCTTTGGGGCGATCGAAATGAGCAGCAGGTGCTTTACGGAAGACTTTGGGATTTCCGTTCCCGGTGATGTGCTCTATGTGAAAATGACATAAACCCATTCGGATTGCTGAGCCCTGCCCGTCCTAATGGGAGGTGACTGAGTCTGTCTGAGTGGAGAATTCTAAGCTGATCGCCGAATCATTGTCAAACCTAACGCACAAGGACCCAGTCACACCACCACAAACCCATTTGGAATCGGCTGTTTGATTGCTGCAACCGCAAAATAACCAGATGAGCCTTTGCTAAAAGTTGTGTGTGGACAGAGACACGAGTAGCCCCAACACTTGTTATGCCTGGTGTGACTGAGGGATTAAGGGATATGGAGATAGGGCTGGTAAATGGAATTAGGTTAGAAGATCAGTCATGATCTTATTAAATGGCGGGGCAGGCTCGAGGGACCGAATGGCCTACTCCTGCTCCTACGTCTTATGGTCTTAGGTGGTTAGGTGTGGGTGCTTGGACTCATGGTGCAGAATTTATTTGAAAGGTCCAATGCGTGTGTGAACACATCGTACCATGGTTGGGGGAGCAGTGGTAACACCCTACTCTACCGTTTCCTTTCATTCCAATTTTCTATTAAGCATAACAGGTGTAAAAAAAATCCCGGTTCCTTTAAGAATGTCATCACACTTCAGAGTAGGGTCACAATTGCACCAGCATTCTCGAGACATTTGCTCATCAAAATGATCCAATTACTTTTGTTTTTTTGGTCAGTGTCTGAGAACCATGGAAACCCAACACTGTGCTTAAGGGTATCCAAACCAGGCAAGAGTTCCACAGATGTATACCAAGTACACGTGGAAATTACACTGTGTCTGGAATGGAATGAACACTCTCTTCTCTCCCCGAAGGGCAGCATAGGCACAATTTGGCAAGAGCCAAGGCTTGGGGACCTCAGAGTCTGTGTTGTGGTAACTGCTGGAGGTCAAACCAGCTTAAACCACATGGCTTAAGAGCACTGTCTGGCAAGCTTCCTGAAGCTAGGAATCTGTTGGGGCTGGCAGGGTTAAAAGGACCACAGTACTGTTGGGTAAATTTTGATCGGATTTTGCTCCACTGTAAGATGATGCCGGTAAGGTCCAGAAATCAAGCAGAGACCATGACATCTAAGTTGGCCAGGGGACCTATGACTCAAATTCTCTCTCCGCTGAGGGATGGAGATGGGAAGAATTTAAAATGCCCACCTGGTCCTTAAAATCACAAAGGGAATTTACAATAGACACTCAACTGGACCTTTGAATGAGGAATGTAAGGGGAAAAATTACTATTTTTTTGAAATGGTTGCGATCAAGGTATTCTATGTCTACAGAATAAGTCATGGTTACAATTCCTCACAAGGTTTTCGAAATTTAATTTGTGCTAATCTCTATTTGCATACTGAGAAATTGCTCTAGGAATCTTCTCTGACACACCAAGGCCTTAATAAAATAAAAACTTCAGTACGCTTGACTACAACGGACTCAAAATTATCTCTGTTTACTATCTGTCCCAGGCACCCGGATTTACAGCATTGTGTGATCATTTTAATTATTCTGACTATCTCTCTTTCTCTCACTCTCTGCCTTTCTCTCCCTTGCTCGCTCACTCTTTGCCTTTTTCTTTCACTCTGCTTTTCTCCCCTACTCACTTACTGCCTCTCTCTCTCTCTTTTNCACACATATTCTGACTGTCTGTCAGTCTGACTCAGTTGGTAGCAGTCTCGCCTCTGAGTCAGAAAATTGTGGGCTCAAGCTTAAAGTCAGTACTTGGAACTATTATAGCTTAGGCTGATCAGATGGTGTTAAAGATTCTATATGACTACTTGAAAAGATAAGAGAGTTTATTTGGCGAAAAATTCCTCAACTAAAATTGGTCTCTCAATCCATGGTTTGCCCGCAAAACACACGGTCACTACACTTTGCTGTATATTTTGTGAAGCATTTTGATACTCTCCCCAACGTGAAAGGTTCTATGTCAAATGTAAGGAAAATTACTATTTATTATTATCCTCTGCCGTTCACTCTCACTCACTGTGCTGAATACTTTCCGGAATTAGGTAAGCAGGGTGCATCGCTCCAGGGAGAGAAAGTGCATTCCATCCCACAATTTGTCTCTGGGATTTCCATGTATAGGTGGGATGCATGAAATTTTCAGTTTGGTTCGGAATCCATTAAATATGGCTTTCTGTGTTTATTACACACATATCTCATGAGAAAAAGTAAATACAGAAACTTACAAAACAGGAAATGCCACTTCCTGATGAGAAGCAACAACTTAAAACTACTTTGAAAAACAAGACAGATTGACACACTGAATTGATGGGGAAGAAAGAGCTAGCAGGGTCCGAGTTACTTAACTCTTTTTAACCCTAAACCATATGTTTTTGGCTGATTTGAAATGTTGGATTGAACACAGATAAGAATAAATTTCCCAATGTCCTCTGAATAGATCCAAGTCGCTTGGTAAGTGTTCATTTTCTAATTCCTTGCTTTTGCGCGCCTAAAACATGTATCTTTGTGTCCGATTATTTTTCGTGAAATATAACTACACCAAAATATTGTACCTGAAGGTTTCGAGGGTTTTTGTAGTCATGTTAAGTAACAATCTTTACATTTGATCAAGTGCCATTCACATCAGGGAATCATGTAACGCAATGAACACTCACCTCGCAAGCAAGAGACCTGGGTTAGATTCCTGGCACGGTGAAATATTGCGCAAGTTTCCTTACTCCACACGCCTCTATTTAACTAGCAGTAAGTAGGAACCTGGTTGTGAGTTAATTGGTGGATCACTTTTCAGGGGTAATAATTCCATTAAAATAAAATAAAATTGGTCACTTCAATCCATGACTGTTTGTGGGACACAATTAAATGCAATCAAATCACAATCAAAATCAAATATCAAATGCAAGGATTATTATTGCTATTATTATTATTATCAAGAGGATGTCTCAAAGAGCTTCACAGAATACACTCTAACGTGTATAGTGATTATGTATTTTGTAGGTGAACGAGGCAGCTAATTTGCAGATGTTCCACAAACAGCCAGAAAGTGAATGACTAATTTTATCTGGGGGATTGTTGGCCAAGACACCGGGAAAGAGAAGTTTTACGAACAGCTTTGCGAGATCTTTAACATCCACCTGAAACAGGCAGATGGGGCATCGGTTTTATATCTCATTCTATATAGATAAAGAGAAAAGGCCAGGTCCTGCTGACAGTCAAACATGAAACGAAAGAGAGTGAACAGAAAGATAGAGCAGGTAGAACAATTATCTTTACAGCATCAATGTGTGAATTGTGAGTCTTTCAGTTTGTTGGAAAACATAAGGTTACCTACCATTAGGCTATCGAAAAGCTGCATTGCATTAAGATGAGCAGCAGTGAGTCCCTCTGCAAGGTGTCGGTGGGACTCAGTGCTATCATCCACACTGCCATCTGCTCCTCCTCATCATGAGGACAGGCACAGTGAGCAAGGGAACATTGCATGCACCTTCGCTTCCTATCTTAGAGCAACATTGCAGTCAACATAGTTAAACTAATAGACTGCTTTCTGAAGTGAACGCACTCACCTAGAAAAATACGGTCACAACATTTTACAGGGAAACATATCCTTGTGTAAGGAGCGATGTGAATAAAAGGACTGTTATTATTTATCTACAACAACTTAAAAAAAACAAGTATAAGTTACTGGTGCAGGTGCAAACAGCAACACTATGGACTTCTACAGTTGTAAAAATCGGACATTGAAAAGACTGGAGAGGTTACAGAGAAGGTGATTCTAGATCATATGAGGAGAGGATCGCAGTGCTAACATTCTCCTCTTAGAAAGACTGTGGGCAAACCATAAACAGGGTAGTTAAAATGACGAAAAGCACAGCCATAAGCACCTTATCTAATTTACGCTACAAGAGATTTGATAAATTCCCTACGCCTTTGCCTCCCTCCAGTCGGGTACACATGTGGCAAACTCTCAGCAAAAACAGGTTTGGTCTATTAGCTTTCAAAACAGAACTAGATAAATACCTAAAAAGGAGAATACCTACAGGAAATGAGGAAATGGCGGGTAAATGGGAGTGAAAGGATTGCTCTTTAAAAGAGTCAGCATAGAACACAATGGGCCGAATGACCTTAAATTTTTATAATTAAAAAATGTGTAACTTTTGTGCTGCAACTTCTTATGGTTCCTGGCTGTTGGTGGGGTACTGCTATGGGTAAGTTGGCTCCTGCATTCACCTGCAAAAATAAACGATCACTACATTTTACAGTAAATCCTGTGATGCGCTTTGAGACATTTTCCAAACGTGAAAGGAACTGGAGGATATGGGGATTAGGGTGGATTAGATTAAACAAATGCTCCATTGGATAGTTAAATATTCGTCTTTTATATGGCTAATGTTTTTCACGATTAAGAGGCTGGTTACCATTACTCCATTGCCTGTCTCCCCTGCTCCACTATTCACAAAATTCGACTAATTCGAAACTCCGTCGCACGTATTCTCACCCGCGCTAAACGTCGTGCTTCCATTACCTCAGTCTTTGTCAAACTCCAATGGCTCCCTGACAGAGTGGATCGATTTCAGGATCCTCACTTTTGTATTTAAATTCCTTCATACCCGGCACGCAACCTCCTCTCCCCCCTCCACCCCCATCTCTCCAAACTGCTCTCTCCCTAAACCACTACCCATTGTAGTGGCTCGATGGCTCCGGCCTCCTCCTTGTCCCCTGGACCTTCCGCCCCACGATCAGCGGCCGCTCTTTCAGCCATTACGCCCCGAAGCTGCAGAATCTCTCCCTCATCCTTTTGTCTCGCCCCCCCTCTCCCCATTTTCAGGTCGGTCTTGAAGGCCTTCCTCTTCGACCGTGCCTTCGGTCACCTTCCCCTTCCCCCTGCTCGGCCTCTGCCAATGTTAAGCGCTCCGAGATGCCATTGGGCATGAAGGGCGCTATATAAATGCACACTGGTATTGTTGTTGTTGTTAGATAGGGCGCACCAGCACAAATATGATTGGGAAAGAGCAGGGAATGGGATTATTTATGCAATCCATGCAAACAGGTATTTTTTTTAAGGTATCGAGCTGATTTAGTGGGTAACATTCTCACCGAAATCAGAAGCTTGAGTTCAAGCTCCATGTTGGAACATTGAACGCACATCAACTCTGACATTCTAGTGCAGGCGGTAGGGGGTTCAATGCATTGTTGGAGGTGCTATCCTTCAGATAAGATCTGATCTTGTCTGCCTGTTCAGATGGATGTTAAAGATCCCATGGCTCGATTTGAAAAGAGAAGGGAGTTTCTCTCGCTGGGTGTCCTGACAAACAATCTCCCAGATA